GTCCAGAAAAATTCTTTATTAAATTCTGCAAAAAGGTAATTGAAATGGCACAGGCTTAATGTCCATTGATAATGAGATTCTGTTAAAACAAAATTGCCCAAAAAAATTACATAATGGTATTCAATTTCCTTACATATTTTATTTTACGATCTAAATAAAATCAATAATTTCAATAAAATATTAACCTTAGTAAATTTCACTGGTAGGCGATTGAAGAAAGAATGTTTGTGTGTATTGGTATATCATAGTATTGATATTGTATATGCTGTGTGATCTGAAAAAGAATTTGTATATATATAAATATGTGATTAAGTATAATTAAGAGCTATATCCAAAAAAAAAGGATTGATGAGTATGCTGTGTATCGAGCAATCCTATATAGTAGGGCAGCACTGCTTTAAATAAAGTATTTCTCTCTCTTCTATTTTTTTATCTACTTCGAACGTACTTTTGTATCCTTATAAGCAAAAATATTTCCACTTCCAGGTGCAGTTAGAGATTTTCTTTATCTTTGTTTAAAAATCCAAAAACGTCTTCTTCTTTCAACATTCTTGGATAATGTAAAACCTTTAGTTATATTGACACTGCCAGTGGTGAGGGCTTCACCCATCTTGTACGAAACATCTCGATTGCAACTTAAAGCCAAGAAGTACTTATCCAAACATTTCTCAAGAAAAAAAATCGAGGTAGATTTGAGATGCAGTAGAATTCAAGTGATAAGATTAAATTTGTTTTTTTTTATGATAAAAAAAGTTCCTGTTTAGCTGAGACTTCAAATAACAGTACATCTGGAAGGTGTGGCCATGGTCGACTGTAGAATATATTTTTTAATTTGTAATTAGAGATGATAAGGAAAAAGAAAAAATGGAAAGTTTTGAAGCTGTAAACAATGATATAAACTATTAAGTATAAGATATTTAACTATGAACTAGGTGCTGGGAGGCCTCGATATAGCCTTGTCTACACTCTCCTACCCTAACACTTTTCTTTAAAGCCTCTAATGGATCCAGGATTTAATTTTGAGAGGGCTTCACCTCGAAAGCATATATATAAAACGATATTTACTTCGGAACAAAAGGAAAGAAACTAATTACCTTTATGAAATGGTGTTTAAGTGATTCTTGAAGTCCTATTAAATTTAATCACACGAACAATAATACTTTTAGAGATAACTTTTTTCATCAAAGACATGGTAATATTTTACCATTTGGGGAAGGGCTTCCTCGAAGGAAATCCAAAAGCTTCCTCCTTCCCTTGTTTGGAACCTCAACAGAATCATACGATTGCAGATGGCATGGCTCTGGCAAGAATCAATTCTAAAATACTATTGGTTGTTTGTTTTTAAGATTTTAGAGAACATATTTGAAAGGAGGTGAGGGGTGCATTCCTTCTTCTTCTTTAGCTTCCTTCTTCAGTGTCTTTCAGCGGAGAGAAGCATTCAGCCAGGAATTCCATTCTTCCCTATTTCTGGCTAGGTTCCTTGCCTGTCGGAGGTCCTTTCCCCTCGCCCAACAGAGTTGCTCAATATAGTCAAGATAGGGCATCCTAAGGCGGCCCCTAGGTCTTCTGCCATCTGGGACATATTCCATGGTGTTTAGAAGATCTCTGTGGTCCTCCATCCTGATAACATGGCCGAACCACTTTAGCTGACGAGTTTTTAGGAGCTCTTTCAGTGGTGCTATCTGCAGTTCCTCACAAATCCTTTCATTGCAAACTCAGTTTCCCCTTGTTTTTCCTATCGTCCTTCGCAGAAATTTCATTTTTGCAATGGTTAACGGGCAGAATTATGATTAATAAATGTTCCATGCAAAATCCAAAGATACCTCTTGATGTTTTCCCCTTTTAGTTTTTCCAGTTCTGCAGGAAGATAAAGTGGATTTATCAATCCAACAGTCATTATTTTCTGGACTCCTTCCTCTAACAAGACAATCCTGTAATCTTTGTGGTATTTTAAAATTTTCAATGATCTGTGAATTACTTTTTTTTGTCACCTTTCCTTGACACTTAGCACCAAGAGTACAAGTATTAATAATGCAAGTATAGATGGATATAATTTTTCCATGGAGAAAAAATTAGTTGAAGGAAAACCAGTTAATCACTGATAGTCAACTAACAACTGATTTTGAAAAGGCATTCCTTAGAAGATAAAATTTTCATTCACAATATAGATATATCTTTGTTTCAGCAATTATTCACATTTTTTAACTTAATATACTCTTAAACGTTTTATTTTTATTATTTAAATTCAAAATTGCTATTAGAATTATAAAAAATAATTTTTGTTTAAAATAAATATGTAATACAGAGAACATCTGGATTGGAATAAATAAAACAGCAGCAATATTTACTCAGCAGGTATTGCCAATACTTGATAATCGTCTTTTGAATCAATGTTGAATCACACCAACTGTTTAAATATTTTTGTGTAGTACATATCTTTCTTGTTTGCTTTTTTTTTTTCATGCATTTAATTCTTATGAAGCATCAAATTTACATTACTAGATATGCCTCTAAAATAAAGAGAATTGTTCATTCATGTACTTCAGGATTATAGAGGAAGGTCCAGGAATGGGATCGGTCTGGTAAGGATTATTGACTATCAACAGGAAAATAATAAACTGGAGAAAAATGGCTATCAAAAACTAAAGATTCTATTTTCAATGAAAATGCCTAACCAATAGTGGCATTAACCCAACAAAAACAACAGCTGCAATATCCCAAGAATGATTTCTATATAGTTTATCGAAGAATCATCATGTGGAAATAAATTGATCTACAAGCAGTTTATCAAACACTTACGGTGATGTTAAACCCTTATCTTCATTGACAAGAACTAATACAGATTCTGAAAAAACACAAGTTCCAACAGCTAAGCTTCAATAAATACAAAACAAAGTAAATTACATTTAATTCAGAATGATTTTTTCTAATATAAAAAAAAAAATTAAAAACCAGCAAAAAAACAGAAAGAATATTCCTAATCCCAAAAATTAAACCATAACCAAGAAAGTTTTGCAACACAAAAACTCTATGATTCACATGACCACAAAAATAGTCATTTTTGTCACAGAAAAACAAGGAAGTCGCAGAAAAACAAGGAGCAAGAAAAAGACATGTATATATATATATATATATATATACATGTCTTTTCTTCATTATAGTTATTGGAGACTTGTGTGAATTTTGTATGATTAGTTGTTCATTATTGACTCATTTGTTTGTATGCATGAATTATCATGTCTGAAATTTCTAGTACTTCATATTTTTTGTTTTATCGTTGATGAATTTATTATATACATATATATAAATAAATTTCATCACAACGATAAAAACAAAAAAATATGAAGTACTAGAAAAATTTCAGACATGATAAATTCATGCATACCAAACCAAATGAGTCAATAATGAACAACCTAAATCATACAAAAATTCACACAAGTCTTCCAAATAAACTATAAATGAAGTGATATAAAGAAAAGCAAAATCTGAACTGTTATACAAAAAAAATAAAACATAACATCATAAAAACAAAGAACGGAAGAAGAATAAAACAGAGAAAAACAAAAAGCATAGCAACAGTAATGGCAACAATAACTATTCATTTGAATCAAGAATAAATAACTAAATAATAAATAACCATAACATAAATAACTTCCCTAAGAAGACATTGATAAACTTGCTACAACACTGATAAGAGAGGCAGAGTAGATCGGCCTACAAGTATATAAAGACAAAATAAAATATATGATAATAAGCCGAAAATTGCACCCTAATACCAGGATCTGCATAGAAGGATAATCATTCCTGAGAGTAGAAAAATTCAAATACCTCGGCTCCACAATAACCTCAATGAATGACCAATGGGCAGAAATGGACCAACGTATAACTAGCGCAAACAGTGCTTTCTTCTCTCTCTCAAAGGTATAGAAATCCCGAAAAACTTAAAGAAATCTCAAACTAAACACGTACAATGCTATGATAAAGCCAGTTCTAATATATGGCTGTGAGACCTGGATCTAACCAGCACCCTAGAAAAAAGTGTTGAAAGATTTGAGAGGAAAATCCTCTGCACAATAACCGGAGCAATCTAGGATCATAGTACTAACACATTGAGAAGAAAGACCAATAAAATGTTGACAGAAACTGGTCAATCAATATCACATGATATGATGGCTCACAGGTTAAGATGGGCGAGGCATGTAGCTTGTAGCAATCCATCTGGAAACCTCTACATGCTGAACAATGAATGCTTCAATAAATGGGAAAAGACAACGTGGAAGGCCAAAAAGCAGATGTATAGATAGAATCAACAAAGATGCAATAGAGCTGCGTGCAGATAAATGGAAAGAAATAGCCCAAGACAGGGAGAGATGGAGCAGGCTTGTTAAGGTGGCAAAAGATCTACATGGCCTGTATTGCCAACAGAAAAAAAATAAATAACTCAGTTGCTGGAACTAATTTAGCTTAAACATCAAATGGAAACAAACCATTTAAGAATCTTTTAAAGCTATTAAAGCATCCTCAGGTTAAGTAATCTATCAACACCAAGATTCATCTATATAGGGCAAGTCCCTTAACTCAGTGCTTAGCACATCAATGGCATTGGATCCATCCCTAAGCTAGGTGGAACAATGCCATCAATGAGCTCAGCGTTGGCTTTGGAAGCTTGGCAATACACAGATTGCAGAACTAAATCACATGACAAGCAACTTTTCATCAGCAGGTTTTTCAATCACAACAGCTCAATTCAAACTCATAATTTTGAACCATCAAAGGTGGATACCTCTTCATTACATCTCTCTAATTAAAGTTTTTAAAACAAAAATACATTTATAAAAACAAAACTTTTAAAATAATTTTATTTCAGTAGCTTCAATAACAAAGTAAAAAACACTAAGCATATATAAGCTTTCCAAAACACAGAAAAAAAAAGATATATTTTTAAAATTAAGAGAGATGAAAATTGGAAAGGTTATAACAATTTTTAAAATAATGTCAATCAATTTAGCACAATTAACATTATTAAATAATCTATATTTAAACCTTTGAATACTTTTTTATCACCTTCCACATTTCATCAACGATTTCTTCTCGGCTCTTACCATTGATATTTATATTAAAAATTTTCATTTTTGTATCAGTGGCATTACGAACATCTAATTTTAAGTTAATTAAGGAAACATTAATGAAAATAATAATATAACAGTTATGTTTGAAATACCACTTTAATGAATATTAAAGAAGGCAAACAAATTATTTTAGCAGTATTACTTTATAACCATCTATTTGTACATAAAAATAATATTGCTTTTATTAAATGTTAGAATATGATCAGTTTTGTATTACAGCCACAAAATTAAACAAACAGTTGGCATTATAAATAAGCAGATCACTCAGAAAAGGATACAACCAGATAACGTATTTTTGTCACATGAGTCGAAATCCCAATCAACACCTGTCAGTTTTGCATAAGCCTCTAGCTTTTTCCTGAAATAAACAAATCAAATAAAACAATAGATGACTTAAAAATGTAATCTTAAAATTAAAGACTTATAATGCTTGTAATTTTATGATTTTTGTTGTCTCTATAAAATTAAATAACTACAGAACATGAAATAAATAGGACTATATGAGCGAAGATATGGTTAAATTAGGAATTATAACATAATCCAATATTTATATTTAATCTATCCTAAGCATAAACAGCATTAAAAAGACCTGAATCGAACATTAGCAGAACCTATTTTTTATAATAGGGTGTATAAAAATTACCGTTTTATCAAATTCAAGATTTCAAAGGACTGTAAATATTTTAATCCTATTTAATACTTGCCAATATTTAATAACCGCTTTAGAGCATTATCTAAGCTTGTTTGATCCCAAGAAAGAAACAATAATACAAATATTTGGTAGAAAAAAAGGTCATTTTTTTTATAGACCCTATTATAACGCAGGGGTCTCCTAACTTTTTGACTGCTAGCCACATTGAGACCTTGACCAAGTTCCGCAGGTCGCATCGAGTCCTCCACCGAAATCCCATGAGCCATGGCTTGTGATTATTATTAAAATAGAATTATTAAACTACAACAAATGTATTTAAGGTCATAAATATATGCTTAATGCATCTATATATCTATACATCTATACATATTTTTATAATTCACTTCTTTCAGACAAGTACTCTGAAATCATTTTTTTATCAATGCCATTGCCTTGATTATGTGGATTTTAAATATTTCTTTTTCAAATTTAAAAAACGTTTACATTTAGTTAGTAAATTTCATTTAATTTCCTTGAAAACATGTGATTTCCGTTAAATAATATTAGATTTTTACAATTTATTATTTATGATTTTTTGTCACTCCCCATTACTTCCTACGACTTTCTATATTAGATATTGTTTTTTTCTAAAATTCTCCACTTACCAACGATCTATTATAGGTATAACTTCTGACTAGTATTTCCGGAAATTCATTTTCGACCTAAATAAACATTTTCCCTTTTTTCTCCATTTTTCAATTATCAAATTCTTTCAAAAGTTATATTTAGCATTTTTTTTTTTTGTAACTCTTAATAATGAGAGATAGTTAATGATTTAAAATAAATCAAATTAAAGGAACTTTAGAGGAAGACATGTTGAACATGTAAGCCCTGTAAAGTGGCATCAATGGGGATTAGACCTCAATGATATTAAAGACTACTTATTTATACAATGATACACCGATTTTAATCAAAATTGTTGGAGCCGTATATAACCATTGATATAAAGTGCCACTTCTGGTTAGTCGATTTTATATATATTATATATGTACCTATCTTAAATATGCAATATCAGTTTCGTACGACTTTTCGTTTTTGAGCTAGACTGATCACACACATACACACACACACACACACACTGACCATTTTGAAGGACTTGGTTATTTAAACTCAGGGAACCTCAAAATGTGTATTTAATATGAAAACTCAGATTTGAACATTTTCACAATCACAATACTTTTCATGTAAGCGAAAGTAAAAAGATTAACTTAGTTTTATGAAACATTGTACTTTTAAAACTTAAAGATAGACATGGAAATACATCAAAAAAGTTAAATAATAAACGATCATTACTTTCACTACTCAAATGATTTAATTTCTATGAAAACATATAACTTTCCTTCCATTATGTCTTTATCATTTTACAAGCATTGGGAAGCTCCTAACTGTGTAAAGATGTTTTAAACAGTCAATATTGAGTCAATACCAATTTTTTTCAATATATTGACTATCTCAGGAATATTTTGTAACTATTATATTGAAACTTGTGATATGCATACTAGGTCCAATAATAGTTACTATGTAAAGGTTGACTGGCTTAAGGCTGCCAATTTAACTTCAGCCAGGAGAAGGAGAACGATCTCTGACTTCTAATGCTCAACTTAGGTCTTCACTCCAACATTTTTCAGGATTAACTGAAAATTGACATTTCTGGCATCTTAAAGAGAGATTTAAAAAAAAATGAAAACTAGTGTTATACCTAGTGTTTATAACTGATTGATTATTCTTAGAACTGAAGTTTCCTGAAAATTCACCCACAGAAATAATACAAAATTTATTGGTATTTGGTGCAGTTCCATAATAAAAAATTGACCATAGAACCTTACATGTGAAATTAAGTGAAAAAATAAATTAATGTACATTGAAAAAAATGACTGAAAATATTATTAAATACATGTAACAATTATTTTTACAATTTGTCTTTTATCTCAAATATCAGGGAAAACATTGAATATTAAATAACATTCTATAATATTCAGATTAAAATAACCAAAACCAATTAATAAAACACACACCTGCATTTTTCAAGTAAGTCTAAATCTTTTTTACTAGGTTTAGCATGTGCTTTAGCAAGCCTATTATTATATTGAGCTTTTATGTCATCCATCATTTTCATTTCTCGAGCTTGGTCATCCTGAAAAGTAAAATATCTATTTACTCAGATCTTATTGTTGGATATTCTAAAAAAGAAATAATATTAAGCATTTAATATGTTTTCATTACATAAATAAATAGGGATAACCTGTGGATGAAACATGTCATTTTAGGCATCATATTTAAAATAGGGACCATTTCAAATGTGAAAGCTAATGGAGCATATCATCGGTTTATTGCAAAAAGTCATTAAGTAACATTTCATAAAATTTAATTACAAAGAACTTTGATTAATTTTCCCTCTGTGAAATTAGAATATTGTGAACTTATTGTAACTACATTTGATAAATAAAAGGGTGAGTATCAGTATGAAGCACTTTCTGTTTTTGTTTTTTTTCATTGATAAATAAGGTCAAAATTCACAAAAAAAAGTACTTAAAAATACGGTCACATTAAATATGTACTTACTGACTTAGTATAGCCAGTTTTGATATAAACTGACTGTATCTTCCCTCTTTTTTATTCATATTATATTGAACACAACAATTCGATACCTGCTCCCATTCACAAAAAAAGAACTCTACTTATGGAGGTTTTATTTATAAATAAGTAATAAAAAGTCCTATGAATGAGATAACTTTTCAAGGGCATTTTAATAGTACACTTTGATATAATAGAATAAATGATAAAACTTCAAAAGAATCACTCCCACAAGGCAGCTGGGCCAAGATCTCAAGAAATTTTAAATTGAAACTTTCGACTTTCACTGGCTCAAGATAGATAAAGCACATTCCCAAAGGGTCCTTCCATTTCAGTGACATTGGCGGTCTTACCAAGGGTAATGATCAATACTGTCTACTTTCAGACACACCCATTCACTTTTGAAATCCTATTTAAAGTATGATTGATGTGATCTTGGTCCAGCCGCCATGGAGGAGTGATACTTCTGTGGTATTACCACATAAATTACTGATATAATAGGTACATAGTTTACAAATGTGCATCTAGATGATATGTGGGCTAAGATGACATGATCATATTGCACATGACATAAAAAAATTAGCAGTTTGTTGGAAAGAGTTCAGAGATAACTGTTCATCATATTTTTTGCTCATTACCTCCACTTACTCCTATTGATAAACACAGATAACAGTATAAACTAAATTATACAAAACAATTAAGATTATATTATATGGCAATTATTGAACATCGAAATAACTATAATTTTTTTTTTTTCCAACCGAAAATAGAAATAATCACAACCCCACATACTTTTTTTTGTAAGCACAACTATGAATATCGATAAAAAAAACAGTAATCCACATATGATAAAAGTGATTAAATTTGAAAAACAGGATGGCTACCAGAACATTTGTATAAAATTCCCTGACTTTTCCAAGTTTTACAGATCATTTTTGGAAAAATTCCAGTTTATCGAGATAGTTAAAATAGGAATCAACTTATATTTACTAATAATTGGAATAATGAAGCAGCCTTCATAATGCGAAAAACAATAGAAAAAATATTATCTCTAATATCGACTTCTATAGCTTTAGGTCTTCAGATCTTTCATTATATGACCCTCATCTGTATAGAATTTCATCCCCTCCTAAATCCATAATTCCAATAACCTACCAACCTTATAATCTCGTCTGTTCAATCAGTTCCTATCTATTCAATTTCTAAACAATTGCAAATATGAACATAAATTATTAGTTTGTTTTTAAGTATATTTTTTATCCTTCAATAATCAGTGTTAAGTTGATTTATGTATGTATATTTTTTATTTCTATTAGTTTAGTTTATTTTATTTTTATAAAACTCTGAGGCACTAAAATGCCCACAATTGTATTATTCTAAAGGGAGTTGTCCCAGAATTAATTAAGCATAGTATTATTAATATTAATAATAACATTTTCTATTAATCTGTTGTTTTCTGGAGGACAGAGAAGTGGAATATGAAAAAAAAACAATGACTAACAAAACTAAAGGTTGTACTGTACAAGTATCTTTCCACTTTGATAAGAGGCCCAAGATCTCATGACTACACCATCAACAGAATCCCAAAAGAGTCGAGTGTCTCCAAAAGTATATAGAAGTGACCAAATCGTCTAGTAGGCTCCAACCTCAATTGAAAAGGACCCGCTGGGTTTTGATCATCCCTTCAGAACAAGTGTAACTAGCAGGAGTAGAAAGCAGTGATGTAATCAAAGCTAATTAATGCCATAAATCTAACTGAGAAGAACCAGCTGAGTTTGCCAAAGATGTGAATCAGGATTTAAATAAAAGGAGGTTATACAATCAACACATCAATCTTCAGCTGTTCTCGGAGTCCTATTTGTGCCATGATCATGAGATGTTGGTCCACTCATCAAACTGGAGTGACACTTGAACAATGGTATCAAAATAAATATTAGTGTTCATCCAAAAATCAATGAACACACTTTAATATGTTTGACGTGTCTAATATGCTTATTATGAATGTGTTTTTAAAATTTTATTTAATGTTGTCTCATGTTATATTTTACTAAGTTTTCTTTTCTTTTGTTATACTTTTTCTTTTCTTTTTTTTTTTTTGTTATTGTATATATATTATGAATGAGTCTCTTACATCTCAAATACTAATTACCTTAATTGAGTAAAAATGTATATTTGCTTAATAAATAAATATTTTTACAAAAATATGCTTATATCACTATAATGTTTACTTTAAAGAAACGATATAGTAATAAAAAGAGTGATAGAAATAATATAGCCCCTATACCATCCAGATGTGACACTTGTGAAATAGTACCAAAAAATGTATCAATAGTACATTTGTTCTGTAAATGTTAATAACAAATAGACAACCAAATATATAACAGGTAAAATAGTCAGAGACAAAAACAAACTGGTGCATAAATGATCCAGAAGTACAGAAACAAAATTCCATTTGCTGAATTACATTTTAAGATGTTAATATGGTTAATCAAAATTATGAAAAAAAAAAACAAAAAATAATACCGCTATTTTCTGTTGCATTGCTAAGCTGCTTGCTTCTTTTGAACATTGTTTTTCAAGTTGAGAAAGTTCTTTTTCCAATGCAAGTATTTCTTTACTTAATTCCTCATTTTCTCCTACAGTATCTATACATATATATAAAAAATATAACAATAAATAAATGAAATGTCTCAAATTATATGATTTAACTCAATATGGTATATATAAAAAAGAGAACTAGCACATAAAGTATCTGTATTTGAAGCTCTCATAAGTTTCCAATAATAAATAGTTTTCACCTTTTAAAAAAGCCTGGTTTTTACATTCTGATTCGTTTATTAATTCGCAAATACTTTTCTTTACATCTGAAAATTCAGTGAGTACATTGCAGGAGTCTTTGATTTTCTTCAACTCACTATCCAACAATTGTAAAACAGTAGACTGATCCATTACAACAATTTCATAAAAATTATAAATTATGTCAAGTTATAACTATTAAAGTTCAATGAGGTAAAAGACTATATTCGGATTGATTAGCCTATCATTTCAAACATTCTACACTGATTCAAAATATCAGAAATTACAACGGCGGGAACTACAAAGAGGTATACGAATCTCGTTTACGACAATGCTCTAGAAAAAGTATTCTATAGAATCTTAAGCTTTTCATACTATCTTGCGAGCAGAAAGCTCAGCGATGATTAATATCAAAGCGGACTAATCAAAATTAATTAATACATTGTGAAATCAATTACAGAAACATAAAACGATAAAAATAATAAAAATCCTATATTACCTTTTCATTTCGAAACATGACCTGCTCTTGAGTTCATCTAGATAAAACAAGTAACAAAGATCTATGGAGTATCTCACTGCTATCCAGTGTTTACAAGATGCTGTCTAGAATTCCAATCCTTAGGTTACTGTCCCATAACAGGCTGGTTTTATGAGAGGAAAGGGCACAATAGAATATCCAAACCCTTCACTTGTCTATAGATTCCTGGGCCGCATACGATAGTGAGAAAAGGAACGAACTCTATAAAGTCATCCTCAATATGGAAGTTCCACCCAAGCTTGCGAGACTCATTCAGAAGACAATTGGAGCAGGATGATGTTTAGTACGCGTTGGCGGTGAGCTTTCAGACTCAGTCAAAACTTACGGAAGTCTGCAAGTAGGGTGGCAGTCTTGCATGCCTCCACTTTAAGTTTACTCTGAAGGGCGCGGTAAAGAACTCAGGCATCCAAGTAGAAAGAACAATTTCCAATAGTTCAACCCAAATAAATGGTACTGCTGATAATAAAATTGGGAGACATTATAAAGTCATGGCTGAGGCGTTCGAGAACCTACGAGCTGCAGCTTCAAGCAGCTTCAAAAATAGGGGTTGAAGTTAACCAATAAAAGACATAATGAATGTGGAGGGCGCGGTGCTCGAGCGGGCGAATGTATGTGCAAAACACTTGTTGCTTTATAAACACTTTATAAACACTTGTTGCTAGTTTATTAGATATAAAATAATTACGAGTTCGCGTCCTGGTGTCAAGAGAGCTTTTAATTCTGGCATTAATTCCTCACCCAATCCCCCTAGCACGGGTAATCCTCCGTTAGGCTAAAAGGCGAGGTAGGGGTGAAAGAGAAAAAAAAATGCAGGGTGACAAACCCACGAGGAATGCTTTCTTCCAATGTACAAGACGATGAATGGGCATTTGAGGAAGTGGACTGATTCAAATACCTTATCTTCTAACGAAATCAGGATAATGACGTGGGAGAGGAAGTTCAAAGAAGCTAATAAATGTTATTTTGGACTAGTGTGACTGATGAAAAGTAGTTTATTTTCTCACACAATCGAATTGCATTTGTATAAAACTCAAAGTATGCCGGTTCTTAAATATGGATAGGAGAGCTAGATGAAATTTAAGATTCCTGAAGTTCAATTCTCCCGATTCGAATGGAAAATACTGAGAAGAATTTTCTTGGTGGTCTCAGTGATTTTTGATGCTAATCAGCTAGCCTGATGGATAAGGAAGTTAAGGATATCATTATATCTCACATTGTAAAATATCCCATTCTTGTTTTTTATCTTTTATATTATCCAATCACAGTTTAATTTAGTGATTATGTGACTGAACAAGCCGTAAATGTGACTTCTTTCCTAATTTCTGTATCTCTTTGTGTCAATTACAATATTTATAACCTATCGTTCTTGGTTACAAAATACATATTTTCATGTGAATATCCTGGTGCTTAACTTTCAGTTATACATTATTTCCTAAAACTACTGTGTCTGTTTATCGTGATGGCTGAAAACAATAGTGAGAAAGATAATAATGCAGAATTAGAAAGGTAATCAAATATTTTCACTAATTTATTCAATTTTTCAGTAGTGTTCATTTTCCTTAAGTAGTAATTATTTTATTACATTTTACTCCAGTAATGTATGGCAAAAAGATGATCTCACATTTGTCTCCTATATTTTGATGAAACTTGAACAAATCAGGTGAATCTAGGCCTCAAAATTTTTAGGGGTATTTACTCTGTCAAATATTAGGAATATAGCTCTCTCTGAATCCCATAAAAAACATGAAGAGTTTTCAGTTTAAAACTTTCCCTTTGGATTTTCTGAAATGTATTTTTACATGTTTCTCCTACTTCGTGTGTCCTTGTACTGCCTGAAAATGTAAATTTGTATTATTAGAGAAGTTTTAAAAAATAACATGTAATAGAGACCTGTAGAAATACATTGTTTGTATCATTAACTTTTGTTTTGTTTTTTAAATGTGGTTTACAATATAAAATGTTCTGATAATGAATTTTTCACACTAGTTGGTTTACTTTTTCGATGTGTGTGTAACTTTTAAAATCGGTTGTTTAATTAGAAGTTACAGGTTCAAATATGAATTTCCATGATATTTTATTCAGTCTATAATCTGGTATTGAAGAGAAGTTGTTTGGGGTGTTCAGTCAAAAATAAATAAATCATATTTATTCTTAATTTGTTTATTTTTAACTTATTACCCCAATCAACTTCTCTTCAATTATTCACTAAAATCAACAATCATACCACTGTTATAGTATTTATTATTTAAGACTATTTTATATAAATGATTATGCTGTTTCAACCACAAATAAATTCAAATTTTAAATGTAACTTTGTTATCATTATATAAATAGTCAAAAGGAAAATAGTTCAGTCCCTTTTTCCTCTCTGGTTTTCAACCGATTTTCTTTTGTAGCTATTGACCAGCTTTAGTATTATCAATAAAAAGTTTTTGGAAGCATTGTATATAATAAAAATATAAATGTTAGGTTGTTTAAAACCGCTAATCTCCGAAAGTTCTTCACTGATTGCTTTGAAAATTTAATACAATGTTGCAATCAAATTCTGTAGTATTTTTGTACACATTTTATTACGATCCAATCTCCTTTTGACATGGGGGCTGAAAAACATGAGTTGTTTTACACGATAGCACCAGAATTGCTGTAACGATTTTAATGAGATGGCTAAATTACCTTCTTGAAGCCCTTTTAATTTATGTATACAACATACTTCCCCGAAAAGTGGTTAAAAAAAAGGAACGATGGATTCAGAATTTTCAAAATGTACATAATTTTTGGTTCATTAAGCTTATAAGTATTAGAAAGCTTCCTGAATTTCCTCAAAAATGAAGAATAAAATCATCGAAATCAAAAATAATCATGCCCAATTAGATATTTTAATTTAATTTTTTAGAACAGCTCTAGTATGACAAAATAATATTTGACATATTGCTATAGTATAAGTACAATTTTGAAAAGAAACGATGAAATGATAGAAGAGGCAAAGTGGATTGAAGTATTTTTTTTTTTTTTGGTGAAGCCATATTGAAATTGGTATTTTGTATCTGGAAAAATGCTCAATTCAAATTTAAATAGAGATTGAAAAATAATTTTTTTTTTCCTCAAATTTTTAATGAATGAGCGAAGTAAATTCAAATATTTTATTAAACAAGTAATGATGAATCCACATTTGTATTTGCTTATCGCTCAAAAAGTATAAAAATGATACTGCATTATTTTCTTTTTGTTAGTACATATGATAGTAAATGTAAGAATATATATTAGTGTAGAAAAAAATGTTGAAAACATGCAAATTCATTTAGGTTCAATAATGATTATGGCCGAATTTTGACCACTTGACAAACATTACTTTTATTAAAATTATAAATTAGCACAAACTTCAAATGATTTGAATAATGCATATTTCATATTGGTTTTTCTCTATAGCTTAATAAAAACTGAAATAAAATATAAAAGTCATAAAAAACAGGTGAACTACTCTTTTCATTCTGTTTTTCATTACTGTTTAAAATTATGTTGGTAGTGAGTATCAATACTTTTGATCATGATTTGACAATTTTTACTTAATAATAAACATAAAATACAGGCTATTGCTGGAAAACATGAATTTTATAATGTGTTGAAAATAATCTACCAAGTAAAAAAGGCTAAAAACTAATTAACATAAATAGTTCATTCGTTTAATTTAATTTGTTCTCCTTTACCTAGTCAAAGAGTAAAACGTTCTTTTAACGGTGTATTATATGGAACATTTAAAAATTTCAGTCACATTATGTTACTGGACAATGATATGGTCAAATCATAACTGAAAGCAGTTAAGTATTTTTTCTCATAATCTATCTTTTTGGAAGCATGCTTATAATTAATTGTTTCAAAAAATTTTTAATTATATGACTGAGAAAAAAGAAATGAAACGGGAAATGATAATCCCATATAATATATAATTCTCACTCCTTTCTATTACAATCCATATATATTCACTAACATATTTAGCTGTAGAAGTTAAAGGGAGGGTTCTAAAACTAGGATTTTTTATATCAATTTTCATAAACTGATTTATTGCTTTCTGAACTAATGTTATATCTCCTGATTGTTTAATATAGACTTATAACGTTGTGATATTTTACAGGTTGGCAGCTGATGAACTTATAAAAGAAGCAAAAACATTAGCAAAGATAGCCAAAGTGGAAGGAGCTTTAGGATGGAAGAAGAGACGCATTCTTAGAACTAATAAAATTTTCTTACATCAGACTTTAAAGAGAACTGTTAATGCTAACAAAATGAAAAATACTATAAAAAAATAATTAGAATCAATTGAAAATATGTATATTACAATAAGTTTATGAATGTAAAATGTATAAACATTGTATAATTTATTTAATAATTAAGTTATTTGAAAGAATTTTCTTTATTCAATTGGGTTTCAAATTTTGTTTCCTCTTCCTCTATCTATAAGTGGTTTAATTTTTTATTTTATTATTTAAGCCAAAAGTAATGTTATATTATTTTTAAATATTGTATATTATATTTTAAAGCCGCATTAAAAAAAATAACATTCGGGTCTCATCTGCAAGAAATTGCGCATGCAGTTGAGCAGCATCTTCTAATGTGAAAGATATAATTTTCACTATTTTTTTAAAATTTATTATTATGAACTATAAAAAGAGTTATCTTTATTATATATCTGTTTTCTTTTAATGGTGAAAATATACATTTAGAATATGAGAAGATATTTTTACAATTAAGAATGATATTCTTATTATATACAAGTTAATTCTTAGAAATTTATTCACTGGGCACTTACGCACATTGACTAAAATTAAATGAAAAGAATGTTTTTCTTTTTATATGCATAAATTATTAATTGTAATATTTCATAATGCCTTAAAATTCTTGGTTTTTAAAGGCATTTTCAACAATACAACGTTGTTAATTTGTCATTATTTAAAGTTTTTTTTAGTTTAAGGTTAGAAAATTGACTCATAGCAAAAATTAATCCTCATTAATAATGTAAATAAAATAAAAGCTCCTTTTATTATAAATAAAAGAATTTATTTATAATAAAATAACTAAAACAAAAATTAAATTAAATATTGATTAGTCCAGGGTTTTAGAAGCTTTTATGGAGAATTTAATATGACATTTAAGGAAATTTAAATTGAGTTTTGAACAAAAGTAATTTCTATTATTTACAAAAAAATATGTATTTGATAGTATAATCAAGGTTCGTCAAGTTTAGAAAATACTCAATAGAACATTTTTATTTTTTATAATTAGACTTTAGAAGATGATCAGGTACCTGCTTAAAGAAATATGACACATTTTTTTTCTCTCTTTAGTCATTATCTGCACCTGTCATGGTGTTGACAATCAGCAGATGCATTCTGATGATGAGGATAGACATTAAAGGCATGAGGAAGGTTGGTGCCCAGCAGCACCTCTTCCTGGTCATTATTTATTTTTTCTATGTAAGTGAGGAGATCTCTTATCCAGCTCCTTTTTAATCTCCTCCTAATGGGCATGTCAGTCGTATAAATATGTTTGTGGGTCCGTGTAGTTTGAGATGAAAATGAGAGGAAAGAGTACCTATGTGTTGGTCTATAGTTGGTTGTCCTAAGTCGTTATGTAAAGTTTTGTTGTTAACGTACCAGGGAGCTCCTGTTATAAGTCGTAAAATTTTGGATTGAAATGACTGTAGTTTTTGTAAGTGTGTCTTTTTTGCCTAACTGTAAATCTAAGAGGCGTATGTCCAGATGGGTTTGAGTAGGTAAGTGTATGTACTTAGTTTTTGTCGAACTTTCGATTTAGAAAAGGGTGAGTACAGTATTTTCAGTCGCTTGTTTAAGGTCTGTCGTTTCATTTTGATGTGTGGGCCCCAGCTCATCCTTCTGTCGAATATTAGTCCCAGGTAACGTACTGTGTTTTTCTGAGGAATTTGGTTCTCTCCTATATAAACTGGTGGGCACGTTTCTCGTCGAAGTGTAAATGTTATATGCTGTGTGCTTTGTCATGATTTAATTTTATTTTCCAAAGTTAAATTAAACTAGATTTGAAATAGGAATTATCCAAAACAATGGATGAGAATTTTAAGTAAATTTATTCCGATTATAATTGGTTTGGGCAGGAGTTGATCAAGACAAATGGAAGCCCAAACGTTAAAAATTTGGGACTACTTTAAAAGGAAAATTTTCACCTTAGAGATCATAAATTTAAAATTTGTATTTTATATTTCTACAATTAGTTTATGAAGGATCTTTTTTAAAATCTTAAAGTCTTTTCTAAAATAATATATATGACCTCAAGTACTGAACAGCTCTTAGTGTACTTACCACTTAATCTACTTTTGATTTTTGTTTTTAATCTGAGTCAAAAAAGTTATGTTTATCTTTATAAAACAGATACCTAGTATGAAATTAAAAAAAAAAAAATTGGATAGGACAGTTAGTATGGCCCCGAAAATCGCTGGAAAAGAGGATTCAATTGAAGTAATTAATATATTATCCTATATATTATTTCTAAGAGGTGTTTTTTTGTGATACACCATAACTTCGTCAATTCTTCATCAAATCCAATGAATGACCACTCATTTTGAAGATATTCTTCTCCTTCACATGCAAAAAATAGTCCTATCCCCTGGAAAAAATATTTATGGAAGAAAAGAAACTTTATTTGCGAATAACTCAAAAAGTATTTATTTTTTTCTCGATTGTACCCATGATAATTAGAAAGATTACTAAATTACCTACAAAACAAAAAAAAAAAAATCGGACAATTATTAACAAAGATACAGTCCATTAGTTTTGGTATACTTAATAATGTCTTCCTGTTTAATGATATTTTATTTATAGTTGAATATTCTACTATAATGTTTTTCCTGGCTGATATATTAACTTTATTATTTCTTAAAGACATTTGGTTGTTCTTATATTTTATTTTTTTTAATAATTTAGAAAATCCTATGATCAGAGCATTATTTTGTCTTTATTACTTTTATTATCTTTCCAGTCAGTATTTAAAAATAGGTCTTAGCAAAACAATTTGTCCAAATATTTTTGTCTATTATATTTGATGGATTATTGTAATCGACCAAGGAAAAAATATTAATTCCTTCCTTACATAATAAATAAGAACTACTCATTTCCATATTGTTTTGCTATTTCTTCAATAAACAAAATTTTCTGCGAATTATTAACACGGGCCAACTAGTTATCAAATATAGATATTACTCCACTTATATGCTGTTTGAATGAATAGTCCTGTATCCCATAATTATTTCTCACATTTTAAATATTATTTACAGATTGGTAAGTTTTGGCATATTATTTATTCAGCTTGAGTTTTTGGGCTATTGTGGTAGAACAGAAGTAAATGAATGTATATCTAAACAGCTATCTATCGATTTCCGACAGTCTAACCTGGGCCATAGTCTAAAATGAACTGCTTTGCGGCAATTTCTTCGCTTCCTTCAACTTAACAGTAATATTATCCAGTGAAAGGTATTATTAAATAATTTTAGACTGATCTGCATAAATATATATATATATAACCTCGCTTTGTAGTTATAATACACACTCACATATGTATGCGTACAATCGATGCATACATTCAGTAAATAGATGGAAGAAATGTCCCATTTACATAAAGTAAGAGAATTATTTCGTCCACAAAAATAATTCTTGATAGATGAGAATGTTTTTAAACATCATTATATTCCTAAAAAATTAAAAGAATGTACTATTTTTGCTATCGTTACTTACAGTCTTAGTTTGAATATTATTAATTTATTTTCACGTGCAATCCACAGCAAGCCTTAATGCCAATCCCTTAAAATTCTTATTATATTGGAACTTTTCTAGTTGTGTTTCAATGGTTAGTGCTCTAATTTCTAATATTAATTTAAGAACTAGATTGAATCTAATAACCAAATGCAATGCAATTATCATTCATTTTAAATAATTACGTCATTATTGCTGGCCGTATACAGTTAGTCGATATTAATTTATACGTGGACTAAAGCATTAATATTAAATAATAACAGCCAAGTACTTAGATGGGAAAATGTTCAAATTGTTCTATATATTCATTAAGAAAATTGCACAGTTAACATTGTTGAAAGTTTTTATGATTCTTTCAAGGGATGTTGAATGACGCAAACAATAACATATAATCTCTCGTAGTGTACCTTTTTTCAATTTGAAAACTGATTTGGGAGCGGGAAGAAAACGTTTTGGGCTAAACATGACCAATCCTGGGACATGTTGTTTAAAGTGCTTGTCCAATAAAGTTAGTAAAAACTGAATGTCCACGTTACTTGCTTATATTTGACTGTTTATCGTGTTTGCATAGTTAATGGCAGTTATAAATGGACGATGTCGGAACCCATCGTTATTGACGAATTCAACGAATGTGCTGAGACAGAATCATTCTGCGTCCAGCTTGTATACGAGGTAAGTTAAATTTTTTAAAATTAAACTTACTATTACAAACTCATTTTGATATATTCTATTCTGCTTCAAGTTTCTTGTATGTTACAACTTTAGCAAAACAGTTAACGTATTCATCGAGGAAATCCAGAGCAGCAGTTACTCACTTCCTGAAAAGCGACCCTATAGAAAAGACAGAATCAAAAGAGGTGATGCTCTGGAGATGATATCGTGTGTAAATACTGGAAACCACTTACATTTCTTTAAGGTAAGAGAAATTTATTTGTTTGTTCAGTTCAATAACTACCTACACGAAATGGTGTTTAAATTGTAAGTTAAAATCATGGTATATTATGAAATTTACTGAATCAAAAAATAATAATTATAAGACAATTAGATGAACCAAAAAATATCTTTATTTTTATGCTATATATATGATAAAATTTTATGTTGCAGAATTGGACTGATCTTATTCCAAGAAATATCAGAGATTCGAGAGAATACGAAAACATAACAGTTTTGTTGCATGCATACTTCGCCACTTTACCTATGAGAGAGAATTTAACAAAAAAGGATCATATCACTGTGGAACCTTCAAAACAGAAAAATATTGAAAATGTTAACTTCGAAGTTACTTATGATAGTAATAATAAAACATATCCTCAATCTACTAAATTCAAAACTGCAGAACTAATAGACGATATTAAAATCTTGGAAGTAGATGAATCGGAAATACTAACGGAAAACAATGCATCAGATACAGAAAATGTAAATACTGAATTTAAAATTGAAGAAGGTAAAAAAAGTTTAGGAGAAAAAGATATTGTTAATATGGAAGAAGATGTTATAAAGGAAAATGAAATAGAAAATAGCAAAGAAGGAAAATTTGATAATAATCCAGAAAAAGTTAATGCAGAAGAAGAAGCAGTAATAAAAGAAAAAGAATTCGGAAATTTAGAAAAGGAAAAAATAAAAATAGATAATTTGATAAAAAATGTTGATGAAAACGATATTATTAAAGAGAAAGAAATAGAAAATGTTGAGGAAGAGAAATTATTTAATGAAAAAGAAATTAGAAGCACTGAAAAGGAAAAAATAAAGCCATTTGATACAATTAATGATGATAATGAAAAAGAGAAAAAAATAAACAATCCTACAGCTATGGAAATGTTTAAAAATTATCTGTTAGAAAATAAATATAGGTTTAGTTCAGAAACCGAATACCTGCCTCTATTTGCTCTACCTTTTATAGAAAATCCAAAAGAACATCTGGCCTACTCTGAAGTTTTTAAGGTACTGCTATTTTTATATAGTTTTTTAAATATTTTTCTATTGGTTTGTAGTTTTATATAATATGCATACACAGGGTGTCCCGTAAGTAGGGGGAAATATTTAAAAGGTTGATAGTAGATATGAAGATCTACACAAAAATTACATATAAAGAATTGCCCAATTTCCAGGAGAAAAACAGGAAATTAAAGATTTATATGTTTTTATGCGAGTCACGGTTTTTGTTGAATAAGAAGCGATAATTAAAAAAATATTTGTTTTAAGTAATTAAATATTGCTCCTTGGTAAACTAGACAACATTTAATTTAAACGAAAATAGATTTTGTCATTGTTAAAACTATTTAAAGAGAGGACAAACACAGCTAAGTTCCGTTTTTAAAAAGTCATAAATTATTTGTGTTTTTTTATCACACTTTAACTATAATACAGTTACCCCACCTTTAGAAAAACGTCCTTGTTTAGTGACCTTTCAGTTCATATTAATTAAGTTGAGGTCTATTGGGGAAAAAATTGAGATTCACCTCAAGTTGTGTAAAGATATTATGTGATTTTCTATCCAGTCACCTAAAAGTATCCGTATTTCCTGCAAATATGACTACAATTAAATGTTGCAAAAATTTTATTTCATGTTTTTCCGTGATATGGGGCGTATTTTAATAAAAACGATTGTGTAAAAACATATTTTATTTATAAAGAATTTAAAAATAATTATTTTCAAATATTTTTCGTGTAATGTTATGAAATTTGTTTTTCTTTCAGATCTCTGTCATAGGAATTGGGAATTTATTTATTAGTGACAAACTTAATGTTTCTATCCGCAATGTTTACGTTTTCATGAAAATAATTGAAGCAACCGGTAGTTTTATTTATTTTAATCGTAAATTTCAATAAGAAAAATTAATATTGTCTCTGATAAATACGTTCTCAATTCCTATGACGGAGAAATGGAAGAAAAACGCAGTTTTATAACCACTTCACGTGAAAAATCATTATTTTAAACTTTTTATTTTTATAAATAAAATTTATTATAAGGCAGTTATTTTTATTACAATACACCTCATATCACGGAAAAACAAGAAAAAAAAGCTTTGCAACTGTTAATTGTAGTCATATTTGCAGAAAATACAGGTACTTTTAGGTGACTGAATAGAAAATCACATCATATCTTTACATAACTTGAGATGAATCTCAATTTTTTGGGTTTATTATTTTCAATAATGAAACATTGTGATCGACCGAAAAATTCAAAAACATAACCCCCTCAAAAATTTGAGGTTTCACGTTTCAAGATGCGTAGAATTCGAAAAACGAATAAAAAATTTTTTTCCGTCCGCCGTCCGCCGTCCGCGCATTTTCTCCGAAACTACTGGACCGATTTTTTTTCAAATTTTGATATAAAATCAGAGGTCACCCGAGGATGATCCTCCTTCACCGACATTACTCTCCGCCTTCAACTTTCAAAATGGCGGCCGAAAAACCTGCGTTGCTATAGACTGTAGCTCCTAAACGAATGTACAGATTTCAATGTAACTTCGCTAAAGTCATTTTCTCGACGCCCTTTAAATTTATCTATATAACATACTTCAACGAAAAGAAGCTGGAAAAAAAGTTACGAGGGATGGTAAAATTAAATACCGAATAACTCGAAAAGTGTTTACTTTTTTGTTGATATTATATTAGTTTTTTAAAAGTTCATGAAATTTCCTTAAAAAAATCGTTAAAATCGGACAACTAGGTGCAAAGATATGGTCTCTGTTTTTTTTTTAATGTGTTCTACTCCAAATGTTATATCCTTGGTTTGTTTTTTTAATTTTAAATGTGTTACTGAAATAATGCCATTTTTTTTTAGCATATTACTAATGATTAAAGAAAAATAGTTTATTCCAATAATTGGAATCACCTTTTGTTTTGTTTTTTTTCTTCCTCACTACCGAAGGTAGGGAAGCATTGTGTTCGTGCGAGAAATTAAAAAAATTTTTTTGCTCAGAATCGAAAATTTTCACTCGCGTTTTACGTTTCAGACATCAAGGATCAAATTTGGTTCGGTGTCTGTCTGTCTGTCTGTCTGTCTGTAGTCAAATCGATGTGACGGGCATATCACCTAGTACCGTTCATCCAATCTTCATGAAATTTTCAGGGATTATGCTGATTGGTGCCTAGATGGTCCCATATCAATTTTATCAAATTCCATCCAGCACTTCCGCTTACGCACGCGCAAACGTATATTTTTAGATATGCCAATATTTCAGAAAGGGCTCGTTCGATTTGGCTCAAAGTTAAATAAAAGGTAGACTTTGGTGAAAAAATAATGTAGTGTCAATTTCATTGAATTGCGTCCAACACTTTCTCTTATACGTGCACTACTAGTCCGCCGTCTGCCGTCCGCGCATTTTTTCTGAAACTACTAGACCGATTTTTTTCGAATTTGGATATAAAATCAGAGGTCACCCGAGGATCATCCTCCTTCAACGACATTACTATTCGCCTTCTAGTTTCAAAATGGCGGCCGAAAAACCTGCGTTGCTATAGACTGTAGCGCCTAAACGAATGTACCGATTTTGATGTAACTTCACTAAAGTCATTTTCTCTACGCCCTCTAAATTTATCTATACTACATGCTTCAACGAAAAGAAGCTCAAAAAAAGTTACGAGGGATGGTAAAATTAAATTCCGAATAACTCAAGAAGTATACACATTTATGTGAATATTGTAATGTTTTTTTAGAAGTTTACGGAATTTCCTAAAAAACAAAAAAAAAATCGTCAAAATCGGACAATTAGGAGCAAAGATATGGTCTCTAGTTTTTTTTAGATGTACTATTGCAAAAGGTTTATCTTTTTTTTTTATTTCTGAATATGTTACTGAAGTAATGCTATTTTTTTTTAAGTATATTACTAATGATTAAAGAAAATGTTAGTCCAATAATTAGAATCACCTTTTATTTATTTTTCTTTATAATTAGGAATTTAATGTTACTTTATATGTATAATTGTTTGGAAATAATATACCAAAGAGAAATAATTTGCAGTGGTTTTTTTCAAATTAATTATCGTTATATATATATATATATATATATATATATATATATATATATATATATATATATATATATATATATATATATAAATCTTTGGTGCTGAAGCCCCTCCTTCAAAAGTAAATCTTGATTCGGTAATGTATATACTATTATTAGAGCATAAGTTCGTATGTAATAATTTTCAACTTTAATTCTATGTGTATTAAAGGTGATATTTTGTAGTCTGCAACTGATATAAGTAGTCTGCTACTATGGAAAATAGCAGATGAAAATAAAATATGAAATTATTCTAATAAAGCATAAAGAAATATTGAGTTTATATGCACTCTTGTAAAACAATAAATAAATTTATACATAAGATCTTTTGAACTAACAGTATTGAAATTCATGTTCAGTATGCATTTTTTTTTTATTTATTTTTATTTTTATTAAGCATATTCAAGTATGGAATATTCAAATATGACCCTCTGTTGTTGAATGTTGAAGGGTAACTGTAATCGGCTATTCCGATTTTGCTTCTCTCAGAGATTTTATTCTCATACGAAAAATTGTATACCTTGTAATATACAACGGAAACGGTGAGGAAGCTGTACTGACCTTACTTGGCAGACGTTTTTTCTTTGTAACTCGGAAGGTAATGTTACTTTAGATGTATAATTGTTTGGAGATAATAAACCATTGTGAAATTATTTGCAGCGTTTTTTCTAATAAACCTCTACTTAATTAATATGGACTTAAATCTTATTAATAAATAAATTAAATAAATAAATAAAAAGGCTTAGCGAACCCGAAGGTTCGATGCCGACACCACCAATCGCTTATTACACACCTCCCTCCACCGTTCGCCGTCCAAACCCAGTCCCTTCAGATCGGCTTTAATGCAATCTTCCCACCTTCGCCTCGGTCTACCCCTCGGACGCTTACCATTCGGCACAGCAAATATTAACCTTTTAGGAATTCTCTCGTTACTAAGTCCAACAACTTTACAAGCCCAATTGATTCGCCGCGATGAAATTATCTCAATTATATTACTCGGATACAGTTCACGCAATTCGGCGTTGTGTAACCGTCTGAACTCTCCAGTTAACTCATCCTTCTTCGGTCCGAATATTCTACGCAATACTTTATTTTCAAAAACCTTAAGAAGCTGCTCATCCCTTAATGTAAGCGGCCAAGTTTCGCACCCAAAAAGAACTGTAGGCAAGATAATTGTTTTATAGATTCTAATTTTTAAGTTTCGGGATAAGAGGCGCGAACTAAGTAGTTTTGTCACAGAAAAATAACAAGCATATCCCGCCTTCAGTCTAGCCTTAATTTCTTTTTCAATTTCGTTTTTTCTAGTTATCGTAGAACCTAGAAAGCTAAACTTATCTACCTGTTCAAACATATTACCATCTATATCGATATCACCAGTAGTATCGCCATTTTTGCAGCTAACCATATATTTTGTTTTATCCTAGTTCTTTACCAGCTTTCATTAACGTTGTCGTATTTAGTTTCATAGTTTCGAGGTCTTCGCTTAACAGTACCAGATCATCAGCATAGCCCAGCACGGATGTTGTCCCACCCAGATCCAACCCTTTCTCGGTACGCATTACCTCCCTAATGGCATGTTCTAATGCCAAATTGAACAGGACAGGCGAAAGTGAATCCCCCTGTTTTAAACCCGAACGAATCTCAAATTTTTCGGACAGATTATTAACTATTCTAACTTTATTGAGTGTCTCCGTCAAGCACATCCTGACTAGATTTACTAATGTTTTAGGAATCCCCTGCTCGATTAGAATATTATACAGTTTCTGGCGGTCAATAGAATCGTAAGCCTTTTTAAAATCTATATACAGCTGGTGAACAATACCGTTGTACTCCAATTTTTTCTCTAATATTTGCCGTAAAGAAAATATTTGATCAATAGTCGAACGATTCCGTCTAAATCCGCATTGGTATTCTCCGATAATTTCCTCAGCGTATCCCGTGATTCGACTGGTTAAGATTAAAGTAAATATTTTATAACATACCGGAAGGAGTGGAATTCCTCGATAGTTATTACAATCCGTCCTCAGACCCTTTTTGTGAATCGGAATAAGAATGGATTCTTTCCATTCTTCAGGTAATTTCTCATTCACCCAGATCTTTTTAACCAACCGATGTATTTTAGAAACTCCAGCTTCCCCGCATGCCTTAATTAGTTCAGTAGGAATATTGTCGATTCCCGCTGCTTTATAAGATTTTAATTTTCCGATAGCTATTTCAACTTCCTCTTTACTCGGTCCTTCTATTAACGGTTCAGCATTCTGGTACTCAGAAGGAGGACACAGATCATAATTTCCCGTATTTAAAATATTGTCAAAGTGGTCCTTAAACTTATTCAATATGTCAACCGGATCGGTTAGAATATTGTTATTATCATCCCTATTCCAGATGTTACGGACCCTACACATTTACGTGATCTGTTTATACCTTTGTACATATCTCTTACGTTATTTTCGATTCTATTAGCTTCTATTTCAATTATTTTATTTTTAAGATACTCCCTTTTTTATTTTTGAGCGATTTTGTCGTTTAGTTCTTTGAGGTTCGGAAATATTCCAGATTGTCTTCGCTAGGATTATTTAGAGCTTTTAATTTAGCGGCTTTTCGTTTTTCGCACATGTTTAAGCAATCTTGATCAAACCACGGTTTGTTATTCTTATTTTCCTTTTTTCCTAGACACGAGTTACCGACCGCTTTAATATTATCTCTGATCTCTATCCATAACTTGTCAATATCCTCGTGGTCCTCGTCAGGAAGCTCTAAAGCTTCAAACCTATTCTTAACATCTAGCTCGAATTGGGTTCTAATTGATGGATTTTTTAATTTTTCCGAATTAAAATTCTCAAAATCGAAACGGTTTTCTTTTCTCTTTTTTATATTAAGTTTTTGTCGAAGTTTCGCGATTACTAATTCATGATCCGACCCACATTCTGCTCGTCGATAAGTCTGTACATTAATTATACTGCTTTGCCAGCAATGTTGTATCAAGACATGATCGATTTGATTTCGTGTTTGCGAATCCGGTGATGTCCAAGTATATTTATGAATATCCTTATGTTTAAACGTCGTACTTTTAATTATCAGGTTTTTCGAGATGGCAAAGTTTATCAGATGGATCCCATTATCATTACTATATTCGTGCAAACTTTCTTTACCAATCGTCGGAATATAAACTTCTTCCCTTCCTACCTTTGCGTTCGCGTCACCTATAATTATTTTCATGTAGTTTCGCGGTAGTTTATCATAAACCCATTCGAGTTTATAGTAAAATTCACTTTTGACTTCATCGTCACTGTCTTCGGTCGGACAATGTATGTTTATTAATGCGATTTTAAACCAACGTCCCTGAAATGTAGCTACCGAAATTCTATCACTAAAGAATTGTACGTCCCTCAAAGCGGATAGTAATCTACTCCTAATTAGAAACTCGGTACCCAAACAATGATTCCCGCTTCCTCCGTACCAAATAGTGTACTTTCCTTCCCTCATCGAGCCCTCCCCTGGCCAGCGAACATCTTGCAGAGCCACGACATCAAAATTGTACCCATTCACCTCATTCGCGACCGATTTTAGCCCCCTGCTGTGTTTAAACTCCTTACCACGTACGTTCCACGTACCAATATTTAAATCCCTATATTTCAACTTGCGCCATGAATCCCCTAAAGCAGTCCCCACCCGGAGACCCGAACGGGGGACTAGTTTACTTCCGGATAATGAGCGTTTTACCTTAGGGAGATCCATGACTATTTGTGGTGTTTGGTGAACTAAAGATATGTGAGTAGGGTGTTCAATCCTACGTCACACCCTCCAGCAAGTCTGGTGGGCCCCTACCTCCAGCAAGTCTGGAGATCCCCTCCCTCCAGCAAGTCTGGAGGGCCCCTCTCATTGTTGGTCAGCGAGTCCATCGGACTTAGCCGGGAGGAACTTCCAAGGAATTTCCACCGACCATCCCCACATCCGCCACCCGTGGGACGCTCCCCATACGCGGTAATGAGCCCGCGCGAGGTAAATCTTATTAAACGAGGAAGTTTTTCTAAAAGTGGAGTAACTGTAGGACAGTTAAAATGTGATAAAAAATTTACCAATAATTTATGACTTTTTTTAAAATTGAATTTAGCTGTGTTTGTCCGCTCAATAGCCTCTTTAAATAGTTCTAACAATGGCGAAATCTACTTTCGGTTGAAGTAAATTTTGTCTAGTTTACTATGGAGCAATATTTAATTACTTAAATCAAATATTTTTTAAGTTGTCGCTTACTATTCAACAAAAAATGTGACTTTCTTAAAAAAAGACACAAATCTTAAATTTCCCACTTTTCTGCTGAAAATTGGCCGATTGTTTATACGACATTTTTTGTAGCTCTTGACTTCTGCTATCTCTATCAAAATTTCCTTCTACTTACTTGGCACCCTATATACGTATATTATACATAATAATTGTAACCACACAGACATACAATCTGTATTCATATTTTGTTCTTAAGGGACAACAGTCCCGGAATAATAAAACATTTTTTTCATTTCAATAATATTTAGAAGTCATTATCTATCATTACTCTACAAGGGGTAGTTATTAGTTTCTTTCTTCTCCTTCCCAGTCCCCAAAAAAGTTCATTTTTTAATTCGAATGTATAATGATGAATTATCACCACGGGCGTAAAATTAACTTCCCACAAACTAGCAAAATGACTTCATTTTCCAAAACTACCGACGAAAATCGCCGATGAAACCATAAGGAGGAAAAAAATTCCCCAATTGACGAGACAACTTCAACTCTTGTTTAACCTCATAAACGAGAAACTTTCATGAAAAGAAGTTTGAAAATGATATTTTGTGAAAAAATATAATGTATAGTTCATTTTGTTCACATATTTATAGTGGCTATTTGAACGTACGTGGTGTCATATTTTTGCTTTATATCGACGTGGAATTAACACTGATTCACTATGGAGTTCTATTCAAGAGAAAATTTGTCCTTCCTCCTTATAGGTTTTTTTTTTTCATTGGTCAATTTTTTTCTTAAAACAATCTGACCTTAGGCAAATACTTGAACAATTACATTATATTTTCTTTGAAAATTATAACACGTATCCATATTCCGTGGTACAGACCCTTTTTTATCAACTTATTAACATCCGGGAGAAACTTTGTAAATAGCTTCATCTCATCGTAATCTACAAAGATTTTATTTACGAAAATTCTCGGATTTGAAGGTCGGCAAACTTTGTCTATTCAATAAGGCATTTTATTGTATTTTAATAAGGTAACTCATGGATTTGAAGGTAATTTTATCACAAAATCGATAGAAAAGGTGGCCTGCAAAAATATTCGTCCGTTTGGCCTGTATAACATCGTTATTTTGACAATTTGGGGGGGGGGTGTGTAAATCACGCCAAACGGCTCAATATTTTTGAAGGACACCTTTTTTCTCGACATTGTGCTCAAGTTATCTTACGATTCAAGTGGAGAATAAATGGGTATTTAAGAGTTTTTTAGTACCTATGTATTTAAATAGATAAAGTTTGCCCCCCTCCAGATTGAAAACGCCCCAATTTTGAGAATTTTCGTAAATAATATATTTGTAGGTTACGATGAGATAAAATTATTTCCGAAGTTTCTGACCGATGTTAATAATTTGATAACATATGATAAAGGGGGTCTGTACCACGGACTACTAAATGTACTCAGCTATTAAATGTAAACACTTGTAAGGGAAAATATAAAAAATTTATTTCTAGCAGCATTATTTTTCCTGTAATTACTGTTATTAAAAAACTACATATATTTTGTTAAATTTTACATGGAGAAAATAATAGTTTAATACATGTAAAAAGTAATAGAGATTTAGTTCCTGTTTTAACTGCGTACCAAACAATCCTTACTTATTTCTAGATTAAAAGTATATATGAACTTTCAAATCTCTCTTTGTATATAGAGCTCAGAGATTGCGGTTATGTCGTTATTATAGCTAGGAGTGTCGGAGCTATGAGAGATGTGAGGTTTTTATTGCCTATCGTCTATATAATAAATAGGGTAGTGTCTAATTTGATGGTCTAAATCAGTTTCATATTGATAAGTTTGAAGCATTGAATTCAAAAATGTTTTCTTAAATGTTGAACTCCACTCAAATTAATGCACAATTTTTATAGTAGCCCAATTTCACCAACAAAAACAAATTATATTCTAAGCAGAGAGATAAGTAAAATCTGTGTGATGCGCTGACAAGATTTTCTAATTTCTAATTTTAGGAAAAGTGGGTAAGAGATTTGAAGAGTTCCTTGAAATCATTTTTGATCAAGTACAGTTGCGGTGAGACGGTGGTACCGGAGATAGTCAACATGTGTAACGAGAAGCGAAAAACTGCTGCCTCTCTGAAGAAGTACGAAGCAAATGCCGAAGACTCGATGAAACGCTATCATGAAACTAAATCAAAACTCCACAAGCTGAAGAGGGACCACAAACAGTTAGTCGGTAGGTCCATAGTAACTTCTAAACTTGTTATAGAAATTTTAAAAGTAAAAAGAAAAAAAAAATTAAAAAAGATAAAGTAAACAATAAATGAAAGGATTGTTTTAAAAAAACAACAACTAAGGTGTGTGCTTTACACCACATGATAGAGGTGAAAATATCAATAAGGTGAGATTAATAACATGAAATATAAACTATAAATAATAGCTTATTACAGAGATGATGAAATGCTGACCAATTTCCTCGCTTACAGTATGAAGATCCGATTTTCAGTTTTTGATATATTTTAATCCATGCTTCAATAAAACACGTTATAATATGTTTTTTGACACTATTTTACTCTTTTCGCCTCTCTAACACGACTTCGCGTTAAGATACAATTTTGAATAATAGCTCATTACAGAGAGGATGAAATGATGAACATTTTTCTCGCTTACAATATGAAGGTCCGATTTTTAGTTTTTGAGTTATTTTAATCCATACGCAAAAACACTTCAATTGGTCGCTTTACCCCGAACGTTACACATCGTAGATTTGACGGCTAATTCACTCTGAAATCTGAGATCTAATTCACTTTCTACAAAAAAAAATGTGCAAAACGCCCCTAAAGAATTTTTCACTTCAAAAACAGTGTTGTTTTCTTTTAACACGAAAAATCACTGTTTTGGAATTTAATTTTACAACGTGGGAACTGCTAAACCGAAGATAATTCCGATGAATCATTGGAAGGAGTGGCAGTTCCTATGGTATTTGAGGAAATAAGATTCCAAAATGTTGATTTTTCGTATTAAAAAAAAACAACAAAACTGTAGGTTTGTCTAGAAATACTGAACATAATGATCTCAATTAGAACTCAAATTAAAGCTGATAGGATACGCAACAAAAACAATCTAAAAGCAGATTTATTTTAATAAAAAAATAAAATTTCAATGTAAATTTACATCCTAAATTCTGTTTTCCGGGGACAACTATCCTGTTTTCCATTTTCTCGTTCCGAGTCACCCCTGAAATAAAATATATACAATTATATTTTTGCAATGAGACAACAATAAAAAACGCTTTTAATTATTACACAATGCTGTTTATTATTTCCAAATAATTATATATCAGAAGGAACATTACTTTACTTGTAACATAAGAAAAAAAATAAATAAAAGGCGATTCATAATAATGCCCTAATTTATCATTAGTAAATTTCTAAGAAAAATAAAAACATTGATTCAGTTGATATAACACTTTCAGGATATGAAAACCGAAACAAAGAAAATATGCTTTGCAATAGAACATATGTAAAATATTTAAAAAAACATATCTTTGCACCAAATTATCTGATTTCAACGATTCTTTTATATTTTAGGAAATTTAGTAAACTTTTAAATGACAAATAAAAAAAAAGTAGGTTTTTTCAGCCGCCATCTTGAAAGGAAAGAGCGGATAGTAATGTCGAGGTAGTAGGATCATCCACGGGTGACCTCTGACTGCGATTCCAAATTCTCCAAACCCTGTGGTCCCGTAGTCTCGGAGAAAATAAGCGGAAGGATAAAATTATTTTTATTCGATGTTCGAGTTCTACTTATCCCGAAACGTAAAACCTCAAGTTTTGAGGGGAGATTAAGCTTTTGATTTTTTTGGACAATTACAATGTTTATCCCCAGATATACATTGTAATCAATGTACACAAATACAATGTGTATCATTCTGGTACGCCGACTTACCTCCCTTTGGAACTTTCTTCCTACCTCCATACGTCAATCCTCGTCCACAAATTCCTTCCTAACAACTCTTGTTCCACCACCTACTCCACATTCAAACTTCCGCTAATATGTAAAATTATTGTATCTGTATACTGTCTAATTTCAAATACTGCACAATTGCAATAACAATAAGCAGTTAATTAGTTTGTATTTTTCTATATTTTAAGCCAGACTAATACCCATAAATTTGTAACACCGTTATTATTCATAGGGGACTGTAGTCCCAGAATAAAATTATTTTATCATTCATTCATTCAAAACTTATTTCAAATTATTTAATCATCTTACCTTCTCATTTTAATTTATTATCTTCCTAATTGTATTTGACACTATGTATTAACTTTTGAGGTGTAGCTACCGAACTCGCAACAGCATTGGAGAACTCTGTGAGGGGGCAAGCAGTGGACTTGAACACAACGCTGCTCAAGTGTGCTTCCATATTTCCTGACGTTTTCCCACACACCTTCACTGCCTCCAACGTGAGTAACCACTTGAAACTTATTAATAAGTTTGTCTAAGATGCCAATTGTAATTATTATATAATTAGTATATATTTTGCGATAGAAAATATTGGATATTATGTGATAATAATTATATCAAGCATGGCCTAAACTTGTGAAGGTGAAAGGAGGCAGAACTTTTCTTTCCTTTTTTTTATTATTAAAATTTACAACTGTATTGAATGATAAATACAAAAAGTAAATATGAAACAAATAACATGGGATGTACAACATAAAGAGAAACTACCCATTGGTAGCGCTCCAATTATATTTCTATATTATAATCTCCCGAGGCCATCTCCTTTTCAGACGCCTCGGAGGGTTATCAGGAGTAGCATAGGAAGCAAGGTTGAAAAAAAGAGGGTTTGGATCGTTCAGAAGTTTATTATGGAAGGATTTGGATCGAAAATATAAAGTACCTTAAAGTCGTTATGGATGATTTTATTTGTGACAAAGTAGGGAGAATTAAGGATTTTGCGAAGGAATTTGGATTGTAGGGATTGTATACGAGAGGAATTTGGTGGTTTAGTAGATCCACAAAGCTCGATCCCGTAAGTCCAAATAGGCCTTATTATAGTAATATATATATATATATGAATCTTTTGTTAATAGTTGAAGTTTAGAGCGTTTGTCTAATAAGTGCTTCAGTAGTCGAAAACGTCGGGCGGTTTCTAGTTGTTACAGTCCGGTATGGGGTTTCAAAGTGAGTCGTTTGTCTAGGTGGAGTCCTAGGTATTGGATTTGTTCAACAGGGATAAGTGGGGTTTTGTTAAAGCATACTGTAGGACAGAAAGTCATAGGTTTACGACGAGGAAGCAGAATTTAAAGGTTGAAAATGGATTTTTTTTTTTTGGGTTATGTAAAAACGTAACGTGGACTATAGTTTTGGCGACGGGATTAAATTTGGAAAATTATATATACGGAATGAATCGGGAACACATGTCAAACTCCAGTTGGTTGCACAGAGGAAAACAAAAAAATATGCTCTTATCCAACTTTACTTCCCTCGTAATAAGTACTTAATTACTTTCTGGCTATTCTTACCTCAGTTGAATTATCTTATCAAGTATTTATATTTATATCTAATGAAGTATATATATCAACTCTTTTAGCGTATTAACTATTAGTTATTCGGTTTCAACTAACAATTTGTCTAATATCTGGAACCACTAGCGGATCCAGAATTTAATTTTGGGGGGGAGCGTCAGCCCGAAAGATTTTTTTTTCATATATATAACGATAATTAATTTTTTTTAAAAAGAGAAAGAAATGAACTACCTATATGAAATGGTGTTTAAGTCCCATTGAATGTAATCACACTAACAATAATACTTTAAGAGTTTTTAATATTTTTTTTCTATAAAACATGGTTATATTTTACCGTTTTGGAAGGGGAGGGGCCTTCAGCCCGAAAGCCCCCCCCCCGTAAATCCGCCTGTGTTTGGAACCAAGAGGTTTTCGGTACGATGATCGGAAAGGGTTAAATTGTAGTGCTAAGTTTCTGGCTATCCGCTTGTCTCAGGCGGATTGGGGTTCAAGGTACTTTGTAATTTTGAATGTTTTATTCATGACAAATTTGTTCTTGATGGATGCTCTATGAATTCTGAATTCTAGTGCGAACAAGTGGAAATATTGTACAAGAAGTTGTCACAGCATTATCCTGCTTTTATCAACCGAATAGGAATTTTATTCCATGATAATGCGCGTCCTCACACTTCCCATCGAGCCAAAGAAAACTTTAAAGAACTTCATCGGTTCGAACTCCTGCCTCATCCACCATATCCTACTATTTATTCAGACCCATGGCCCATTTTCTTCAAAAGAAAAAAATTGATAATTTTGCGTAAGTTGAAATTGCGGTGCAAGAATTCTTTGACAGTCATTCCAAAGAATGGTATCAGTGTGGAATCGAGTAATTGGCTAGCAGATGTCTAATGGGGGTTGATAACAATGGACTATACATTGAGTATTAATTATATTTTATATCAAAGAACCACTAATAGAAATATTTGGTTAAAAACGGTCTTTTTTTTTTATACACCCTATTATTTGTTGTAGGGAGAGAGTATTTCTTTCACTTTTCTTTGTGCGTTTATCTATTACAATCTAAAGAGCATTGGCTTTCTTCTGACCCTTTAAATAGCGCAGATTTTATTTTTATTGCACCATAACCGGATTGTCGGTCCGAAACTTTATCTGAGCTGCAGCTAAGCGAAGGTAAGTCAGGTTCCGGGTTATACCCTGTCTCCTAAAATCTCAGTCAACCTGCACTTGACTACCTCTACTTATTTCTAATTCATGAAATTTAATTCAAGTTTATACAACATATTTCAATTTAAATATCAGCCTCCTCGATACGTAGCAGTAAGGTAAGAAGAAAAAAACAAAAAAAAATTAAATTTATTGATATAAATAAAATATTTTTCCGATTAGGAAGGCTTGAAAGAATTGTCTGACAAGAAAACGCTTCAGTTTAGTCCATTGCAGTTGGACATCAAGAAAATCAAAGAAGATTTGTCCAGTAGCAGTATGAAGACCAAACTTCTCCTACTTCAGGCTTTGAGATGGGTAATTGCTTCATATACATAATTATTCTATATAACTAAAATTTGGAAAATCTGTATACAAACCATAAAAAAAATATGTAAAATATTAGCAAAATAGTTCCACTTTCATGTCCTTCAGGTAGCATTCTTAAAATTTTATTATGTTTTTTTAAGCATTGTCCTAATATCTAATGCCTTCGGTGCAATGACAAAGTGCTGTTTCTGTAAATATAAGCAATGAAAATTATCGTTACAGATGTAAGATAGCTATTTTTTTATTTAAATTGGTGGTATCTTGTTGAATATAGTATTAATCACTCATGTTGTCGTTGTTGTTTCAACAAATACTCACACTCTCGTCTCATACGTTATCCTGGCCGTTCTTTCCATGTTCGTCCTGAGGAGGTGCCCGAACCATCGAAGTTAATTCTCTTTTAGAGTGGTTTCTATTTAGAGTTGTGCCTCTAGGGCGATCTTATTGTCGTGTTGCGCATCCTATCTCTCCTGGTCTTTCTCTCAATTTTTCTTAGGTACCTCATCTCCATTGTCTGGATCTGCTCCTTGTGTTTTTAGGTAAGGCTCCATGATTCGGAGGAGTAAGAGAAAATAGGCTGGGACGTTGACTTGTAGACGGATAACTTTGTTTTCTTCGTCACTTCTCTTTTGTTGAGGAAACCTTTCCGGATTGAGTGGAACATTCTTACAGCTGCTCCCAGCCTTTGCGACACATCCAGATATTTGAAATCCTGCATCTGTTTCAGAATCTGTCCATTCAACCTCAATATTCCCATAACTCGGCGGGGACGTCTACCTATTCTCATGCATTTTGTCTGTGGATTAATATCCATGTTAATGGTAGACAGCTCTTCTTGTATGATATTTATGCAGGAAATAGTTACAGGAACAGGAAAAGAAACTTTATTTGCGAATAACTAAAAACGTTTATATTTATTTTTTTGTTCGTTTTATTGTACCTATGATTATTTGAAAGATTGCTAACTTATTAAAAAAAAAATAAAATAAATTGAATCATCGAATTCTTAATATTATTATACAGGCTATTTAATTCGTAAACATTTTGGTTTGAAACATAAATGATGTTTTATAATAATTTTCTTTTCCTTGGTCGAACATAATTACCAAAAAAATAGGAAATGTTTCGTTCGTCGTATGATAAATTGAATTATTTAATTTCCTTATTATTTTGTCTTTTTATCACTGTCCAATATTCGTTGCGAATTATTCGCCTTGCCAACTAGTTGCATATATAATTATAGTATAATATAATTTAAGTTAATTGTAATTATTGCATATACACTTTTGTTACATATTTTATTTCGATTGCATCAAATCTTTGGCAATGGCAGCAGATGTAAAGGTAAATGGCCTTGTTTTATTGATTTATTGCTCTTGTTATACTCTACATCATTTATAACGTTCAAACATCCGTTATTTTCATCCACATTTATTATGCTTTTTTGCCTATCATGAAAAATTTACTTTAGCCAAAATCATTAATTTTCTGAACAATACCCAAAATATTCTCAGTTAATTTACTTGGAGATAAAACTTCGAGGGCGTTCAGTAAAGCTTTTTGAAGGTCATGAATTAATTTTTCTTCTGAAATAAATCTTGAAAAGACAAGTTAAATCTAGAGCTAATCTGCATCAGTTAAGAAGAATGGGAGCGCCTTTTGAAGTCTCAGATAAACAGCATCGATGACCATTATTGTAAATATTGGTCGTTATAGGGTACACTGAGGTTTGCTTCCCCTACGTGGTTCCAGAACGTTTCAAACTAGGGGAGAGAAGGTTGACGATGACTCTGCTGATGGCTCACGTAACGCATTATGTCCTATGAAGCTAGTGGAGGTTTAGGAGGAGGGATATCTCCCGACCTCATTCTACGAGAAGAAGATGCATAGAACGGATGGCATAGCCAGCCTATCTGAAAATTTTCGTGTAATGATTGCAAAAGACCCAAGAAAATGGAAAGAGATATCCAGAAGTATATTATCCAAGAATGGAACCGGTGATGGATGACAACTTCGAAAGGTTCTACCTATAAAAAGTATCTCTCTATCTTCCAGTCACATTTGAAAGCTAAGAGAATCATCTCAGACTATTGCCCACTTCCTTATAGGACATGGATGCTTTGGAGCGCAACTTCATGACTTTTGTAAAGATATGAGCATGTCATTTTCAACAGCATAGCCTTCCAGGCACTGATGGTCTCACCGTTGAGTGAGACCATTGAAGGTTCTAGTTCATTGTGTAGAACAATTTCTGAAGCTAGTAACAGTAAAACTTCTGCACAGAACCTGTGAATATTTTTAAAAAGTCCTTCACAGTCCATGATTAAAAGTTTTGACAAAAAAAAAAAACACCTTTGAGAAATAATATATTAAAGTTTTTAATATAAAATCTTTAATATTTTTATATTTTAAATTTATATTTATATATTTTAATGGATAATAGTTTTGGCTTATAGTACATTTGCAGCCTGGCAAGCGATGACCGACCTCAGGTTGTTTATTGGCTGAGGAGCGAAGATGTGTTGGGCCTGTCCGGAGGACTAACTTACCAATGGCTCCAATCCCCAGCCCATCCACTCCAGCAAGCTTTGGCTCGGTGGTTAAACCTCCTCTGCAGCCTGCACAGTGGAAGGAGCTATGTAGAGTCTACCGCTACCACACTTCTGCCTCTTGTAATAAGAGCGGTTTGTCGCCCAGAGCAAGATCCTGTCACTAGGGACATGCTTCTGGCCTGTCTGCAGAAGTTAAGTCTCAGGTAAAGAACTATATAAACTTTAGAAATGCAATATTTTTTTCATAATGGGATAAAAAAAAATTATTTTTTTGGGTATGGTGATAAAAATATTACTCATCAATTTCGATAGTTGAAACGAAAGTTTATTACAATCTTAATATTTGGAACAAAATTTTACAATATTTTTAATTGTTCGAACAAAATTTGAAAACAATTTTAATAGTTGTATCAAAATTAGAGAATTTTAATAGCTGAAATGAGATTTCCATGAACTTCAATTTAAAAAATATAATATATTGGTAGAATAAAGAAACATTTAAATTTTCCCTAATCTTCTGGATTTGAACTTTTCATTTACCTGTTATATATGTTGTACTGTACTACAATAGTTTTCTTTTTTATTCAAACATAACATAGTAATGATTAAATACATATTTCTCAACTTAAAAGGTATTATTTATTGGAATTGGTTTTAAATTTTAGTAACTCTTAAAATAAAATGTTTTACAAACACTTTTCTCATTTTGAAATAGGATATTCAAATTTCCCACTTTTTTGGATATTCAAATGTACATAGCTTTTTTAAAATCTACAGGCTAAAAATATTTAAATCATTCATTTGAGAAACATTTCATCTCCATTTGATTATATTTTCCAAAAATTAGTACGTCCTTCGATATCAAGGTTGTCAAAATCTCTAGATGTATTGTTTATCAAATGACTTTCAGTTTGTAGTAGGTGTGAGCACAGATGTACATGTAATGTAACAATTGGAAAGTTTACTATTTCACTTTCCAAACATTATACTTGTAATATCTCCTTAGATTAATATATCTTAACATTATTTAGTACCTATTCTTTAATCACAAATATTTTCCTTCTCTTGTTTTGAAATTCTGTACCCTAGAATTCTTTTCTACCTTCATTCTAACATTGATTATTTCATCATCTTCTTAAAATATTAATCTTCTGATAAAATGTATACTATATAAACTGTTTCATTATTCATTCATTTTAGTTAAAACTTTATTTTGAATTGTAAACTAAAATAATTGCAAACAAAGGTGAGAGTAACTGTATAGTTGTATTCCTAAGGGCAGGAAGGAGCTGTGCGAGACAATGGTAGAGGAAGGACTCCTGGAGTGGTTGGGCCAACAGCTGTCATCGATGACCAATGACTACTCTCTTCAATACTGTACGTCACTGTTCATGAACCTGTCATTTGTGGCACCTTTGTCCTTCTGGGACACGAGGCCACACCTGGTTCTTCCAGGTCTAATTAGCCTACTCAAATCATCGAATGAACAGGTCTGGTGTAAACTTCTATATTTTGTTAGAGTTAATTAATTGATTTCTGTAGTTCGTAAGAATTTATTAAATGTTCCCTTAATGGCATCCAACTTTTAAAAAAATTAATTACATGCCACTGTAATTCTCTTAATAAGGGATTAACATGGTTAAGTTAACTTAATTTTTAAAATATACCACTTTGATTTATAGGATCAGTATCTATTTTAATAAACACAGAAACAATATATATTTTTTAAATAATTTAATTATGTTTATATCCCAAATATTTTTAAAAAATGATATACAAAAACTCATTTACTTTTTTATTCAAATAAAAATAAATTGTATGTGATAAATTCTAGATCCTAACATACGCCTCAAAGACATGGATACTATCTACACAGGATACAAATAATCTCCTGGTCTTCAAGAGGAAGATCCTTTGAAGAACCAATGGGCCGGTAAGGGATGAGGAAGGCTGGAGAAGAAGGTGAAATAAGGAACTCTATGAACTCCTCCAGAATATAGATCATGTGACCTTTATTAGGATGGAAAGCCGTGGGTGGGCAGGGCGTGTTGCACGGATGAGTCCTGATGAAATACCTAAAAGAGTCATGCAAGAAGAAATTCATTGTCCAAGAAGAGCTGGACGGCCCAAGATCTAGTGGATGGATGGAGTGGTACAAGACACACGAGACCTGCTTGGAGTCCGAAATTGAAGGCAGCAGTCCAAAACTGAAAATGGCTGAAGCTCATAGAGGAGCCCAGGACCCATCACAGGGTTGTAGCGCTATCTGATAGATAGATAGATAGGTGATAACTAATCAGGAAGCAGTAATTTTAAGATTTTTATTATTGCTGATGTTTCAACCCAAGCATGTGGGACATCATCAGGGCTGAGAAATTTTTTTTTTTAATACCAGAGATATAATATATAAAAACAGATAATGGTAAATAGTGATGGATGATACATGAGATAAATATATGGAATACTTAATAAGTTACACTAACTATAAAATAACCAATCATATTATAATAGTATATCATAATAATGAACTTATAAAATGTAATATTTAATATTACTAACCATGTTTCTAGTACTGAATGTGTTCAAGTACTGGCATCTAGGTAGTTGGTGTCAGTTTTCCATAACTTCATTAATTCCTCATCATATCCAATGATTGAACACTCATTTTAAAGATTTTTTTCTTCACATGGGAAAAATAGTCACATCCCCCCAAAATTTCAGGGGACTTTATTTGAGAATAACTCAAAACTATACATTTATTTGTTGATTGCACCTATGATTATTTGAAAGATTAATAAATTCCTCATAAAACAAAAAAAAATTAATAAATAATATAAAATCATTGAAATTAGACCATAATTAGCAAAGATACAGTTTGTTGTAATTTGTAAATATGTTGGTTTAAAACATGAATGTCTTATTATTTTATCATTTGTTCATTGACCAATATGCTATGCAATTTATTGCAAGGCCAACTATTACACAAATAAATAATATTGGGATTTATTTTTTTATAAAATATTGGTTTTGATACTACAATTGCATTCAGATCCCATTAGTTTTTACTGTTTCATGTAATTATATTTAAAATGATTAGACTTTGCCTTGGAAATAAGCGACTCATATGGACAATGTCTTAATTTAATTCATATCGCCATCAATTAGTTCAAGACCACACTGTATAAAAATAAACAAATATTTAATTCTACTTTTTTTTTTCATTCAGATCCAACAATTTGTTTGTGGCTCGTTGTACTGTCTCCTGCGCAGTGATAAACTAAACATCTTTGCCAGGTCAATCAACCTCTCGGCAGAATTACTAGCGTTGTCTTTGGGCCCCCTTAAAAGACAAGTGGAAGCTTTGATGAGACTTCACCAGAGGGTCCATGGCCCGTCCGCAGCACAAATCACCTCCCAGTGTACAGAAAGAGAAATTGTAAGTAGCAGTCTTTTAATTATTGTCAGCTACTAATATTACCATTGTTATTCATTGTCCTGTTCTTACAAGGAGTATTGTGTCACTGAGTTTAATAAAAATTGAATAGTTATTTTATCAATTTTTAAAATATTAATCCTAGATGAATAAATATCACTTTTTAGTAATGTTTTTACTTTCACTTACCTGTAATGAAATATATATTAAAGGAAAGTATTGCATTAATGAAAAGGTTGAATCCAAATTTTCAGTGGAAATAAATATTTCAAGGATCCTTGAATCAAAAAAACAAAGTTTTGCAAAATGTTCTCTATGTGTTTGTGTGGGAACAATACAGCTCAAAAATGACAGTTATATGGCTGGGATGTTACAGCAACATTTTTGCCAAAATCGACTGACTGGAATTGGCACATTATACCATCGATTTTACACATTTTTACAATTTTCTCGAAAATGGCTCACATGATTTTGATTAAACTCATTATATCACTGTAAAATCAAGTAGTAATTAATACCAGGTAGATGTTATTTTCATTAAAATAGTATTTTCTTCTTCCAATGTACCTTTAGTTTTGTTTATTGAAAATAATTAACCATTTCAAATTGTGACGAATAATAACAAAATATATTAGTATAAACCATGAATGAATTTGATAGTTAACTAAAGGAAAAATAAAGGTTAGTATTAGATAAAAACTGTTAAATTTGAAACGCCAGTCTTTCCTGATCCTCTCTATTTAAACTACTCACTTAAGTACATAACTTTTCTATAGTTATTTATTAGAAGTAGTTGAGGATCTACTAATATATATCTTATAAAATATATCTGCTATTATCAACTATTTTTTTTTTAATGGTTTCCGTGATAGATGTTTAAGATAAAAATCAGCATTTTTACAAAACATCTACTTCTAGATTTTATTAATTTAAACATTTTTTAAAATTTATCCACTAACAAGCAATGATTTTTTAATATTCATGTATTTCCTTTAATATTTTGAATCCATCCACAATTTTTTGTATGGTAAATAATTGTTTTAAATGAATATGTTAGACCGCATATAATTTTTACATCCACTTCTCTAAATATGAAAATATCTTCTCCTACTCAAGGTAGAGTGGTATATGAAAGTTGTATGATACTTTCTCAAAACCAAAATTTTTTCTCTAATTTTATAAATCTAAATAGGACCTTCCATTTATAATCATTTTCATGAGTTTTAAACTGGCTATAATCTATGCAACATCATCTACATTTTCTGTTTTCTTTTTGCGTTAGGATGATCCAGAAGAAATAGAACCAGAGATTAACAGTAATGATCTTGTTAAAGGCACACCATCTGGTGAAGAACTTCTGTTTCAAAAGTACAGCGTCGTTTTTACTGCACCATGTAAGTTAGTTTGATATTTTATTGTTTAACTTAATGCCAACTGAATTTTGGGAAAATCCAGATAACTCTTAGATTCATTGAACTATCTTCTAATGTTAAAAATATTTGATTTGTTGAATTCTAAATGCTAAAGGGCACAAAATGAAAATTTTCTTCAAAAATGGATTATATGGTTAACATTACCAAAATATATAGTGTATAAAATAGGTTCTGCAATTTATTAGAATTTAGATTAAATACACATATATAATTATGTTTAAATGTCCTAATTTGTTTTCCTCTGGCTGATCTTCATTAATAATAATTTTACATAATTGAAATAACATTCAAGATTTTAATCTATAGGTGTCCCACAAGGTTCCTTTTATCCCCCACCGAACTGCTGTGTTTAATAAATCCTTTTTAATTCAAGTTGTCTCTCTCTGGAAATCTATACCCTCAGATATTTGACATGTAAAATCAATATCCTCTTTCAAATCTCTCCTCTTCTAACACCTACTCCATTCCCAATCCGATTGATCACGAAATGCACTTAAAAACCTAAGCTGTAAGAATTTCAAAGTACACCCAGATATTTTGTGATTCATTGATATTTTGTTTACTTAATTTACTTTCTCTGTTTATTTTATATTGATAAACGTTTTTATGTCTTTTTACTATCTTTAATTTTATTGTATTTCTAATCATCCTGTAAATATTTAATTGTATTTTATGGACACACCAGAATATTAACATATGTTCTGTACTTGTAACTTGTTCTAAAGGGACAGTAGTCCCAGAATAATAAAATTATTTCCATTCCTTCATTCATTCATTAGAGGTATTATAATAACAAAAATTAAACAGCCAATCTTTGGCATACAAAGCAGCCCCTTGGACACTTAAACAATAGAAACATCATCTGTAATATTGACATCCAAACTTATTTAACAAAGCAAAATCTAGGCAAAACACATTTTTGGCATACAAGTATTTAAAAAACAACACTGTATTGCTTTTATTAGTATAAAAATGATTAATAATAAATAGTTTCAACAATGTTACTAGAAAAAAGAAACCAATCACAGAAAGAAAAGGTATTGTTTATCAGGAAAAACCAATACAAAGAATAATGCATTTATGTGTCATATATAAACTGTATCACTATAACCCATGAAGGGTCTTGGGTTCATTACTTTGTAAGGAAGTACTGTTTCTTGGTCAACGGTTGTGCAAGGAGATGATTTGACCGAGAACACGCTCAACTCTCACATTTTTCTATTAATTAAGAGTACCCACTTAATAGAGGGTGGCTGTGTCCTTAGGAGGATCAAAAAAATAAAATAAATAATTTGCCATCAGAACATCTGGATTCGAACCCTGCTATGTACATATAATATGACTTGTCATATAATTGGGTATATATCACTATTATATAAGAAGTGGTATATATCACTATTATATAAATCATCGGTAGTTCCTCAGTTTTAAATACGAATAAAACAGTGCATTCTTCAATTTAAACTTTTATATCCAGGCAAGATATAAATATATAGGTAGAAGATAGACCATATTTTGGTAATTTCTTTTCCTTTTTTTTCTTATTTCATTTTGTATTCAATCAATACAAAATAAATCGCTAAAGTCAACATATGTTAATTTCTTATTCTAATTTTATTGCAGGTATAGTGGACAGAGAACAAGAGAGGCAGAAAGTCAGGAGTAATTCTAATTTGCCAGCTTGGGCTCAGTAATTTCTGTGTTTTTCAATAATAATTCATCATCAATGAGATATCAAAGATTATTTTCAGCCTAGAGACATTTTCAATAATGTTTCTTAATTTGATTATTAATATTTTAAAGTATCATTAAGACACACATTATGTATTTTCTTAAGTCATCAACTAAATCAATTCCTGAAAAATATATCAGAATGTTATCTTAATATCTTATTTACTTTTTTTTTAAACCAGTTTTTAATTATTCTTGTATTTATAAAAAATAAATAAACTAGGTCAAACATTAACTAGCTCATAATAATGACGGTAAAAAAATTGATTAATAGTTTAAATTGAATTTGTTTTTCTAGTTAATTTTTATATATATAACTTGAGATATTATTTTTCACATTTGTCACTTAAATGTGGAGGCAAAAATACTATAAGTTAATTTATAAATAATACAATCCTGAATTATAATTTTACGAAATATACTTTCATCATTAATGTAAATAATAGTAAAGTATAGATACATACAGGGTGTCCCATAAATTGAAAGAAATTTTTATAACAGTGATAGTAGACCTCAGGAGTTACAAAAAAGTTAACAAAAACATTGGGCCAATTTTCAACAGAATAGTAGCAAATCCAAGTTTTATGGTTTTTTTAAGTGTCATGTTTTTTATTGAATCAAAAGAAATAACTAAAGAAATGTTTAATTTAAGTAATTAATAATTGCTTCATTGTAAACAAGATGAAATTTACTTTAAAGGAACATAGAGTTTATCATTGTTAAAACCATTTACAGAAGATTTTTGAGCGACTAAACTAAGCTATGTTCTGTTTTTAGAAAAATCATAAATTATTCGCTTTTTTTTTATCATCATCCAACTATGCTACAGTTTCCCCACTTTTACAAAAACTTCTTCGTTTAATAAACTTTAAGTTTGTTTTAAGTTGAGGTTTATTAGGTAAAAATTTGAGATTCAGCTCAAGTTTTATAAAAAAATTGATGTTATTTTCTATCCTGATGAGTAAAAGTATCCCAGTTTTCAGAAAAAATGACTACAATTAATTGTTGCAAAGCTTTTATTTCTTGTGTTTCCATAATCTGCGATGTAATTTAATAAATCCAATTGCCTACACATTTTTTATTTATAAAAAAAATTAATTCTAAAATACTGATTTTTCAGATGAATTGGTTATAAACTGTGTTTCACCCAGATCTCTATTACAGAAATTGATTTGTGTTTATGAGTGACAAAATAAAAGTTTCTAGTTCTAAAATGTATTTTTAAAATAAAAAAAAACTCTGCTAATTGCTTCAATTATTTTAACTAAAACACTAATAATAACATCAGGAACATTTAGTTTGTCATTTATAAATATGGAACAATTCCTATAATAGAGATCTGGGTGAAAAACACAGTTTATAACCAATTTATCTGAAACATCGCTATTTTTTTAATAAATAAAAAGTGTGCTTAGGCAATTGAGTTTATTAAGATACATCCCAGATTATGGAAAAACAAGAAATAAAACCGCTGCAACAATTAATTTTAGTCATTTTTGCTGAAAAAAGGGATACTTGACAGGATATAAAATATCATTTTTTTATACAAAACTTGAGCTGAATCTCAAATTTTTCACTAATAAAACTCAACTTAATTAATACAAACTTAAAATTTATTAAATGGAGAAGTTTTTGTAAAAGTGGGAAAACTTTAGTATAGTTGGATGATGAATAAAAAAAAAAAAAGGCGTAATTACAATGAAGCAATTATTAATTACTTAAATTAAATATTTCTTTAGTTATTGCTTTCAATAAAAAACACGACACTTAAAAAAACACAAAACTTGGATTTTGTAGCTCCTGAGGTCTGCTATCACTATTATAAAAATTTCATTCTGCTTACGGGACGTATATAAAAATTAGGATAAATATTTATATATACATATTTCTGAAATAAAGAGGAAATATATGTTCAGTTTGTAACAAGGTCTGAAAAGTTCAAAGCCGCTATTCATAAATATATTTAAATTTCAATCTATAATGAAAACTGCAAAATGGTTTTAGTCATAATTCAATTAATGCACATTCTGAAATAATAATAAAGGTTATTTTAATATAGGTTATTTCAATAACAAGAACATTTTACTTTAAACAATATATTCAGAGCTTTCAATACAGTAAATAGACTCCAAGCAGGAGGTTGTCGTCATACTTAATGAAAGTAAACATTTTAAAATAGATTAATCACCCTTGATAATTGTCATAATATCTGAATAACCAATAAAAAAATAAAATTAAAATAACTAAATATTTTTCAAATTTCAAGGTTAATGAATAAATGTTTAAAAGTTCATAATTCTTGGTAACAATCAAATATAGCTGTAATTAAAATAATGACTATTATAAATAAAACATTGAATTAGTTATGAATGTTTATTTTGTTTTCGGAAATTTGACTCTTTTCACTAGCTTATATTTTAATTAAAATAGATAACAGATTGAAATTATTAACGTTAGTTAATTAATTTTTTTTTTAGTTTTATATTCACATCCTATTTTAACTTAAACTTTTATAAATTAAAGCATTGATAATAGATTCACTATGAAATCCTTAAGTGGTTTTAATTTTTCAGAAAGTCAATTTTATATAAAATAAGCAATACTAAAAACCAGAAATACATTAATAAAGGAGAAATTTGTATGTATGTAAATGTAACAATTATGCCTCAAAATTGAAGCCTAAACAAATCTTATTTTTAAATTACATCTTAAGAATAATAACAAGATTTTTATTTGTTCTTTTTATAGTAATTTCATTTTGTTCATATCAAAGATATATACCAACCAAATACATTTATAACATTATTAACTGAATTATAGCCATTAATAAAAATATCACTGATATTACAGATAAATTTATTTTTGTTATGCTTTACTACAAATAATCAAAACAAAAAACAGTTGAAAATAATTTAAAAAATAATCAATACTTAAAATAAAATACTATTAAACAAAAAATGATGACTGTTGCCTTAGAATTCTAGCAGTTAAAAAATAGAATAATCAGTTCCTGAAAATAAAATCTATCAAAATAATAGAAATTTAAGTAAATCACAGGGATATGTATAATTAGTAAAAGGGATGGCTAAAATACATTACAAGGAAATTAAACGTACTTCCTTTCTCAACACCTCCTCTCTTATTAATATATACAAAGCAGGAATATTTAAAAAAATATTACTTTAGTCTTCATAGATGACAAGAAGAAATTCGATACACATTACCAATTTAAATTAATAAATTGAAATATATGTAATATGTACATATGATGGTCCAATATAAATAAATATTAAATATTTACAAATAAACATGAAAACTTTGCAGAGCAAAGTCAGAGTCCAATTTGTAACAAAAACAAAACTAAAATAATAAATTGAAGCTTTGATCTTCATGGAAGATTGGAGAGTTTTAACCACTTTCAGATCCTGAGCCTCCTTTATCTGTGAAGTAAATAAGGATTTGATAAAATCTATTTAGAAATTATTTGATTGGTTAAACAAAAACATTATGAATAATCTTCCATCTCTTGCCTATTATCTTGCAGTTATTAATTTATATTAACACATATTTTTCAGGTAATTTTTGCACCACCATTCATAAGATGCTAACATCTCTTTGTCTGTTTTGTAAAAAAAAGAATTTAATTTATTTAGAATTAAAAGTATAAAAATCAATTATTTTCTCCTCTCAATATTTAGCCAGCTTGTCAGCTTAGCCAGCATTTATTGTTAATAAATGTAATTAACAGGTGCGGTTTGAAAAATAAAAATATATTTTATGTAATACACAAATGACAAATATTCGTCATTTGGCTATTGATGGTTGTTTGTGAAATGATGATTTTTTTGTTTAACACAGATATGTGTTAAGGTTTTAAATTTTATTTATTTATTGAAATTTACAACTGTATACAAATACCACTAGTAAATATGCAAACATAAATTAATTTTAAACATCATATATTATCTAGTTCAATCAAATGAAAATATGCTCTTTGCCTTTTAATTTTTACTATGAAGCTTTTCATTTTTTCTTTTAATTGGTCGAGAAGGGATTGAATTTATTTATCATCAGAGATAGGCCCAAAACCATTCTTGAGTACTGAATACTAAGAATTTTAATCAACTTTAATTACTATGAAAAATTTAATCACAACTTCAATTGATTGACAATCATCAACTTAAGTACTTAGTCCTTAAATTCCTCAGTTCTCAGACAGAGCTAATATTTAAATAAAATACTCAGTGCTTGGTACTCAGAGTAGCTATTGTCCATTGATTAATGGTTACATTAACTTATTCCTCAATTCGTTAGATCATTCCTAGAAATAGAATGAGAGACCAGAAAATGTGCTAGAACGGAAAGGATTAAATGAGTGATGATTGAAGAATGTAAATTTTAGAAGGGAATGACTCTTCCAAATTTTCCACTTTCCGTGCACACTCTGTTTATCATTATTATATTGGTAGATGGCAAAAAACAAAAAATTAAACCATAAAAAAATGAGCAGAGATGAAATAACGATAATAAAATAAGTCAAATCAATGAATTTTACCTGAACCATTCTCCTTCGGAGATCCAGATCTGAAATTAAATAAAAACACTATAAGTATAACTAGCTCATCTACAAAATTTAATTAATATGGTAACATTAGATAGTAATGAAATCTATAGTGGTAATGCTGTATAAAGATGACCGATAACCACTCCACTTTTAATAGAACATGGAACAACTATGCGTGTGAAACCCTTCGTGAATTTTTTGGAGTAACGTGGAATAGTTGAACTTTGATCATTCTTAAACTCCATTACACCACAGCAAAATCCAATCATTCCAACCCATTTTGAATGAGGAAAAGTGATAGAGAGGAACGATTGACTGAATAGTATATTGGCTGGTATAATAATAATAAAAATTGTTAGTAGTTCTAAGTAAGTTACAAAAATATTAATTATGATAACTTAAATTTTTTACAAACTTAAGTTAAAAATGTAAGTATTATTTAAAAGAAAATAAACAGGTTTAGTGGATTTATAATATATAAATAAGAGTATGCTTAAAATATCACTTTTTTTCTATTAATACTATATTATGAGATAAAATTAAGAGATATTAATCGGTATGATAAAATATTTATAGACTAAAAAAATAAAATATGTCTTCATCACCTTCTTCAATTTATTTAAAAAAGACTTAACAAAAATTATTGATTACTTTTTATAAAATATTTAAAAAAATTTCTAATTCAACCTTTCTGAGTGTCAATACAATTTTTATTAATGCTTGAAAATGTAGTATTCATGAATTAAGAATAGTTTTAATAATTTCCTATAAGAAAATTAATCATTACTGGTGAATAAAAAATGGAATGATGGAGTGGAGTGATTGCTATTGATCCATTAGAAGTGATGGTCAAAGGCGACCTTAAGATATTTGTTAAAATACTAAATTTTTTATCTTAGAATACAGCTGGTTAAGATATATCTCAAAGCTAAAGCATTAACATGGATTGAAGTTACAGATTTGTTATGTTAAAGAAAGTCCAGTTTTCTAATGAGTATATGAATACATTTATTAAATATTTGTGAGGGCACATTATTATATGATATGATATTGAGCAGTAATATATTGTATAATAATAATGATCATGTTATTCGTTATATGATACAATTTATAAATTAAATTTATAATTAATTAATTAAAATAAATAATATTTATTAAATTAAAATAAAATATATATTAATAGCCATTAAATGCACTAGTAACAAATCATTAACCCATAAAAACTTACTAGATGTATGATGATCATGGATAATAGATAATCAAGAAATCAGTTACTATTTTTTAATGCACAAGCTGAAGTTTCAGCATTAACAAGTAGTTTCTTGACAAACTACATGTTAATGCTGTAACATGTTAAATTATAAAAAATTCACAGGGCCTAAGGATAACCTACATATCTATGCCGAACATCAGCTATATTAAGCACTATATGTAAAAGCAATATTAAATTTGTAGTTTTCAAGATAATTAAAAAACAAACAATAAAAGGGGAAAAAATAGAATTATATTCATTAAAAAATCAATTACCACATTTTAACAGTGATAAATGAGTTAGTATTAAAGGATCCATAGAAATATCTTGTCATATTTTTTTATAAAACAAAGTATAACTTCTGTTATCATTTGTGTTTTTGATAGGTAAGACAAGTTTAACATACATATTTTATAAACAAATGTTCCAAGACATTAATAACGAAAAATTATTTTATTTCTAAAGGAAAATATTGGAACACATACCACAGTATTTTAAAGTTCTTTCTATAATATTAAACAATACTAAAACTAAAAAGAATAAAATTAAGTTATTTTACCTTGAGCGCTGCTTAGAGCTTGCCCTCGAACCACTGGGAGAACTAGAATAAAATAAAAGTAATGAGATTATTCAAATGATTCAAACAAAACAATTACAGTCAATCCTTAGGATATCCAAATTTTTTATAAACCTTGAATTTTTTTAAATAAAAAATATTCTGTTTTACCAAACAATGTGTAAAATGCCTTGTTCGTCAATTTCAAAGCAGCCTAGGATTCTGTGGACAGGAACTGTCTAAGGGAAATCATGATTGAACTGGGAGTTCATAGTAAGTTGGTGAAATTAACAAGGAGAAGTATCTGAAAACTTCAAAGTTGGAATAAGATAGGGAGAGCTAAAACTCTGATGAGAGAAGCAGAGCAAATCTGCCTATAAGTAAATGAAGACAAGACAAAATATATGATAATAAGCCGAAAATTCTGGGCTAATAACAGAATCTGCGTGGAATAAAATTTTTTATCTAGAGTAGAAATATTTAAATACTTCGGTCCCACAATAACCTCAATGAATGACCGATGGTAAGAAATAGACCAGCATATAACAAGCGCTAAAAGCTTCCTTTAAAAGGAATTGTAATCCCGAAATATCTAAATAAATCTCAAATTAAGTGTTTACAATGCTATTACATTGAATTTATATGTTTATTAAGTTTTTGTGTGTATAGAATTACATAAATTTATATGAAAATTTGCTTTTTGAAGAAACTGAATGTATTGTAAATGTAATGGGTGATAAATATTAGGGAAGCAGTCTTTTTTAAAAATTTTTTATATAAACTTTTTTAAAAAAGACTGCGTCCTGAATATTTGTCACCCATGATATGTAGAACAGTCGACTAACTTCCTTCAAGTATTGTAAATGTAATTTAATGATGTTTGTATAACATACATATATCATTTAAGTATATTTATAAAATATTAATATTCTGAAACATTTTGATCTATGCATCCATAATAAATAATGAAGATAAAAGAAGGAATGAAAAAGGAATTGTATAATGAAAATAAAATTATCCCCAAAACTTTTTTTCTGAAAAATCCAATATTAATTTTCCATATTTCCTTTATCCTGTCTGGATGACAATATTACAGAAAACCATTCCAAAACACATGGGAGGATCTTGAAAACACTCCCTCGTTGCTTTGTATCCATGGTATAATTAAATTAAACAAAATATACGAAATCAGTAAACAGCCCTCACTATTTTAATCTAATCTTTTTAAAAACATTTACAGAGTTATATTTAAACACATAGATATGGTAAAAACATTTGTTTTTGTCCACTAGAAAAGGAAAACAAAGAGCATTTTTCTTGGTATAACTGGAAGTAATGTCAATGATTGTTATAAAGCCAAACTGACAATAATCACTTTTAAACTCTCTTAAAACCCCTGATCTGCAAGATTAATGTATTAATGATTTTCATGACTTACCGTGACCTTGATTTCCTTGAACCACTACTCCTAGAGCCAGACCTCGATCTTGAACCTGATTTTGACCTAGATCTTGATCTTGACTTTGACCTCGATCTTGACTTTGATCTCGATGCTGATTTGGACCTAGATCTTGAGCGAGAATTAGACCTAAATATAAAATAAGAATGTTTAAAAGAAACATTTAAGCATATTCATTTAGATTTAGATTAATAGAGGCATATTAATATAGGATGATTTTTTTTACTAGATTAGAAGAAGAAAGAGACCAACCAAATCTGTATAACAAAGAGATTAGGGATTTTATTTATTTTTAAACTAAAAAACTTCATAATCAACACTAAATAAATCAGACATATATAGACTAGTTTTCATTTTGAGTTTAAATTTATAGAAATTTATTTTGTGGTAGACTCACAGAATGCATCTGGACCTTTTCATTCTAGTTAAAATATGTTAGGTTGGTTGTTATGAAATTAAGGAGTAAAATCAGTAAGTTAACAATGCTGTTAGTTAAGTTTATGTATATATATATATATATATATATATATATATATATATATATATATATATATATATATATATATATATGTATTTACAACCTGCTAGTTATGCATAAAAAAATAAAAAATAATTGATAAGGTTTCAGATATTTTTAAAAATTCCTTCTTTGGAGAGAAAAGAAATGACTTAATTTATGATGCCTTCCTCATTTCCCAAAGTAGTTGATGTATTTGCTGGTATTATCTTTTCACTTAACTTTCTTATGTAAAAGGCACAACTCCCAAAGATATGGGCCACTGTCATTCTCTCTCCACACCTCTGATATAGGGCCGGACTTTCTTTAGTGAATAAGTGAGGGTGCGTGAGCCTGCTTTGTAGTACTCTGAGTTGCGTAAGGACAACTTCTAAATTCAAATAGGTTTTATTGTACCTCTAAAATAATCTTCCCTTTTCCCTCATAAGCCAGAAGTGGACAAGTAGGGGGTTATTCTAGAGGAAAAAAGTACCTTCAACTTATGACTTCCAAATACATATTTTTAATTTTTTTCTCTTTTATATTGGGGTAATCAATTTTGTTCTAATTACTGTACTTTACTTTGATTCAATTGCCTTTGATCCGAATTAAAAATACCATTATAATTAAATAATTGGCTTTCATTAAGAGGCAAAAAAAAGAATAATAAAACTCAACATTCACATTCTAGCTAGAATAGGACCATAACCAGTAGGATGATCTACTTCCATCCATAAGAGTCGCAAACAATATATATTATTATTATCATAACTAAGGAATCGACAAAATAATATCTGATTGTCACTTAGACCTATTTAGATCTAGTACGTATAACACAATACATAGTAAGAGTAAGGGGGTCTAATATGTCACATTAAATTTAATGATTATCTGTAATTAGAGATACACATAATAAACAGAACTAAACAAAAAAAAGGTTAATGAAGAAAAGAAATTATAAATTAATATGTTACCTTGAACGACGAGCAGAGCTGGCTCTAGAACCGCTGCGAGATCTGTAAAATAATGTAGACAAAAATATATTTATAAATCAAAATTGAATCATAGAATAAGAAAACAAATGGAGTGAAAGAATTTATATAGAGGAAATTAGTAAATTACTTTAGACCACTCCTATCGACTAATATATTACTACTATTACGACAAAACATTTAGGATTACAGTTCTAGGTTTGTAATGAAAATGTGAGTTGTAATGGCAAGCTAAATCATTTACTCACCTTGAACCAGATTTACTTCTTGATCCAGACCTTGACCGTGAGCGAGAATTGGATCTGAAATTATTTTTTTTAATGAATTACAATTTAAATATATACATACATTTTTAAATATATGACAAATCAAATTGATAAACTATAAAGAAGTCAAATTACCTGCTTCTTGATCCGGAACGACTTCTGGACCCACTTCTGAAATGATCAGACATAAACAAATATAAATCTCACCATAGTAGTAAATACAATCGTAATCTTCCATTCTTGCAGCCACCACAAACAATAAAGAGTTGCCTCCTTCTCAACCCATTATTACAACAGTAATTTTCAATAATGGTTACAGAAAATGTTAATTAACTAATAGGATATTTTTAAGCGAACGGATCAATCAACTCTTATATTTAATGGTAAAAATTACTTATGTTTTGAAACAATTTTAGCATAGAATATTGAAAAAATATTTTATTATATTTTAAATATGCTAAACTTTTTGTTCATTTGATATCATGTCAAGAATAAATACAGATAATACACAATAAATAAAATATAAATTGCCAATAATTGGAAAACTATAAACAGTAATATAAAAATTATTTAACTAAAAAATTAAAATAAAACGAGATTATGAAAATAACTCTATCCGTCTTAAGGGACAGAATGTATTTACATAATTAACTTAAATAAATTGGTGTGTTGCAAGTTAAGTTGACGTCAATGAATATTTAAATTTGGTGTACTAGTTAGATGATTTTCAAACCCGAATAAAACTTAAGTTTTCTGATAATAAACTACTTTTAATTTCAGTATGTTTACACAAACAGATGTAAAGAGCTTTCTTATGCTGAAAACGCATAGCTGGGATTCAAAAAAATATTTCAATGTTATTGCAAAAGGTTGTATATAAAAATTGAGTATTGTACACATAAAAACTGATTATTTCTTTATGATTTATTAGTATAATTTCATATTTTATTTCTCTCTAGTATTTTCCATAGTAGGAGACTACTTATAGCAGTTGCAGAATGAAAAATAATAAGTTTTTAAGCACTCCTGTAATATACACTCAATTTTTATATACAACCTATTGCACTAACAATAGTGATTTAGATCTGTGGTCTATACATGCCAACAATAATTAAAAACTAAAAAATGTTTTTATGTATTTATGGGATCATCAGATCAGACTAACATTTCTTATAACCAAATATAATTAAGGATAAACCAATACAGTGCTTATGGGCTGTAAGAATGGAACAGTACTACAATTAATAAATAAAAACAAAAAAATAACAACTCTTAATAGATGAAATATACATATTGAGTATGTCAAGTTCGTAGATGACTTGCTATATGGTTACATTGAGCAACTCTCAATGACTAAAGCGGGAACTAATAAGTGAACAAAATTCAGAGGTAGATTGTTGTGGAAATGATATTCAGTATTTATTATTATAGTTAGTTTTTAGCATTCTGGCATGTCGCAAGAATCATCTAAAGTGATCATTGTAGACTATCTTCCATTTTTGTTTCATCCGAGGAGTAAATAAAAAATGAATGATATAAAAGTTGACTACTATCCCACTGCAGATGACTTCATCGATCATTAAATTCCTGAAAGCGATGATATATTCAGAATGATGTAGTGAAAAATGAAAAACTCCTTTTAACTGACTCATTCTGTAATGAAATTATTTGGCAGAGTATAATTGTTCCTATACTGAACTATAATATTAAATATTTTAATTCATCTTTTATCATAAAATAACTGTCATTGAACTATTTCTGTAGCCATTATTTAATGATGCCATTTAAGTAGAGAGATGTGTCTCAGTCATTATTTCTTGAACTAAAATATCAGTACGAGTGGGTATGGATGCACAAGGTGGGTAAAATAAAGCACGTCAATATCTGAGAAATACTTAGTTATTAATGCTATCAGATTGGAATATTCCAAGATGAACGACAGCCAATGTTAAAGCTAAGCTTAAAGCAGACATGGCAACAGGACTTAAGCTTCTTCCTTAAAGCACATGGTTTCATCAGCAAACGTCTTTGGTCATGACAGGTTGTCGATATACTTCCATTCAGTTCATGAATCAGTAAGTAAAATTAAATAAATGCCCACAAATGTATCATTCCATTTCTTCTAGATGAACACAATTGAGATATAAATGAGATAAGAAATTATCAACAGTGCAGTGAAATTATAGAACTGGTTGAAATCATGTAAAGAAAGATTATTGAATTCTGGATGAATCCTAAAACTGATACATTTGCTGTCTTAAGAACATTAAGATCACTTAACAGTAATTGTATTTCTAATGATTCAACAAAATACTTGTTTTATAGAATTTTTTTATTTTTTTAATAGTAGTGATAAAAAACCTTACCTAGACCTAGATCTTGAAGCACGACTGGCTCTTGATCCACTGCGAGATCTACAAAAAAAATAATGTATTAATATATAAACAATTAACATGAAATAAACTCTGCAAAATATGATGTAGAATGATAAATAGTCAGGAGGCAGTCGTATTTATTGGTGCCAACGTTTCAACCCAACCATGAGGGTCATCATCAAGATGTGTTTCAAGCATTGAAGATGTTCAAGTAGAAATGTCGGCACCAATAAAAACATTAAAAATTACTGCGTTCTGACTATTTATCACCCATGATATGTATAACAGTCGACTAACTTCCTTCAAAAATATGTTGTAGGTTTATTGAAATATCAGCAAAGAGAATGAAATTAAAACTATTATACATTTAATAAAACCGAACCTAGAAAATAAAAAGTATAAACTTCATGAATGAAATGATCATAGACTCCGGAAAAAGAAAAATTAAGTTCTTATTCCAACAACACTAATGTAATAAGTTATAGAAACTAAATCCAATATTTATTTAGTTTTAGTTATTTAGATTATTATTAGTAGTAGTTTGATCAATAAATATGGGGAGATTTATAGTAATAAAATCATTATTAAAACAAAGAACACCTTAACCGCTACTAAAACATGTAATGTCAATCTGATGGTAAAATGTGAATAGACGCAAGGTGAGAGAAAAGAGGCAGAGACTAAAAAATAAGCCATTATATAGTAGCATCTAAACCAAGCATTAAGGCTCACAAATAGAAGGTAAAATTAACCAGTCAATGTTAAACTAATTTGTTTAATTAATTATAACGTTGATCTTCTTAATTACACAATTCTTCCAAGCAGAATGTTTTTTTTTTTTTTATTCTATTTTAATTAATTTCTTGAAGAAATGTATTGAATCTCCAGTTGTAAACCTCTAGATTTTTTGAAAATAATTCTAGGTCTTGAAAATAAACAACAGATTGATGATTGGTACTTTGAACTTTGAAGATTTTAAAGAGTAAGGTTTAAAATTGATAATATTTATCATTTAGAATAATCAGCTTATGGTATAAATTACAAGTGGGGAGCCTACAGCCCCCTTTAGTTTTTGTATGGTCTTCTTAATCTAGTGCTAGAATTAATTAATATTTAATTATTAAGGGTGATAAATATTCAGGACACAGTCATTGTAAGGTTTTAATTAGTACCGACGTTTCAATCCAAAGAAATGGGTCATCAGCAGGGCGTGGTTCGAGCACTAAAGATATTCAAGTACTCCAAGAATATTAATGAAGGAAGCTAGTCGACTGTTCTACATAGCATGGGTGATAAATATTCAGGACGCAGTTTTTTTTTTAAATATTTTATTTGTGCCAACATTTCAACCCAAACATGTGGGTCATCTTCATGGTTTGAACACTGAGGGTGTTCAAGTACTCTGAGGGTGGTAAGTACTTGAAGATGACCCACATGTTTGGATTGAAACGTTGGCACAAATAAAAAATTTAAAATTTTTTTAAAAAAAGACTGCGTCCTGAATATTTATCACCCATGGCAAGGATATTAAAGGAGTACTTGAATATCTTCAGTGCTCGAACCACGCACCAACATGATGATGACCCACATGTTTGGGTTGAAACGACGGCACTAATAAAACCCTTATAATGACTGCGTCTTGAGTATTTATCACCTATGATATGTACAATAGTCGACTAACTTCCTTCAATAATTTAATTATTAAGGTAACAAAAAATTGAAAATTAATAGAAATAAATTTAATACACATATATGGGTGTCTATTTACTAATAAATAAAAAAACAGCAGTAAAATATAAAAACTTATTCCTCCCTCCACTGTCACTACCTAATCTTAATGAGACCTCCAATGATAAAATGGTTTCCCACCTATGATATAAACTTTAAATTCTAATCTAATTATCAATTAATAACTTGCTAATTAAGATTTTATATATTTAATAATAATTTATGAATGCCATTCCCAAAACTTAAATTGTATGTTATACAACCAGATAAACAAATTTTTTATATCTCTATGAGGATTGGTGACTGTTTAACTTACCTAGAACCGGATTTACTTCTTGATCCAGACCTTGATCTTGAACGAGAATTCGATCTGAAAAAAAAAAAAACCTATTAAATCAATATAATTAAATGACATTTCTATAATTGGAAAAGATGTTTTAAAACACATCAGATCTGATTAAATAATTTACAGTAGTAATCTTCTGCAAAGTAATTTTTGTACCTAATAAAGTAGATTTTTTTCTATTATTCTTATCTAATGTAACTGGCTGTATAAATACAGTACACTACAGTAGATCTGATCTGTTGTGAAGTTTCTATTAAATAAAAAAACAAAACAATATTTTGGAAAGTTAGTTTTATCACTTTTTTGGTTGACGACTCACCTGCTAGCTATCTTGAGCTTCTCACTATCACTATCAGATTCACTAGTTGATATAGTAGCCTTGGAAACGACCTTTAACCTCTGTTTGGCAGACAACCTCTCTTCCTTCTGTTGTTTCTTAGCACCTTTACCTCCACCTTTCTTTATCCTGCCACCGCCTTCCTATGTACAAGAACAGAGACATCAATAAGAATGAATGACAACTCATTTCACAAATTATTAAATAACAAATCATTGCAAGAGACAAGAAATAATTATAATTTATGTTGATTCAATAACTAATTCAAAACCTTAAAAAGAAACAAAATAAAAATACGTGCCTTGTTCTTCTTGATTCGTTTAGTTTTAGGCCTATCACTGCCACCACTCTCGCTGTCACTTCCTCTCTTTTCTTTTTGTTTCCTCTTCTTACCTCCTCCTTTCTTTCCTTTTTTGTCTTTTTCCCTATAAATTTAATATTATTAAAATGTTACTATACCATACTTTACGATATTCTGCACATGTAAGAAAACTTATCATAATATTTTTATTGATATTATTTTATCAAATGTATTTATAGTTTTAAAAATAATGCAACAATAATAGTAAGAATTAGCAAACCCAAAGGTTTGATTCCGATACCACCAATTGATGTCTACATTCTTCCATTCACTGGACCCAATCTAAACCTAACCCCTTAAGATCAGCCTTAATGCAATCTTCCCACCTTCACTTTGAACTAAACCTTGGACACTTACAAATCGGCACATCACATATTAACTTTTTAGGAATTCCTTCTCAGCGATTCCTTCCTAATCTCAGCGATTTTACATGGCCATTTTATTCGCCTCAACTTAATCATCTCAATTACACTACCCAGGTATATTGGAGCAGTGCAGCGTTATGTAAACGCCTAAATTCTCATCCCTCTTTAGTTCAGATATTCTGCACAAAATATTTTATTCAAAAACTTTAAGACGTTGCTCACTCCTCAATGTAAGTGGCCATATTTCGCATACATAAAAAACCATAGGAAGGACAATGGTTTTGTAAATTCTAATTTTTAAGTTTTGAGACAGGAAGCACGAGCTAAGCAGTTTTGACAAAGAAAAATAACAATCATTACCCGTCTTCAACCTAACCTTAATCTCCTCTTTAATTAATTTTTAGTTATCGATGCCTAAAATACTCTACATGTTCAAACACATTCCCTTCTATATCAATATCAACAAAATTGTCACTGTTTTTGCAGCTACACATATATTTTGTCTAATCCATATTTATTCCATCCTTTACTGGCTTTCATCAACAATGTTTTTTTTAGTTTTATTGTTCCTGTGTCTTCAATAAACAGTATGAAATGATCAGTATCTCAAGCACAGATATTGTTCCACCCTGATTCAAACTTTTTTCAGTATGTATCACCTCTCTAATGGCTGTTCTAATGCCAAGTTAAATAGAACAGGTGAAAGGGAATCACCTTGTCTTAAACCCGAACGAACCTCAAAATTTCTTGGATAAATAATAACTGATTCTAACTTAATTGAATGTTTTGGACATACACATCCTAACTAGATTCACTATTTTTAAGAAAAACTTGGTTGTACATTGTTATGATAGATAAGATTTCTTTTTTTTTTTTTAATACCAATGATTTGAATAATTACAAATTTACATATGAAATTTTATTATTATTACCTGACATTGTCTGATGGACTCCTTCCTCCCTCACTACCAGAGTCTGTGGCAATGATGTCTTGATTCTTTCGGCCACGACCTTTCGATGGTCTCTTTTCGTTAGGCATATCGCCAAACAGTAAAGCTCCCTTAGTCTTTTCTTTGTACTCTTGTCTTTTAGCAAGCATTTCTTCTTCTTCTCGCTTCCTTTTTTCTTCCTGATCTTTCTAAAAACATAAAAGAAAAACAAAATGATGTTAAATTTCTGATTTTAGAAAGAAAAAAAGGTAATTAATTAATAATTAATAAATAGTACCAATTTTATATTCAAAAATAAAACAATACAATTTGTTTAACAAAATATAAATTACTTTTAATTTACATTATATTAATTTGTTTTTGTCTATTTATTTTGGCTATTTTCAAAGATATCAATTTTATTTTTTACCACCTAAATATAAATTTTTGAATTATGGTTCAATATCAGACCAATCCCCAAAACATTTTTCAATAACATCGAAATTCCGACATCAGATAATATAAGATATTTGGGTTTTCATCTAGACAAAAGACTAACATGGAGGACTCAAAAGTAGACAAAAACTTATAGAATCAAACTGACTATATCATGTTTTATCCAGATTACTTGACAGACATTCAAATTATTTTTAACTAACAAACTAACCCTAGTTTGTAATTCAATCATTCCAGTCTAAAGTATTGCAGAGGATAGTTGATGGACCATACGTCATAAATGAAATAATACACAAGAACATCTAAACATTCCAACAATTTTAGACACTTCCAAAGAAAATTACAACAAATTTCACTAAAGACTGACTTAGAACATGAATCCACTGACAGAAATTCTTAAACACACATGTCACCCCTACAGCCCACCAAGACAATTACATAGACAGTATCCAAGAGATCTGCTGAGATTATTTATACCCTGATGAATTATCGCTTGATGTTACAGATTATATCAATTTATACAAAAACAATTTCAATTTGTTAATTTAGCATTTTATGAAAAAGTATTTGTTATGAGCTATCTCCATTACACTTTTACTTTTCATTGAAATGACAAAAATCCACATTTTTTAACAATTTTCCTTACCTTTAACACTTTTCTAAACGAAATAATGAGAATATATTTAACAAACATATACATTTAATGATTATAAATACTTATAATAGCATTTAAATTAAATGTGGGAAGCTACATTTTAAGTTTATTCACTTAAATAAAAAGAGAGAATTTTAACTAAATTATATCTATCCAATAGACATTTATGACAGAAGGAAAAAATATATATATCATTTACTAAAGGATAAAAAATAAATCACCTTCTACACTTTAATTCCATATAAAAAAAAGAAACATCATTCAAAACCTGTTTCAAATATTTGTAGTTTGTAGTTTTGATTCATTTAACAAATAATTTTGTTTATTTTTTATCAATTTCGTTTATGTTTAATTTATTGATATAATTTTTTATTTTTAAAAGAAATTCTTTATACACAATAATGAAAATCATAGTTAATTTGAAATTATGACCAAATATTTGGTAATTTGATACTTGTCACATAAATAAACCATCATTCATTCAAATAAAAAAATTAAATAAAACAAGAGATACCAGTAATTGCAATTGCTTCAGCCTGAAGGCAGCACGTTCTTCTTCTTGCTTAGCTCGCAGCTGCCTCTCTTCTTCATCTGTCCTTCTGGCCCTCGCCACGTGGTACTGAGCCTGTGACAATAAGTCCTGGCACTGCCTCGCCTCTGCTCCTGCAGCGGCAACATCGTACTTCATTCGGTCTCCATAAACGCTCAGATATTGAAAGTACCTATCAATGGTTACCAAATTAATTAAACAATTAAAACAACTCTGGCAATCCAATCTTTAATTGGATAACATTAATGAAAGATATTGATTAGTTTCTAAAAATACAAACTCATTATATTAGGCCAATAGAAGCAAAGATGCATAAGTGAGAAAAATGAAGTTTTGAATAAACAATTATTCAAGTTAAACTTCTCTCCTATAATCTCTATATTTTTCTACACAGGCAGAATTTCTTTTTTAAAGTTTTTCAGTACATCTAAAGCAACAGTTAAATTAATTTTATAATGATGAATTGCACTAATACTGTTTCTTTTATAAACAATTAATATAATCATAATGGTCGAAAATAACCATTAGCTTACTTGATTTCTTCAATATTGAGGTTCATTATTATGGGATTATCCAAGGAGCTTTTTATAAAAATACTATAGACTTTTAGAGTTTGCTATCACGTATTGATTATATTATATAAAAAATAAATAGTTTTAAAGTTTCGGTTTCTTTGATATTAGGGTCCATTATTATACTATCTGAGGTGTTTTTTAAGTTTTGACATGACGATTTTAAGATTAGTGAGACCCTCCTGGAACACACACAGCCTCTATTAAGGAGGAAAATCTGGTGGCTGAGCGTGACCTCAGCCCTATCGCTTCCCTGCACAACCGTTGGTGTTGTAACAGTACTGTCTCAAAAAGTACTGAACCCAATATCCTCCATGGGTTGTATTAGATTAGTGGTAGAGGTTTATACCTCACCGGAATGTGTTCCGAAATAAACCAAGGAACAATGTACCGAAGAAGACATCCTTGCAACTAGTAGTGTATTACTCCTCAAGCGATAAGATCTAATTTAGTTGAAAATACAATGACTGAGATGCCATTAAAAATTTTAATGCTATCTCAATATCATTTGATTCATTAGAATTAATATTTAGTAAGTATAATGCAGTCACCCAAGTTTCTTAATACTAACTGCCATGTAGACAACAGAACCAAATATTTACCAATACATTATACATAAAAAATGTAACGTATCAAAAAACTAAAATAATATTATAATAGATAAACCCTTAAACTTACTTTTGTGATAAACTAAGTTCATGTACTGCTTGAAGCACAATGTCCAATGTTGATTTATCGTCCTTCAGAATCTGTGTAGCAAGTCGTTGCAATACAAGAGCAATGTTGTAAAGAAGAACCGTGTCTTGTGGAGCTACACGTCGAGCCTAACAAAAAGTATAATATAAATGTATATAACATTGCTTACAGAATAAAAATTATTTGTTTATAGGATCAGTCAAATTAAAAATATGGATAATATTAAAAATGAGCTGCTTGAGTTTTTATTACTTTGTTATCATCCTTTAAGTTTTTCTTACTGAGAGCTTGTTATATGATAAATAAAAATACTGTGTATGGTAAGAAAAAATACATAAAACGTACCTTAAGTAGAATGTTCTTGGCCTGAGTCAATTTTCCAGCTTTAAAACAAGCTCGTGCAAGATACAACATCACTTCAACATGATTGTACTTGAAAAATTTTCTTAAACAGTTTTCATACTGAAAATTTGCAAATTAATGAAGAACAAAAATTAAATAAAGTATCATACTTATTAAAATAGTAATAATTATTTATTCATTTTATAGTATTTTGTAATAATGAAGAAAAGGTTGACTTGAGATAATACAGCTGGGACTTTGGTTAGGGGTTGCAGTCAGTGAGAAAACAAATAAAAATTTGGCACTAAATAAATTTTTTTTTTTATTTGTTTGTTCACACTGACTGCAATCCCTAACTATTTTCTCAACTACATATTCCTTTATATCTTACCTAAAATGGAATTATTGTGTACATAAAATTAAAATTGAATTTGTTAGTACAATATAAAAATTATTAAGATGAATAATCAAATTTATTATTAACTCTATAATGCAATATCTTGATGTCTTATTGCTAAATTTTTGTCATTTTGACGACCAGAATCACAATATAAATTAAGAAAATACTTCTTATAGAACCTATAAAGGCTTTTTCAAGAATTTTTTGGTTTACTTCATGAATCTGACAAGGTTTAGCATTCTATGTATTATAAAAATTTTAGACTATATTAAACATAATACTTATGATAAGCAATCTTATTATCATTTTTGGTAGGTTCTTAATTTAATTATTAAATTGCATCAATAATTGGTTAAAGTTAATCAAGATCACAATGCTCCTACAATTTTATTTCAACAATAAAAAATCTTTTTAACAAGATAGTGTATTTCATATATAAAATAAACAATATAAACTGCTTTGATGTCATTATCTCTCTAAAATAAAAATAAACCATAAAAAAAAAAAAAACAAGACCTTAAAAATATTATTTAGTATATTACTCCAAGGTAGTACTTGTTATGGTCATATTATAAACTTAGCTGCTTCCTTTTAATTACTATTTCTTTGCATTTTATTTATCTTGATAAAAACAGCTTTCATTATTTTCTTTTGTTAGTTGATTGTCAGGCACATTATCATTTATTCTTTCTAAAATATACTCATATCCTTTTAGAAACTGTAGTTTGGACTTCATATCACTTTAGAAACTGAGTCTAAGCAATTCATTTCAAGCAAATCATCATATTTGATGAAATCCATCCTTATGCTTGCTAACTAAGCATCATTTAAAAGTATTCAATACCTAGTGACCATGTCAGGATAGTCTAACATGTACACTATTATTATTATCAAGCCTAAAACTGAGTTGTTCATATTAAATCATTATTTATATAGTAATAAAAGACATCAGCAACTGGGTCAGACGAACATGGTTTTAATAGATAAGTAAATCAGCCACCAACAATCGTATCAGACAAACACAGTCCACTTTATTATTAGAGTATGCAATTGGATGTCATAAAGTGATGTGATCTTTCATTTTCTCTTCTGACCTGATGATGACTGAATTGGCGAAACGCTGACGAGTTTTATATTCTTTACCTGAATTTTGGAGACATAATGGTTGGAATTTTTCCAGTTATAAACAAACATTGAATTTCTGTCTCTTAGTGAGGTTTTTACTGATTTATATAAAAGCAATTCAATTTCTAAAAGAATTTAGTATTGGTTTATTGATAAAAGTCACTAAGTGTATTTTTGCTATAGGTTAACTTTCAAATATGTTTTTGTGAATTTTGTCCTTATTTATTCATACAAAAACACCATAAATGCATAAAACACACTCTTTTGTTTTATCATATATAATTACACTTATTGAACAATTTTTTGGTTTCATGAAGATAAAATTCATCTAAGCTTAATTCTTTGAGGTTATGAAATGTCACTTAATGACTTTTTGCAATAAACTGACACTAGAGATTATTAAGATTATAATAATCAGTTGTTATAACAATAATAATGATATGTATAACTTTATGTGGCTGGGCTTTAAGTTTCAACCCACATGTCATGTCTGAATCAAGTGGCAGATGATGGAATAAATAAAACTACTGATTCATTAACTAAAATGAATAAAAAGAAAACAAAAGTCAGATGAATCTGTCTAAATTAATAATCTGTTAACATACACAAATAGTAAAAATATAAAAATTAAGAATAATATAATAAATAGCAGTATTTACCATTTGAATTGCACTGACATACTGTTTTTGTTCGACATAAATGTGTGCAATATTCAACCAAACATCACAAAACTCAGCTGTTGCTTCTCTTACTTGAGCAAATATATCTCTTGCCTCATTAATATAACCTTTATGTGCCAAAACAGATCCTGAAATTGACAATATCATATGTTTATTAATAATATTGAACTTATATTACTAATACTTCTAGAGTTTTTATATAACAAGATACAACTTAGCAGAATGAAATATTTATTTATGTTTATAAATTAATAATTCCTTTTCATTTATAATAATAGCTAGCTACAAATAATATCTATTTACTTGATAAAAACAAAACAATGTTTTACCTATCCCATTAGTAGCCCATATATTTCTTGGATCATTACGTAGCACCTTGTTGTACATGGTTAAAGCACGTTCTTGACGAACTTTATCTTTCCCTTTTTCTTTTGAAGGTTGGTGAAGTGTCTGCAGCCAAACGTTTCCAAGTGCAATCTGAGAATATGCATCTGTTGATGTAGCTGGGCACTATAAAAGAATCAGAAAATATTTTTGAAATATGATATTACATTATTAATGAATGCACAGGTGTGTAGGATACACTATTAGGCCAAAATCAAAATTTTATACCATTTTCTGTCTTATAAAAAGTATCTTTCTTACACTAGTTTATTAATTTTATTTAAATGCAAATAAATATATTTTGTGTCAGTTTGACAAAGAAAACTTCCTTTGTGACAAGTAATTGATATATTTCTCACATATTATTACAAGCTAAGGTTTCGGGATTGTTTCCATCCTCAGAACTTCTTGTCGCATTTTATTACAAAACAATTTCTATTTAGTATGCTAGCTCCTTTGTCTGTGTTATATTTTTAATTTTTTAACATAAATGATATCTGGAGCAACACGTTTCTAAACCTAACAATTGGTTTGCTTTATGAAGCAATTTTCTAATAAAATGCGACAAGAAGTTCTGAGGATGGGAAATAATCCCGATACATTAACATGTAATAATATGTGATAAATATACTTATTACTAGCCAACAAAGAAAGTTTTCTTTGCCAAACATAATTAATAACCTAAAGCTTCCCAACTAAAGAAGAAAAAGAAGTAATATTTTGTTTTTACTATAACATGAACAGTAATGATCATATAAAACATATCTGTGGCACCTGTGAAAAGGGTGTTAAGTGCAATTTTGTGATTTTTATGAGTATCAACAGAAAGCTAATATTCTCTCTTTCTTTGTGTCTAATGGGCTAATTTATACAGCTATTACAGAGATGAACATTCCTTCATGAACCATAGGTTGAAACTCGAAAATTGAACTTGCACCTGTGAAAATATCAAACTTTCAATCGCATTTTCCCATAACTATCATTTTTGCACACTATGCACAGGTGTCACGTGTATGATATATGTTATATGCATATAAGAACTATTTTCAGTGTAAATGTAAAATTTTGCGTTAATTTGTGATTCTAAGATTTAATAAAAAGCATTTTAAAAGGTCTTAAAATGTTTTAATAATTATTATTAACAGTGGACTATTTAATTGACAAAATTAATTTACCTTCAGAATCCTTTCGAATTTTTTTTGACCAGGCCCCCACTCTTGTTTGGCAAGATGAAGATTACCCAGCAGTGACCAAGCATCAGGGTGGTCATTGTCAATCCTCATTGCTTCCTTAAACCAATCGGAAGCCTCGTAAATCTGACCTTTGTCTCTAGCCATACAGCCCAATCTCAAATAACCTATAGCATAAATTATAATAAAAATAAAATTTCATTATTATTATAAAATTATAACTTTTAAGTGTTTGATTCATTCTTACATTGTTAGGTACAGATATAAAATAACAAATATGAAAATACTATTTAATTGACATTCAACATAAAACCCATAATTTTGAGAAAAAAAAAAACCTGTACCGCTATACCCCATGAAGTGTCTTCAATTCAATCATATTATATTTATTAAAGAATCTATAACATAATATTTGGGATTTAAAATGAAAAATCTAAAGAAAAAAATGCCTGAAGGAGTGACCATTTGATAAAAATATTTTTTTTTTAATGAAAACAAATAATGATGTTTATTTGTTTAGGCAAATAAAACATAGAATAAAATCTTACTTACAATCAACATAGTTCGGATGTTCTTTGAGGATATCTTTGTAAAGTTTTTCTGCTTTGTCAAACTGGCAGAGAGCTTCATTAAGCCTGGCTAAGTTGTATGTCGTTGTAACTGCAATGGAATTGTAATATTGTGGATCATGTTCAGCTTCAGCTCTCGCACGGCTTAGAGATTCTTCAAAATTTTTTTTAGCTTCGTCCAGGTTTTCAAGTCTGTAAGTAATATTAATAGACTAATGTCAGAATTATTTTTACAAATAAAAAATCATATGAGAATGTCAAAAAATGAAGACAGATATTTAGTCAAAGTGCTCAGAATACATAGCAATGATATTAAGTTTTATCAATTCAAAATTTAGAATATAAGGAAATAATTTTTGGCAGTTATTTTACATATTTAGCTAACATATTTTCTTTTACAATCCTAGAAAATTTGTTATTTCTTAATTTAGTTTAAAGTTATAAATTCAGCTTTTCTTTATATTTAAATTATCTTTTTTTTTTTATTTTATAAAATTTTAAATAATCTTTAGGTAGTACCAATTATTGGCAATAATGTTTTTAGATGTAATAAATCTGGTATAGATTCAAGAATTGCTATAACAATTAAAAAAGTTAAAAATAATTTTCTTGCTATAAAAACTAGGGTAATAAAAATTTTTAAGTAAAAGAAAATTTTAGAATGCTTATCATTGTTGTTTCTATAGTTCTCTTGAGATCAGTATGTTTCATATCTTACTAATAACAGTTTTGCTAAGAGTAAGTTGATCATTTATGTTATCTTATCTTTACAGTTAAATTTTAGAATTTTTCTTAGGTATGTCCATTACTGGTACCGACCCCCTGTCCATTACTGGAACAATTGAAATTCTGGGTGTTCATCACTAGTGCAAAAAAGTTTTTTTTTTTAAATGGTGATTATAACTGCATAACTCAATATGTTTTCAATTTTAAAGTATTAAATAGAAAAAGCAGACCCTACAGATTCAAAATGTTCAAACAGAGAAACCTATAAGTTTAAAACTATAATAATTACGGCAGCATAAGCCAAAAAAAGATAAAACTTTCCTTAGCTATGTCCATCATTGGTGAACTTATCCTAGAAAGATTGAAAATAATCAACAAGAGCAATGTCATGGAAATTATTAATGAAATATAAATATGCAAATATATTTTGTAGGTGATGCTGATTACTATTGGAGAGAATTGCACCCACCAAGCATCAGTATGATGTCCCTAAACAGTCTGATACAAAAGAATCATGAACTGATCCTTTGGTGGGATGTTAAAAATTCAACCAAAAGTCTTCATTAAAAGATAGTGAATCTTAGAACCCTCCAGAAATGATGTTGGACATAAATCCTTAAGGTTTCTACTGATCTGTTTTTATGAAATTTTCTGACTTTTTCATGTTTCCCAAGTTATTTTTGCAAAACAGGCCGGCATCAAAACAGTTTTCATAGCAACAGCAAGAGGTGGGGTGGCCGAGCAGGCTAATTTGTGTGCAAAGCATACATTGCCCGCAGCAATCTGTGATAAACCAAAGTTCACCTTGCTCCTGGCCCATATAAAAATCCGTATAGAAAAAACCCATACAGCCTAAAAAGGCAAGGAAGAGGAAAATATGGTTTTCATAGAATATATACCAATTATAGATATATATTACTTGATTATTCTTCCTGATTCTAAAATAAGAGGCAATAAAATGTTGTGGAAATCACAAACAAACAAACAGTGATTCATTTTATATGTTTACACTTTTTTTTTTTTTTAGTTTGTGGCAAGAATACACCGCAGCCATGAAGGCCTATTGTACGCCTCTATTAAAGTCATTTCTATAAGAACATAATTCCTGCAGTCTCAATAAATAGAAGTAAGTTTGTTGGGTTGATAAGCTCGTATGTCTTGTGATCAATCAGCCTACCAATTACGAATAATCGAAATCTCAGTTCAGCAAACCTGTCCCAACAAGTGATATGATAAGCTGTTTCATCCTCCTGACCACAGACCTACAAAGAGACGATTCCGTTAGCCAGAGATTGAACATATGATAATTCAGTTTAAAGTGTCCTGTATAGATCGCTGTAATTTTCTGAAGTGAGTTCCTGCTCAAGTTAATTAGTAGATTGCTTCTTTGTGGACAGATTCCTTCCAGGAACAATCTAGAGTGAGTCTGTTTTTTCAAGCACCAGTATTTTTTGGCTTCAGCACCATAGATCTCCCTAATTCTGTTATTTAGAATTCCACAGATGGGCTCAGAAGTTATGGGAATCTCTTGTGAGCCTAATCTGGTTAATTCATCTGCCATCTCATTACCATGAATTCTAGAGTGATCCGGAACCCATTCAATGTTTACCTTATTGAATCTATATAGGTCATTGATAATTCCTATATAATCTTTAACAGCCTTAGATCTAGTTGTGTAATTGTCCAGCACTCGTATTGCTGCTTAACAATCAGCATGGATGGAAATATTCCTCCCCATCAACCCACCAAGTAAGAATTTTGAGGCACAGTGAGTTATCGCCAGTATTTCAGATTGGAATACTGTTGCATATTTGTCAAGTGATATGCCTTCCTCTGGTTCATCCTTTCTCCAAAAGCCAGGGATTGATCCGCATGTCATTAGTGACCCATCAGTATAACAATTAATCCCTTTAATGGATTTATGTTCTACTGAACTGTCTATTTTAACATTATAAATCTTTGTTAGAAATTCTTTGATTTGAGGATCAGAGCGCATTGTAAGCACCTTGTCTTTCTCAATTTTTAAAATTATTTTCCAATGTTCCTCATGGGTATTTCTCTTTGAGCATAAGTTAAGTTTTTGTAGCCTATAAAGTTTTCAAGACATGCTTTTCTATATCCAACTGCAAAGGAAACAGACCTAACATTACTTCCATGACTGCAGTCGGAATAGTTTTCATTGCACCTGTTATCATTAAACAGGCTAATCTTTGTAGGTTTCCCAGTTGTATCCGGTTGTGGTCCACTCTTGCCCTACGCCACCATACAACAGTTGAATATAAGAGAACGGATTAACCGCTATGACATACAGCCAGTAGACCATCAGTGGTTTAAGTCCCTATGCCTTTCCAACAGCATTTTTGCACGCCCAAAGGCGTTTTAATGCTTTATTAGTTGTGTACTCCACATGCCTATTGCACAACAGTTTATTGTCCAGCGTAACACCTAAGTTTTTGACCTCCTTACTTAATGTTAACTGGATGTTATTAATTTTAGGTAATCTTAATTCAACCATTTTCTTCATTGTGAAGGTGCAAAAGTTTATCTTGGCTGGGTTGACACTCAGTCCACTGGACCGGCACCATACCTCTAAGACTCCTGTCACAGCCCTCAACAGATCAGAAAGAACATTTTGATGTTTTCTGCCAATAAGAATAGCGATGTTACCCATATATCCTTGAGCATAAAAGCTTAAAGTATTTAGTTTTATGAGAAAAGAGTCCACCACCAAACACCACAGTATTTATATGGTTACTTAGTATAGCATGAAATGATAATCCTCTCTCCCACAAAAAACATTAGAGATAAACGAGATCAGGTATCATAATAAAAAAATGAAATAATATATATATATATATATATATATATATATATATATATATATATATATATATATACAATACCAACCTATAATGTAGACAAGCAACATTGTTTAATATTTCTGGAGGTATTTCTGCATTGACAGTTTCCTTCAGGATTTTAGTGGCTGTTCCATAGGCTTGCAAGGAACTTTGTAAGTCTGACTGTTCCAGGATCTGTGCCAATTCAATCCAAGCTTCTACGTCGTCAGGGAACTGTTCAGTAACCTGCAAAAGAAACAAAAATGTAGGAATTTTTACAATTCTCCACAGTGGACCAGACTGTTTTGTGCAATAATATCTGTTAAAAAATATCCTTACTTATCTAAAAATGTAATAAAGTGTTTTCATTCAAATGATAAATAAGTATTTATGTTGCTTTATAAAAGGAGGCGTAAATAAAATATAATAATAAATAAATAAAATAAATATAAATATATATATATATTTTTTTTTTTGGCCCCTCCCTTCCTCACCTTTTAGGCTCTCTTCCCGGGCCAGAGGGTGAGGGCGAGGAATTAATGCCAGAGTTAAAAGTTCCCTCCTCCCCCCCTCTCCCGGGCACCAGGACACTAGATCATTTTAATAAAATTATCTATGATCTAGGTAACCGGGCAACACACTGTGCTGTGCACACACATTAGCCCACTCAGCTATCCCATCACCTAACTATAAATGTCTACATTACATTTATACATTATACATTGTATAAGAATTTGATAATTAACTAAAGGAGAAATAAGAGATCATAACGAATAATAGTTGTAATGGAGGATCCAAAGGAATATGAGCGTGCCCAAAAGATTACAACATGCTTCCATACGTAATATTAGAGTAATATAATACGGACTCCAACAATGTTATGTACATATGCATATGAAGTTTTCATAAATGCTATCTATCATTGGTATTATTTAATATTTAATTGTATAGAATACAGCGAGCGATATGAAAATTCAAATTTGTATACATCTACAATGAAATGTAAATAAATAACGTCTATAATTTTTACTTTCGCTTCTCCTTTGAGTTAAAATACTTATTTCTGCTAAGAAGAGGGTGGTAAGTGAAAGTCATGTGATGCGCACACTAGATATTTTTTTTTTTAATGACCTATTTAATCGTTTGACTCAAATGATAAAGATTCTCCTTTTTGCTATTGTGTAATTTATTTTTCTTTTGCTATTTTTTTTTTGGCAATTGAGCGTGGTCTCAGTCAAATCACCTCCTTGCACAACCGTTTTCTTTATTTACTTTCCTTCATTTCACAACCGTTATTTACTTACCCTTCATAGTTTGTAGTGGTGCAGGTTTTTTTTTTGTTTTGTTTTGTTTTTTTTCACTTTATTTTAATTAATATCAAAAGAAAAATACATGATAAATTTATAAAATATTACCTTTCCATGTTATTTTTTATGTTAGCTAAGCATAATAAATAAATACAGATGCAATAACAGTATAAAAATATTAAATAAATTGTTTAAAATCTACCTTTCTTAGATGGTTTTTTGCAATATCTCTTTTAGACTGACTTTGGGAGTTGGCATATAAAGAACCAAGAATCTTCATAGTTTCATAATTTCCAGGCTGAACTTTTAAAACTTTTTCAAAACACTGTGCTGCCTAAAAATGGAATTAAAAATGTCAGTATACTTAATATTTAAACATATTAATACTACATACAGAAATATTAAACAAAGTATTTAATCACTTTACTAACTTTTCGAGATGGATATATTTGTTGACTATCTTTAAAATTATGAAGACGACAAATAACCAGAATACACAGTCTAGATATGTTTTAATGGTCTAGACCCAAGTACAATGGTTACTGTATAATTAAGCATCAATAGTTCTAGAGTCAGTTAATAAATTATCAACTAAATAAAAAAAGCTTACATTTTCAGTATCTCCTTTGTATATATACATCTGGCCAAGTCCAAAATGGGGAAGAACGAACATAGGTGGTGCAAACTGAGTAGCCTGGTAATAGTACTGAAATGAATGGTCATAGTCTCCCTAAAACATAAAAACAACATAAAATATCGAAATAACGCAAAAGGGACAAAGTTTGATACATGATATCTCCATTAATAGAAAATAATACTTTTTTTTTTATTTTATAAAAACATTATATTAACTTTACAATTAGAACTCAGATTAAAAATACTAAGTTATAAAGAAAGTATGAAATAGATTTTTATAATCCAAATAAATTTATTTATTTGTTCAGTACAAACAGACAGAATATTTAACTTTGAAGAAGAACTCTCCTGAACACCAAAACTTATTTCAATCAATATTTCATCTCACTAAAGAAAACTGGTGTACTGCCTAAAGACACTAGGCCACCATACATGAATGTTTATATGAATATACCATAAAGACCCAAATCAATACTTCTATTTTCTGTTTATTGTATTAAGTGCTAGATGTAACTCTCAGACATCTTTGTAAATCTCGTTTAGGTCTCAATGCAATATCTCTGGCGATTTTAAAGCAAAGAAGAAGTAAAGGAACATATGCGTAATTGCCTGATAACTTGCCACAAATTATTTTTAACAAAGAATAAAGAAACTTACAAATTGGAGATATAAGCTAATAGATTACACACTTGTATATAGCTGTAAAGGTTTTCTTCCAGTATTTTGTAACAGCTCAAATTTTCTTGTTTGCTTTTGTTACCTATATAGTTTCACGTTTTCTAGCTATTTCCTATATCAAAACCTTATGTTATATCAATAAAAGTTCTTTTTAGACCTTTTAATCTTACACTGCTGCACTGAGTGGCAGTACATATATAAGGCATAAGATGATAGGCTAGATTTTTGAAAATTTTGATGCTTGACATCATTGATACATCCAAGGTTCATCTCTTTATTCGAATCCCAGAATTTCATTTGCAAGCTATAGTTTCTTTGGAAGTCGTCCAAGACTGAATTAAGTCTTAGTCTGATCAGTGTATCGTACTTTTTCTATTAAAATGACTAGATTTGTAGAAAAATTATATTTTCTGATAAGATTTACATTGATTATTGAAGTTATAAGTTAAGTAAACATTATTAATTTGTTTTTTCTTGGTATCAAATTCAAAGGCCACACAGCAAAAGCGTGAAAGTGCAAAAACTAAAATTATTCATTAGACGAAATAAATCATGTATTTCTTATATTGTTAATAATATTTTCTGTTTAATTTTTATTGCATGCTAAAGATAAAAATATGTTGTTTTAATTAACTTTTTTTTTTTATTTCTGAATATGGAAGAGACCGAGATTGACAAGTAAAGCTTAAAAACACACTTAAAGCTTGATAAAGATAAATAAAATATAAAATTGAAGTTACAGACTTTAGCAGTGCGGCCATCGAAATATAAAATCAAAACATGAAAAAATAGAACTATTTCATTCCAAAAGAATTTAAAAAATCAAGAATGAAGAATAATACCTGAACGTGGAAGGCCCTCGCCAGTTGGTAACAACTTTCAGCCCTCATCGCCTCATTTTCTGTGTTATGAAAAGCATGTAAGGCCAAATGTTGAACTTTGTAATAATCCTAAAATTTAAAACAATAATTCATCGCTAATAGAATCCAGTAAATCTAATCATACAAAATGTTTCATTATTAAAAACATCTTGGTCCTATTAAATTTGTAGGCAGATGTATCAAATTTTCATTTCCTTAGCAAAATGGTTAAAATTTAATTATTAATATAACAATTTAGTTCATCAGCATGTGCCACAGTTTATTTTCGATTTACTCAAATTCATTTTCAATAAGCATATCAATAAAAGAATTTATATGTGTATACCTTTTTGAAAAAAAAATGGTTGGCAAGATGGTTGAGCACCATTGGATTGGTAGCATCAATAGTATAGGCTTTCGACAACATTTGGACTCCAGCTTTTATGTCATCGGGTTGCTGCTTATTAAGGCGAAGAATAGCTAAGCCAACGAGCGCTCCAACACACTGCGGATCTAACTCCAAAGCTCTCTCAAATGCCAACCTGTAAAATGTATCTCTCTATTATATAAAAAAGTTTTTAGTAACAGTGTCATATTTTACTTTACATATACAAAGAGGGACAGTTCATAAAGAAGACACTAATGGGCCAGATGTAACAAAGACACCACACTTCTTATTCCCAGGTCCTATCACAAGAGAAGTAAATAAATCCTTCTAATGGACAGTAGGACCATTAGGCGTGAGACAGGATTGTACACTGGTCACTGTCAATTAAATTAAATAAGCACCTTTTTAATTTGGGTAAAAGTGAGACCTCCACCTGCAGGCTGTGTGGCCTGGAGGATGAAACGGCATATCATATTATTTGTAGATGTGATAATTTGGCTAAACTGCGATACTTTCACTTTGGATGTGATCGTATCATTCACCCTAAGCACTGCGAACTGACTGATCCTTTAACAGGTTGGCAAAGGCATCTGGCCTGTTTTAATTGATTCTAGGACGACACACAATAGACCTTCTTGAGACACGCGGTGTACTCTAATGTCGAAAAAAAAAAAAAAGTCAGCTGGAAACTGAAGTTTTCCTTTTTTCACCGACTAGATTTCGGCACCTGTTTTAAATAATAAAAGTATGAAAATTGTTGACAGTTTTAATATTCCAAACTAACAGTGATGTATGTAGAATAACATGAAAAAGATACATAGATAATAATATGAGTTTATACCTTACAATTTCTCGAAAAGTAAATGTGTTCTTTTCAGAAACATGAGATACCTCCATTTTGGGTTACACCTATTGGAAAAACTACCTTCCAAGCCTTTTTGGACTACTACAAAAAGATAAATGGTGAAATATACAATGATATATTTGCAAAGAAGGAATTCACATTTATAAAAAGTCCCTTTTGACAGTTGTAAGTAATTTTAAAAACTTAATATTCTTAAACAACTGCCAATGGGTACTGAAAACTAGGAGAAGGGAGGAACGCCAACAACTGGAGGCTTTACTGTATATTTTTTTACTTTCACTCACCTAATATTATGAAATACAGGGTGTTTCACGGTTAAGTGGCCAAACTGCAAAAATGAACGAAGGACCTCAAAATAAGAAAAAAAATTTCTCTGAAGGTATGTCCGCAAAAGCTTTGTTTTGGAGATATTCACACCTAAAGATTTTTGTTGTTATGAATTATTTATGTTATATGAAATAAATAAAATCTATTTATTTGTTCTAACTACTTTCTTAATTAAATGTAAACAACATTCATATTAAATGTTGTTCAAAGTGATTTCCATGAGCATTGAAACAGGCTCGGCATCTTTCTTCAACAGCAGCAGTGACAGAACGGCACTGGATATGTGTTATTGTTTCACAAGATTCAATTATCCTTCTTCATAGGGAATTAAGGTCGTTGACCGAACTTGCATAGACATTTTGTTTAATGTCACCCCAAACAAAAAATCCAGTGGTTTGAGGTCTGGAGAGCGTGACTGGTCCTGCTTGAACAATCCATTGATTGGGATGATTAACATTTAGCCATTGTCGTGGACCTCTTCTGTAATGTGCAGGACAACCATCTAATTGAAGCCACAAATCCCTTCTCAGTTGTAGTGGAATATGTTCAACTAAATCATAGTAATCATTATTAAGAAATTCCAGAAATGCGCCCGCATTGAGACAGCAGAAATGCGGAAGTATTGAAATATTGCCTTTTATCCCCGAGATAACATTTAATATGAATGTTAATGTTTACATTTAATTAAGAAAGTAGTTAGAACAAATAAATAGGTTTTATTTATTTCATATAACATAAATAATTCATAACAACGAAAATCTTTAGGTGTGAATATCTTCTAAACAAAGGGTTTGCGGACATACCTTTAGTTTGGCCACTTAACCATGAACCCCCTATATACTAAGCCAAAGTACTTTTTAAGGTATAACAATCTTAATTTTTTTTGTTTTGACTTGCGAGATATCATGGTTTAAGTGATAATATGTTATGTGCTATTATGGATGGGTTTAGTTCTACTAAAAAAAGAGCAAGACCACTAGATGTCTGAGAATAAAGGGTTTAAAAAAAAAAATTACTCTGAAGAAAGAACCGCAAGCGAATGGGGACAGATTTAAACCATAAAAATGTACAATACATAGCCTTTTTACATTGATTACATTTGGTTCAGTAATATCAAATAGCAGTGCAAAATGAAAGAAGTGAGCAACGTACCTAGCTTTTTCCTGATTTCCAAGTTTCATAAAGCAGTGTCCCATTCCTAAACGAACAGCAGCAGGACAATTCGGATTTGTCCGAAGTGCCTTTTTGTAGAACGCCAAGGCACCTCGAAAGTCCTGAATAAAATAAGAAAAGGGAGTAATCAGAAAGTTAATTTAATTTTCAAACCATAATAAAGCCAATACAGCTTACCTTCTTGTTGTATGCGATACAAGCCTTCCCCAAAAGGGATGGAATGTTGTTTGTCGACTGATTCAAGACAAAATTGAATTGGGCATCAGCCTGTTCCATTTTATCACCTTCAAGTAGGCAAAAATATGCTCTTCCAAGCAAGTGATTCTAAAATTATTTAAATGGAATATTTAAGAATATTATTGACATAAAATAATATAGAAAAAAACGTAAATATTGGATGTACTATCAACTGTAACTTTAACTTCAAGAGAACGAGAAATCAATTTTAGTGATGCATATTTAGAGATAAAAATAGTTTGAGCTGTACAGGTTGACTTTTTGATATTTAAATTATTTTAAGTTATCCTCTTATTTATAGTTATAAATAACATTTTTTTTTTTACTTTAATATTTTAAACAAAATTCTATTTTGCCAGAAACCACTTTTTAAGAATGGCATTAAATCCTGGTTACTTATATTATTACATTACGTTAAATCATAGTTATATGATTGATGAAAAATAAATTCAATCTAACAGAATTAGGAGGAAAAAAGTCGTCCTCAGAAATAAAAATAATTCTCCAGTAACAAATTCCAGAAGAATTACTTTTTATCCAGTAAAATATAATTACATATATAATAAGAGGATATTCCAAAAATGACCAAATTAATATCAGTTTTGCATTAACTAAACAGATAGTTTTGATTCATTATAAATTCTACAACAATGTAAACCTTTTTATTTAAAATATATATGTTTTAAGTACTAACCTGATCGTACATTATAATTTTATCAGCTGTGGTATACAAATCAGTAGCTTTGGTGAATAAGTCCCGCTTTTTGTCTTTATTTTTCTCTCGGTTAGCTTGCTGAACATAATAAGCAGCCAACATATCTAATGTCCTCATTTGATCTTTTTCAAAATCTCTGTAATTGATATTTGCATCCACTTGTGATGATTCCAACATTTCAAGAAATACTTTGATATTTCCTTGCTTGTAGTATTCCAGCTGAATAAAATCAAATTAATTTCAAATATATATGAGAATAATTCAAATAGAAAACAACACTATAATGATATAATGTTTACAATTCAAAAAAGTTCATAAGTTTATAAAATAAATATACATAGAGTTTGATAAAATGTAGCTTGTTTATATAAAAGGAAAACGCAAGAGAAAAACCATAGCAAGGCCTTGTTATATGGAAAGAGGATCTCCATCAGAAGGTAATGGCGATTAATACGGCAAAGTGCTTGCTGTGTCCAGGAATAAATTTGAAGACACACGTATGTTATGACGGAGAAGCTCTTGAAGTGGTGGACTACTTCCCCTGCCAAGGAACCATAATTAGCAGATCTGGTAAAGCAGATGAAGAAGTTGAAAACCGAGCTAATAAGGCAAATTTAATATATTACCAGATTTGTAATAGTATAACAAGCTACCTGAATGTAAGTAAAGAAACTAAGCTTCACATGTACTAAGCAGTATACCTCCCAATGCTCACACACGTAAGTGAAAATTGAGTCATGCTTGAGAAGTATATTAGCTGAATAATAATGGGAGCAGAAATGAAAGATCTACCCAGAGGTTGGGAAAACAAAGAGAGACTGCGTGCGTAACAAAAGTATAAGGGATCAGATGCAACAAACGGAATTAAATATCTTCCTTAAAAAGCGACAGCTTAAGTGGTTGGACATGTTTGCTGTACAGATAAAGAACAACTACCCAGAAAGGTCATGAAAGTTCGCCTGGAGGCCATGATTTCACCCGAAAATCCTCTATGAGGAACAAGAGCAAGCAGAGAGAAAACTCTGACTCAAATAAAGAAAATGTGTTGGGACCTGGTCATTGGCTCCTCTGGATTTAACTCCTCTACACTAATAAATAAAATTTGTATTTATTAAAATTTAGAACTATATTAAATATATACAACCAGAAAATGTGAATAAATCAGGAATAATGAAAAAAACAGACTTGTACAGATACTATTCAATGGTAGCGCTGACAAAGAAGAAAAGAAAACTTCAAATAGAAAGCTCAACACTGAACGTAATGATATAATAATTCAAAAAAGTTTTGAAAAATACATTTTTACATATATGTATATATAATAGTTTGTACAGAATAACTTGTTTATATAAAAATAACACTCATTAATAATCCAACGGAAAGCTGAAATCTCAGAGTGAATTCTAATATAATTTCAGTTTAATTAGAATTGAAATACTTCACACATATTTTGATCATCTTTGTTAATTATATGGAGATAAAACATGTAGTTAAAACTACCATTATTGTCAAGGGGCAAATTTATTTATATGTTTCTGTATGTTAACAATTTAGTACATATATTTTTTTATTATCTTTACTTATTTACTATTTAGTTCATGGATACTCTCCTATCTACTATCTTTACTTATCTATGATCATATTATTTATCAAAGAGAAACAACGCTTGTACTACTTAGTATATAAATGGTACTACTGTTCAAAGTGGAGTAACATTCAACATTCAACTTCTTCAAATGTTACTCCACTTTGAACAGTGGACCAAAATCCTATGTCCACACTAATAACAGGATTCCAAGAAGGTCTCAGCATTAACATGTTCACAATACAACCTCTGTATATTTAGACAGCGATTTACGACTTCCACAAATTCCTAACTGGTCTTTATCATTTAAAATCTGAGATTTAATTAGCTTTAATGACATCACTGCTTTCAACTGCCACTCACTTAAAAGAGATATACAAACCTCCAAGGATCCTTTTCAGGTTCAATCACATCCACCTACTTTCAGACACACTCAGCAAGACATACAAAGTGATTTCATTAATAGAGTATGAGCATATATAGAGTATTATCATGAGATCTTGTGCCACCCTTCAATAAGGAGCACCACAGTACTACCATTAATATATGCGTCCTCCATAGGGCTCACTCCAGAAAATAACAAGAAAAAATAGGTGATGCAAATAAGATTTCATGGCTCAGTATAAGAATAACAGTTTTAAAAATGGCAAGTCGACTCTGCCTTCATAGGAGCTACACTGAGAAAACTACTATAAAACACAAATGATTATTATAAACTTATTTATATGAATTATATATAAATATATGAATGGCTCTACAACTCAGTCTGAAGTCCTGACCTCCTCCAATTGTCCTAGTAATAAACCGATCGCATCCAGTTTCTGATTCCGAGAATATCTCTTGCATCATCAGTCACACCATCAAACCAATGCAACACCTTGTATAAGCATGCTAAAATAGCTGGCAATCACAATTCTCTTTTAAATTTCAGCTGCTACATTATTATCATTGGTCAATAATGGCACTAAATAAGTGAACTCCGTCCTTTCCTTGAAACTGTACAGACCTACAATATCTTCAGGTATTTTAGGGTCTTCTATCACCAGGTACTAGTTCTTCACTTCATTAACTTCTAGGTCGTCTGTTTGCTGGTCGATCAATGCTTCTGTGACGTACCTAGTTTTGAATGTCAGATGATGTCAACGTCGTATGCAGAAGCTAGGAACTGAATATGTTTATTAAGTATTGTTCCACCAACCTGTATTTTAGCTTTTCCAACAAAGAGAACACATTGTAAAAAAAATAATGAAAATAAATGAGTATGTCTGAAAGTATGGAGAGGCACCCAATAATAATGGAAAGTATTCGATGATGAAATAAAAAGAATTCCTTCCTCGTGACGATGACTCATGAATTCCCAATTAACTAAAAAAGTCACGTTGGACATATGCCTACGTCTAGAGCAAGCATATCGAGCCCATCAATTAACATAATTGATAACATTTAGGAATTTTCAGAATCCCATCCGTTGTATGATCTCATGAGTTATAAGATCAATGTGATCTAGTCTCACCAGTCAACCAGAAGTGACACTCCTGTACTCATGGTCAATTCTTAAGCTATTTAAACAAATAATATAGAAACTGGAGAAAAAAATTACCGCCAAAGCCACCCATATATGAAGTTGCGCATTTTCTTGCCGAAGAATGCTAAGCACTTCTTCTCCATCTGGAAGTTGATCAAAACACAGCTCGATGACCTAATAAAAATTATATCAAATTTAAATAGAAACCTCTCAAATTTATTAACTGAGTAAATTAATAACATTGTAAAAGAATTATAAATATATTATAAAAATGAAAAAGATATTCATTTTAAAACATACCTCATCTGTGTCTTTTAAAGGGATTTCTATAGAATTAGTCATTTTGATTCAAAAGAGTATTGTAAGCACTGAAACACCTCTTCACACTTCTGACCATACAAAGGTTTTCTAACAAAAAAAAACAGTCAATATTACCATTTAATATGGTTCAGGGCAATCTTTTAACGCAATGATATCATTTCAAGTAACAAAAACTTCAAATTCCAAGTTCAAATATGTTAAACACAAACAACTGGCAGGGGAAGGTTATATGTTTATAAACGTGCACGATGACATGTTGTGGAATATTTATATTTTCATTCTTAATCATCACCACAATATTTTTTAAGAATTTTAGAAGGCATTTAATTAATGCTTTGTATAAGTATAATAAATATCATTATTCCTTGTTCTTGACGAGATCAAGTTATTCTCCTTCCACTTACTTGATAAACAAAAGGTTATTGTTTTGTTTATGCTTAGGTTATGTTGATAGTTTGTTCTTCAAGTGATAAGAATAATTCTGATAATATTTTATTGTTTTTGTTTTTAAGTTACGTTTAAGTATTTTGTGAATAAAAACTTCCATTCCTCAAAATGGCCTCTTCATTAAATTCAGTTGATCCAGATCCTATATCTTTGTGTAAACTTTGCTTAATGAAAAAAGCTAAGTATGTTTGCCCTCGATGTGGAACACCCTATTGCTCTGTAAACTGTTACAAGTCTGAAGATCATCTTGACTGTTCTGAAGCGTTTTACCAGGAATGGATTGAAGGAGAACTGAAAGGTAATAAAGTCTCTCTTGATGGGAAAAAAAAGATGATGGAAATCTTGAACCGAATATCTAATGAAGATGTTACTTTTGATGAAGAATTAGATTCTGATGATGAAGAGTCATTACCAGATTTGTCAGAACGTTTAGCTGGAATTGATATCAATGATTCTGATAAGGTTTGGGGAAAGTTATCAGTTTCTGAACAGGCTGCATTTAAAGAACTCGTTAAAACTGGTGACATTTCTTCATTAATACCTGCTTGGGAACCTTGGTGGCTACAAAGAATCAATAAACCAAAGTTAGTTGAACTGGATAAAGATTTTTTTTCTGAAGCTGAACTTAAAGATATCAAGAATAAATGCCCTCTCCATTATAAAAAAATTAAACTATTATCAGAAATTACAAAAATAAAGCCATCTCATTGTGTGTCTTTTGATCTTATTAATATATTGGGTAGTTACTCTCTAACGGTTAGGTATTATAATGGCAATCATTTTGATTTTCCTGAGGAGGCAGCAGCAATAATGCATAAGTTATCTAAAAGTTTAACATATCCACAGAAATTTGTTAGTGCTGAAATAGCCCTAGATGCTGTGGGGCTGGAGGCCCTTACATATAACGGTATTGAAGTAAATGAAGATGACGTAAAATTAATGAAAACCGATGTTAAAAGAATAATGGGTGGGCCTTCAAGTAATAATTCTACTTATTATATGCTATCATCATTGTCAGACATGTGTAAGCTATTTTCAAATATTACCTGTAGTGAATCACAAGCAGCTAAAGGAAAGTTTAGTACGATATTTTTTAATCCAGATCCTGATATAGACTTACTTAAGAAAAATGATTGTAAAATTGTGTTGCAGAGGTTAAAGTATTTCCTTTCCTGGGTATTGGAATATGGAAATTCAAGTTAAAAATTTTAATATTTACTAATGATAATCATTTTTGAAAATATGTAATACTTGTGTTAACTTCGGTTGGTTTAAAACATCATCTGTGTATTACTATCCATATTTTGTCTGTACGGTGCCTTTATAATTTTTAATATCTATTTAAAATTTTCATAGTGCATTAAAACAATATCTGAAAATAAGTGCCTTCATTTGCTTAATTTTAATCTTCCCCATGCTTCGATCCTATATTTATTTGCTGATTCCACTATTTTAAATAATTCTATTTATAATTACTTAAGATGTTATATCATAATGTCATTTATTTGTATTATTTTTTTTTTATAGCATGTAAGTAGGGAAAGATCTTTTTCATATGACTGGTAGATTATTTGAAATTCCTAGCTCTCTATTGAAACTTGGCCCAAACATTTATAGTATGCAGCTAGTTTAAGTGATCATAATAATTCTTTAAGATAAGTATGGCTACTTCTAAGTATATAGTAGTTATCCCGAGGAATTAATGGCTTCAAAGTGATATGAATTGTACCAAATATTTAAAACCAATTTATATTTGTAATTATTTAACAAACAATTCATGTATAAAAGGAATATTGAAATATATATATTTAAAGTGATTACTAGATGCGGGATAACTTAATGAAGGGTGTTTAAGGGTAACAACAAAAAAATCAGCTCGTTATTTTATTTTCTATTTGTCACTTTTCACTAGCTTCTTTGTTTTGATGTTTTTATTAGAATTAATTTAATGGAGTTTCACTCAACAATTCTTTGATTGCTTGGGAGTCCATTCAAAGCCCAGAACCAAGATTGTCACATTTTCTGTAAACAGACCTGATGCGAAGTATTTCCCACTCCACCATTAATTTTTTTATCTTCTAAATTAACATTAAAATAAAGTATTGTTAATGTTATATATTGTTACTATTAGTGCAAAAGGTCGTATATAACAATTTTACATTCTTATTTTATCTGTGCTAAAGGTAATATTTTGTAGTCTGCTGCTTTGGAAAATAGTAGAGGGAAACAATATGTGAAATTAAACTAATAAATCATAAGAAATAATCCGTTTTTATATTCAATTTTCTCATGATTTTTATGATCATCATCCCAAAACTTACATAGTAACCAAATATTTTTTAATGCTTTTTTTGTTATAAAAGGCTCCAGTTAATGGTAAATTTTATATTTGCCCAGAGTCCAGGGAAATTATCCTTGGGCTCTTGGTTTCTACCCATGACTCTGACTGGATGTCTCCAATTTTATTCATGTTCCCAAGTCACATGATTAACAATTTCCAGTGGGATAAATAAAGCGGAAGCAGCTGATGCCACATTATGGTGCAGTGCCTAAGGGTGTTTGATGGTAAACCTTAATACCTACAAAAATATTTGGGTTTTATACAAATTGAGGAGTCATATCCCCAACACCCAAAAGACCTGCAAAAATATAAGGTTTCTATAAGAATTATTTGTACAGAGCTTTGATTTTAGAGCATTAATATTGAAGACTAGGAAAATAACTTTTGGATTAATCATAATCCATGATACCACTGCCTGTGAAAAGTCTTACTTTTCAAATATAGTCTTTTTTTACTTTGATATTGATAATCAAAATAACTGAGGGCTGTAAGATCTGATAGCTGATTCCTACTACTTCCATTCACCTTTTCTTTTTCCTTCTCATTCTACAATCATGAAATTGTGAGAACAGATTATCATGGTGTTTAAGTAACCATGCATATGGGTTCTCAGACTATGATTTAACTTCTTAAGATTGCATAGCTAATTAATGGTTTATTGGCTAATCATTAGTGAATCTGATACCAAAAAATTGAATTAATATAGGCTTAGGAGACCAAATTTGTCTAGCTAGCGCATTGTCTAGGTAATTAAGTTTAAATCCATTGGTAAAATTCAAAAACTCATATCAGGATTTAATATTAAAATTAATGGAATCAGATAACCTTTCTGATACAGCAAGATAATTTAAATTCCATAGTTATGTCTTTTAACCTGCAACATCCCGCTTCTTGTAACAGATCATCATGTGATTTATCTTTGTGATGACATCCTCCCAGGATCAGTACCAGAAAAGCAATCACAGTCTTAGTAAAATCAAATAACTCTGATGTGACATGTGCAAGATTTGGAATTGCAATAGAATCCAAGTTTTCCAACAGAAAAGCAAGGAATTTCACTTTTCTAGTAATAAAAAAATGTTTAAAAAAGGTTTAGCTGAAACCTTGATCTAAAGATGGTCCCCATCTAAACATGGTGCGTACCATGTACACATTTACTTGATGTATTCATGCTAATAGTTGTAAAAAAAAAAAAGTGGTCCCAGCCCCCCAAAGAGAGGACATCTACCAATACCTCAAAACTGCTGTATTTACAAACATAATTCAATGAAATTAATTTTTTCAATTACCAGATGACAAATACATTTCTTGGTTGGAAATTTCGAAACTGGAAAATAATACCCAATGGTATGGCCTAGTTGCTGGCAGTGAGATTAAGCTTTAAAACTCAGTAAATACACTTGACCTTAGTAACTTCAAGAAATACTTCCAGTTTTGCCAGTTATATCAATTACCAAAACAATTCTTTTGGACACAACTGGAAGCACTTCTCTTTTTTAATCAAATAATTCAATCTACTAATGAAAATTGAAGAGCTTCATAAATACAATAATATACATAACTGTCATTAGTAAAACTAAAATATACTAATAACACATTTCGATGTAAAACTGATTTTAATGAATAAATACTTCTCCATAAAACATTTGTTTTCTAATACTTATAACATTTATAATAGTAATTTATATTTTTCAAAATGGACATAGGGTGAAAGAAAATACACAAATTAAAAAGGATGATAAAAATATTTATTTATCCCCCAGATAACCTGTAAAAAAAAGAAAAAATATTATATAGTTTCAAATTATTCAGAAGTATGACACTTAATATACTCATACATATAAATAGTGAAAGAATATTTCCATAGTAATGTTTTAATTATAAACATTATCCAACATTTTGGAGCTCTCCAATGTTTTTGATTATAACCAGCTCCTCTATTCAGTACATAGTATCATTACTACAAGATATTATCTATGGATTCTGAGTTCTGAGAAAAATGAAGAACTATGTTATATTTAAAGACTCAAGAATGGAACCCTGTTTTTGATCTTTTTTCATCTTAAAATCAAATAAATTTTTTCTCTGCAATAATTTCAAGAAAAATATATTTTCACTATGTGCGTTACCCAATTAAATAAAAATATCTTGACCTAAACTAAATAAATAAATGATCACAGTAAAACTTGCCAACAGACAACCCTTGCTTCATTCAGACTATTAGAAACATACATCTATTGAATTTTTAGGGTTCAGTATTAGTAAAGTAGTTTTTTGGACAATGGTTATGCTTGAAGATGATTTGGCTAGGATTATGCTTAATCAAGTTTTCTTATTATTAAGGGTGCTCACTTAATTGAGTTAGGTTTTCCAGAAGGATCCCGTGATCCCAGGCTGGTTTGATAAAATAAAGAATTATCTGGCAGGCTAGCGAAATAGCACTGGTTTATAACCAGGGAAATAAAGGTTATATAACCATGATTACACTGTCTAACTAATAAAATACCTCTCGACAACATTTTTATTTAAAATATGCTACCATCAGAGAATTTTAACTAGCATTTCAGTATTTAATACCCGTGGGTTGTTTTTTTTTACTATACAGGGTTTTTTCCGAGCCAGGGGATTAATAAGAGTTAAATGCCTCCAGCATGAAAACTCAAACTCATATCTTTAGTTTATCAGGATGCTAGATAAAGCTTTTTATGTATGTGTTAGCCTGTTCAACCACTCTTTCCCCTACATGGTTCAGGAGCTCAATTTAGATAAAAACAGATGACATCATTCCTCCCCCTCCCAACTTCGTATTAACTGAACAAAATAAATTTTTAAAAGCATCCTGCAATGATGTTTATAGGATTTTTATCAATACGCCATTTTAAATGCATTAGCATTAGCAATTAGCCAGTGGCTTACTATGCTTCAAATGAAACCTTCATTTAACATCTTACAATTTTCTTTTAGCTGGTACAATTTTTTCTCTCAAAATTTAAAATCCTTAATAGACTTTTGAGCATCTTGAGGAGAAATATTATTTATGATTAATTATTCTTATAACAAAAAAAAGAAAGAAAAAAAAATGTCTTGGACCACTCTTGAAATAAAATCAATTGTTGGCACTGATTTCTTCTTAATTAACATATTTATCCCCTTTACGTTTTATAGTACAGAAGTTTCACTGTAATCTATCTCAGAATCCAATAACTTAAAACTCAAACACTCCTCACAAATAAGTACAGTTTAAATATATATTAGTTCTTCTTTGAAAAGGATCAACAAAATATTCCCGGATATTAAATATATTATATACAAACTAAAAAATTAAGATTTTTTATTGAGGTTAACTCCTCAGTGGCATTAAGTTGCTGCTGGAATGTCAGTGGCACAATGCAACTGACCCCCCGAACAGTGGATGGGATGCCAACCCCTACCAACTGCTGGAGCACGGTTTTAAATATTGCCATTCTATTAATTATAACTATCGCAACAGGATAAGAAACAATGAATAGTTATTCTTTACATGAAATTAATCAAAATGTAATGAATGTCAAAATTAACCGTGACCCAGCAGTAATACTTACTCATTCATCGGCTACATCTATTTCTCCATCATTTATTTGGCAGATAACTTCGGAAGGAGTTTTACCATCAACTGTACAACCAACAGACTAAAACAAAAAATAATATGATCAATAAAATGTTGTGAAATAATAAAATAATGAACATTAGAAAAAAAAAATACTAACTTGGCATGTGCCGAGAATTTCCTTAATAGTACCCTCTAATTTCCTAGACATAGATCTTGGCCTCATTGACCTGGCAATGGTGAGAATTTCATCGAAGGTGAGGTTACCATTATGTTTTACTAAAAAATATACCACAAATATTAAATATGTTATTACTAAATGCAATGTAGGTTAAGATTAAATTAATACATTCTGCCGCATTGAAGGGCATTAATATTAGGGCTACATTAAACATTCACACAATATATACATACAAATGATAACTGAAATAGAGATAAAAGAAAAAGAGTTGTAGAAAGTAAAGTAAGAAAATTAACATACATAGGTTAAAAAAAATAAATAAATGAAATTGAAATATATAAGACACATTCACACCTATATACAATATATTAAATAATAAAACAATGAATTTAACAGTGACATCAGCAAAATGCAGCCAATAGGGATTTTTCATAACGAAAATCAAACGGTAATTCCTGTTATCATCATTTGCCACCAATCATATAAAAATGTATAATAATAAAGTATTCTACTTCACAAATATTAATATCAAGCAATTAATAGATTCCAGTATCGTATACTGATTATGTTGTAAAGTATGCAGAAATGTGGAGTCAAAAACAAAATCAGTTATCAAAAAGTTAAATCAATCACAATCCACCCCGGTAGGTAGATTTTAAAGGAGTGGAGTTTCAGTATAAATTATCCACAACTTATCTGATTAAATGCATTGTGGTCTGGCCACACAAAAATAAGATTCTATAAACAGAGGACAGGTCACAAAGTTATTTGTTTTTTATAGAAGGATGGTAAATAAAACTATGAGTGTTGCTAACATTTGTGGTTACCCTTTCCTTTCTCAAATGTATTATAATGAAGTACATACATAAATCGCTCCAATCACAATATAATTGCACAAAACATTTAACCAAAATGTTATGTCATCACCAGATAACAGGTGAAGGCACCATAATTGAATTTGGCAGATTTAATTGACGAATGTGTGAAATTAATAAATTAGCAAAAAGGGAATAGGTAAGGTATCTGCAATAAAATAATTTTTTCATATAAAAACAGTTATTAAAATGTGGCATCAGAAAAAAAAGCAGCCAAAATAATAGTTTCATTAGATAATCAAACGGTAATTCCTGTTCTCATCATTTGCCACTAAACCATTTTATAAAAAAGAGCAACAATTGGCTGCAACAGGATATAGCTTGAAAACTGCTAAGATTAGCATTTCTAATGAATACTAACCCAACTACTGCTGCTATGAAGGGCAAGAATCACAGACCTTGAAAACTTTTTATAGGCTCGCCAAATTAAATTAAGTTCAGGGGTGTATACCCATGAGTGACATTGAAAAATATTTGTATGAGTTAAGGAAAATGGAGTGCTTGCAATGCAATTAGGTCAAAGAATTCCTGGTAAGGAAATATGATATCAAAATTGATACATCATGGAAACATAAATCAAATAATGTGATTAATTGTTACATCAGACTTCTCAAGTTAGGACGATCCAGAGGAGGGTATGTCTATATCACTCGACAAAATATGCAACACCACTCTAATCTGAAATACTGACGATATCTCACTGCGCGTAATGGAATAGAGAGACGGAGAATTTCCATTTTCACTGAGTCAGATGGCAATACGATCGCAGGGCAACTATATTATTAGATCTAAATTAAGGATTGCTGCACAAACCTTAACAATTTATATAGGATCAACAAGGTAACCATCGAATGGGTACCATGTCACTCTGGCATTTCTGTTAACGATGGACCTGGATCCTTTCTTTATGTTTAATAAGGAGACACACATAAATCACTCCAGCCATAATACACCCATACAGAACAACTAATCACAATGTGATCATATTAACACGAGATAAAAGGTAAAGAAAGCGTACCTTAAACTGGTAAAATTCAAACAATGAATGTATGAATTTAATAAAACAGCATAGGATAAATAGGTAAATGCAATCAAATAATGGTTTTAAAAAATCAGATAAATTTGGTTTGTCCTAAGTAGGGTTGGAGAGAAAATTCTAAAGGTTCAATAAGAACAGTTCTTGATCTCAAACGAATGAACTGTTCTTCCAAAGGGATAATAACAGTTGTTTTTCTTCAATTCCCCTGGTTTGCCACTAGTCTAGTTACTGTTTGATCTGCTCTTAGTTTATTTTTTTCCAAACGAAACAAAAGCTCTTTCTGCTTTTGCCAACAAATCTATCATATATCTATCACATATCTTATATCATATATCATATATCACATATCATATATCTATCACATATCTTTAGGGATGTAATATTTAGCTCCCATTATTAATGAACACTAGAAATAAATAAAAACTTTCAGTTAACTCAAATTAACTTAAGCATATTTGTAAGGAAAATTAGTTATGTTTTTAGATATATCGATCTATATTAATGTCTTGCAGGCCGAAAATAATTTTTACGATTGAACATATTCACATAAATCAATTTAATTGCATAAATAAAATTAAACACTATTATGTTCTATAAAAATTGAAAAAGGCAAACAATTGAAAAAATCTTTAAACTACAGTAAAAAGACTCATGATGACCAAGCAGCATAACTTTAAACTTCAAACATACAAGAAAGTCAAAATATTATTAAAATAAAAAATGTTTTATGCGAAAAAAATATTTTTAGTTTTAATTAGTTGAAAAGAAATTTTTAAGATTAAACATGTAATATTACAAATTAATTCAAAGGTTATCAATTTCAAGCTCGAACAATGTTGAACTTCATGCATAAAACGATTCATTCATTTTCAGACTTGTTATTAAATAAATAGGTATTACTGCAGGAATCATTGCGTTGTTCTACGAACTATTTTTTTTCAACAGTTCTTAAGCAGAAACGCCCACCTCTAGTCTTAAGACGTAGAAAATAAGATAAAAATACATTTCCCATATATAAATAATTTGTAACATGTGGCATCAGAAAAAAAAGCAGCCAAAAGAATCGTTTCATTAGATAATCAAACGGTAATTCCTGTTCTCATCATTTGCCATTAAACCATATTATAATTTTTAAAGTCTAATCAAAAGAAGATTCGGGAAGATTTATGGTGCAGAAGCCAAGAAAAGCTGGTGTTCTAAAAAACACTCATTCTAGGTTGGTCCTGGATGGGATCTGTGCAAACAGAGCTAATCTGCTAATTAACTTGAGCAGGAGTTCTCTTCAGAAAATAAGAATGATCTATACCAGACACTGTAAATTAAATTATCATATATCTAAACTTGGTCTAATGGAGTCACCTCTCAGTCTGTTCTGTGGGCGGAATGATAAAAACAGCATATTATATTACTTGTAGGCTTGACAAGTTTTTTGCCAAGTTAATATTTTGTCTGTAATGATAGATTGCTGGAACCCAAGAAAATAGAGCTTGTCAATCCAAAAAGCCTTCTTCAATTAGCAGACTGCTAGAATAATGTTCTGATCAAGACCAACATCAATAAGACACAATAGGCCTTCATGATCACAGTGCTTCTCTCCACGTTTACAAATAAATTTTGCCATTGCCCTTTCCTTTCGTTTTTCAATAAATAAGGAGGTACACACATAAATCACTCCAGTCATAATACACCCATACAGAACAACTAATCACAATGTGATATTAACACGAGATAAAAGGTAAAGAAAGCGTACCTTAAACTGGTAGAATTCCAACAATGTATGAATTTAATAAAACAGCAAAGAATAAATAGGTAAATGCAATCAAATAATAGTTTTAAAAAATCAGATAAATTTTGTTAGTCATAAAGACATTGAATAATATATTTTCCATATAAAAATAGTTTGTAACATGTGGCATCAGAAAAAAAAAGCAGCCAAACCAATCTTTTCATTAGAAAATCAAACGGTAATTCCTGTTCTCATCACTTGCCACTAAACCATATTACAACTTTTTTAAAGAAATTTAACTTCAGTACTTCATTTCTGCCAGATACGTTCTTTTTCAATGTTCAAAATCTTTATGCACAAGACATCAAGAATTGATATTGTTAACTTTAGTCCAATTATGAATTTATATTCTAAAATTTTCAGCCATAGTTCAAGTGCAAAGATATAGTATCACATACTAACATAAAAAAACTATGAATTTGGAAGAATGTCAGGGGTGTTTAACACACGAGACTGAGTCTTAGTTGAGGAGATAAAAGGTCAAGGTCAACAAATACAGAAGAAATATTTCAGCACAAATTTGACTTTTGTTTCCAAAAGAGTTTGAGATGTTAGAATAAATAGGTGGAATTGATAACACACATTTTGTGTGTTAAAAAGCTATGGATTCGTTGCTTACATATAGCAAATTTGCTTCATTGTTCATAATGAAACAAATATTTTCCAACGAAAAATAATCCAGTTAACAACCACTTAAATTACTTTAATGAATTTTGGAAGTTAACTTCAAGCACAAATCAAGTTATGCAAAACAATACCTCCTTTGACTTTCTTCCTGTCCCTTGGTGGTTCTTTCAGGGCTTTAATGATGAGAGAAGCCGCTGATGGTACAACTGAGATAGCAGCTTGCCTGTTTTGAATAGTAAGGCAAACTGTAATTTTCAGACCCTTCCAATCTGCTGTAGCTTTAGCAATGTCATCACCGACTTTCTTAGGGGACTGGAATAGAATATCAAGTTATTAGGCTAAGCTTTAGAATTATTTATAACAAATGTATCATTGGTATTACGACAGTTATACCAACAGTCAAGATTTTTTAAATAATTTTTAAGAAACTCATGGTTCTTTTCTCGACAATCGAAAGATAGCTCTGATGATGACCCACATGTTTGTTTTGAAACGTCGGCTAACTCAATAAAAAAATCTTGACTGAAACTCCTGACAATTTCGATTCATCTTAAGAAAATTATCTTAAACTATTGATTTCAGGTCTACAAAAAACAATAACAAATTATTGAATATTCAATAGTTGACTGTAGTATAATATTGAGGAAAAAGATGATCTGTGGTGGATATCACAAAGAAAAACCTTCATAGTTGAAAATATTTTATTAAGCTGAAAACAGTTTTCTATGGACTTTGTCCTGTGCCTTCTAGCACTGATTAAGAACTGTATAGTTAAGTCAAAATATCAGTTAAATAAAATAGTTAAAGGTATTTAGTTATTTTCTTGATAACTGCCACTCCTTACCATTTCTTTCCTAAAACAAAATCATATTTACAGATGGCTGGCCATACAATAATTTAAGAAGATAGTCGATGAGACTCCCAGAACACATTTTTAAAAACAGATTATCAATGGTCCAGCCAACTGTCAAAAAAGGAACTCTAGTAGTAATGCTACTACAAGAGTGGCACCATCTACTAGTATATCAGAGCTAAAAATCTTGTCATCCACGAGAAGCAACCAAATGAAAATATAAAGATAGTGATTTATTCTATGGGTCTGCCACAAAATAAATTACGACATTATCAGACCAAATTTCAACTAGTGTTGCTAGACTCAAGGATGTTAGAATGGGCAACACACTTTAACACGTGAGGGCATGAAACATAGTGATCATCTCAAACATGAATAACATACTGATTCAGGTGATTCAAGTCGAGCATTAAAATTACTGAACTACAATAGATCCTTGTCTTTTTCAGAAAAACACAAGAATTAATTAGTTCAGACACCTTTATTTACTTAAAACCATACTGGATTACCACATACAGTTTAATCCTCAGAGCTTGTGTCATCCATTAAATTGTTGTAAAGAAGTACTAAATTAAGTTACAGTACTATAATAAGTGACTAATAACCCTCAATTGTTACCATGACATTTGTATATATATGTATATTTCTATACTGCTACAACCTAATGTTCCCATTTTGAGTAACCATAATTCAAAAAATGTATTAACAAATGATGAAATTTTAATAATTTGTGCTGTTTTACAACAAGGTAACAATCGGTGAAAAATAATGCAAACTTACCAGACCAAGAGGACCAATCTTTGGAGCAAGAGAAGATGTGGCTCCAACTTCACCACCAACACACCTCAAGAAGACTGAAACAAAATTCGATTAACTAAACAATTTATCAAATAATGTATGAAACAGATCGATAATGTAAATTGGGTGGCATTGTACTGAGGGGAAGACATCCACATAATAAGGCAAAATGAATTAAAGTGATTTTGAATGGGATCAGGAGGTTATATATTTTACTAATAAAGTATCATAGTTCAGATACCTTAAATTGAAAATAAAAAGAAAAAATTAATAAATTAAAGTTATTTGGAAGTTTAATTTTGGCTAATTAAGGATTAATGATAATTAGGACTAAACAACATTAGGTTAGTGCCTAAAACAAAACATGTGCAAGGTGGATGATAGGTTCACATGTCCAGGGTATGGAATAAGAAGTTACCTTAAAATTTAAAAATATGAATATTTGTTGAAATGATAGAATGAGATCGTTAGAAATGATCATTTACTGGTTTATGAATATAATTCTTTAAATCAGCAAATGAAGAAACTGAGACCACGTGGCTTAAAAATTAATTAAACCTTACCTGTTTTTACTTCGTTAGGATCAAACTTTGGTGGCATGATGGCTGATTAATATAATAAAAATTAATAGCGTAAAACTATAACAGAAATAACACTAAGTAGATATATATGACCCGAACACTCCAGGCCAACAATCGTGGTAGATCGCACAGTACCCGCAAAATGGAGGAGAGTATTCTCGACACCCCAGTTCCAACTTTTTTCTACAGCCTTCTTTATATTAAAACCATTTAACTAAAGTGTAAATTTACATTAAAACATAGGATATATATAAAAATTAAAATTTCAGTGGAAAAAAATTTATATTTTTGTTTATTTAATTAGTAGATTCCTTATAATGCGTAATTGGCTAAAAAAAAAACAGATTCCTCATATCTAAGAGGTACTGTTATACTTATGGTGGGCCCACACTACAGGCAAACTCGGTTTGGCAAAAATTCTGGCAAACTTGCGGCAAAATAAGGAACTAATCGAAGCTCGTTAACCATGGAAAATGTGCTCAGTAGGACGGAGTCAGTCCAAGCAAACAACATGGATCTTCTAGAATTGCCGTGGGGTTGATTGCTACTTTTGGTTATTTCTTCTATAAAAAAAAAGCAAGTAGAAGAAAATAAGTGGAGAAAACAAAGAACATGACAGATGTCGAAAATTCATGAGAATCATACAAGGTAAGCATAAAATTGATCTTAGTTTTCCTTATTAATATGAATTGTTTATTTCTTTGCTATGACATTTCTCTATAAATACATTTTACCTTGTTTTTCAAAATATATTTCTGTAAAGCTAATTAACGCGATTTTATGTAATTTTTCACACACAATTGCTAGGATTGTTAATTTCCTTCCGTTAAACATAGTCAATTATTAATTCTCTAACCAGTGAAAATTCTTGATATATCCTCCGTTTACTGCATTCAATTCATGCACTATGTGCATATTTGATATAGGTTAACTTTCAAGATTTTTTTTTTAATTTTGACTTTATTTACCTATACAAAAACACTGTATGTGCATGGAAATGAAACAAGCCCTTTTATACATCAATTATACTTACAAGAAGCACACAATTTTCTGATTTTATAAAGAAAAAGATATTCAAAGTTCTTGATTACTTAAGAAATAATGAATTTTCACTTAATTACTTTGCAATGAGCTGCCAATTGTTTTTTCAATTGTTTGATTCAAGGAATGCATTTAAAAATTTTTTCTCCATTTATTTATGAGGTTCTTTGATTTACTGTATAGACATTTTTTACAATTTAGTGAATGGTTAATTCCTCTTTTACTAAATTTGCAAGTGTTACTTTATTATTTTTCAATTCAAACAATCAATTAAGTCTGTAGTAAGTTAATTTAGTTCTATTTTCTTTTCTAACGTCCAACTTAAGTACATCATCGCAAAGGAAACAATGGACAAGGGGTGTTAATTATTTAGCATTTAACTGGTTATTTATATTTAGTTAATTGGAAGTTCATTGTTAGTTTTCGATATCCCTCCTAGTCTATGATTAAGTTATTTTTTTTATACTTTTTCATATAGCAAAACAATGTACATAGGGTAATGACTATAAAGAGAAAATGCCCTATGATGCCTTAGCCATTCTGTCTTGTTTCCTTAACCCTCCACATTATCTGTTTACCCGTAACAAATTATTTATTTTCTTCTGTTATGAATTTGATTCCATTGTTTCCTATTTCAATTAAGGATTAGTTTTGTTTTTTCCTCGACTTTCATTATTAATGTAAATGTTACATAGCTTTTATTTGTTCTCTGTAAAATTGAGTCTTAAAGTGTGCCAGACATAGACCCTCCTCTAAAAATGAAAATCTCAACTAAATGTGTTATAAGCATCGCAAAAAATAGAAGGGAAAAAATTATAACGAAATTAAAAAATCTGATTTTTTAGTTGGATGATACCAGGCCTAAGATTGGTAATTTTTTTTTTTTTTTCCAGCGTTCCCCTACTGTTGAGTGTGAACATGAAGGACAGGCTGAAGTACTCGATGATTCATCTTTATTGAACAACGGTATGTATTGCAGCCTAAGACAAAAAAAAAAAATCAAACAAAGGCGAAGAGGAAATTATGGCCCCGTTCAATAAACTCGTCCAAATAATAGAAAAACAGTGCGGAAATACAAATAAACCCAAAACAATTGCACAGAATTATGGGTCCATGTTAGGAGAAGGGTTGGACCAATTACCTCAACCAGAACAAAGTTTGTGCATATGTGAAATGGAACGAGGCTTGGGGAAGATGTGTGCGGACTTTGTGGAATAAAAATATTTGTAATATTGAAACCAGCACTAGTTTAAACAAGATGGCAGCCTGTGCCCGTGGTATTTTTAATGCACCATAAAGAGTGATTTTCCAGCAACATGCTGGGCCATTTAAAAAATATAAAACAGACACTTTTTCTGTAAATACTAGTAAGGTTGTACCTCCAAAAAGACATATTATTAATAAAGCCTTTTTAAAGGTGTTTGAAGAAGATGGAGAATAATCCAGTAAATTATTAGAATACTCATTAGTTATTATTCAGCTTTTTCTGATGCATTTAAAAATGCTTTATTTGTAATGTTAAATTCCTTTATTCATGATGTTGTATAAACAAAAACATATCTTGTATTCATTAATTTGTATGTTGTATTAATTCATTTATATTTTGTATTGTATATTTGAACCTAAAAATATTTATTTGTTCATTAATAGAATTTCTATTTTGTATAATAATAACAAAGTTAGGATATAAAGATTAATTTTCTAGCAACATTATAATTATTAAATTTAGTTTATGTATATGATTTATTATATTTTGCAAATATATGGGTTGTATGTATTATAAATAACATCTTCCATCATTTCCCTTCAAACATATATATTACAACTTGTGTATAAATAACCAATAAATGATAGGTATATGTCAAATTTCTAAAATTAAAAATGCGAATAACAAAACAAAGGCAGTCTCACTATGTGGTTAAAATTTCCACACTTAGACTTAATTGTTATTTTAATCAGACAATGTTTTATACAAATATAACTTTTTTAGGCTTAGGATGGTTGATTATTTATTGAAGTAGGCATCAAAATTGGCACTGTATGATGTTAGTCTCTAACCATGATACAGTCATTTAATTACAAATATAGTATTGTATTATGGTGTTTCAATATGTGCTTAAAATGTTATTAATGCAACTTTATTAGAGTCTAGGTTAGTAATTTTGTGAGTTGTTCGGTTTTATTTGAACTGAAGATATAGAAAGAAAAAAAAAAACAGATGTAGATTAACACTAATGTCTGTGAAATGTAAAATTAGTTGACAGACCGATACAAATATGGGCACTAAAAAAGAAACTGATAAACTGATCATTTTAAAAAAATAATGAATACTTGTTTTCAACTCTCTAAAGTAGAATAAGCATAGGTTAAAAAATAAATAAATTTTGAACTTTTTTTTTATATTGACTAAATAATATGTGAAAATGGATATTATTTTATTTTAATGTAATGCGAAGTATTGGGATCATTAAAAATTTCAACTCCGAGTTTTCAAAAACATAAAAAAACTTTTTGCTTAATGGTTTTTTTGTGTAAATGCAGAATCTATCTAAAAAATGAAAAGTTCAGTGATTATACTTATTTATTAAGGTAGATAGGAGTATGGCAGCGATGTTAGGGCAAATTGTTGGCTGAAATAATATTACCAAAAGTGGAACTTGACATAATTGGTTTTATAAAGTATTTCAATTCAACTATAAAACGGAAATAAACAATGAAGAGTAGTATTAAATGAAGAAGAAATATAAAATGGAATAATTAGATATGAATAATAAAATGTAATTAGATGAATTAACAAAAACTTAGTTTATGATAATAAAAGGTAATGAATAAGTACGAAAGGTTATGATATATATACCTGACACTCAAAAAGATGATAAGAACAAATAGCAAATATATGGAAATATAATAAATCAAATACATATATATAAGTAATGACAAATGGGAAAAACAAGTAATGGATTAAAAGTTTTGTTATTTAAAATATATTATGTAAAAATGTTCAAAAATATATGTTATATTTCATTATATCTTATTTAATTTTATTTATATGAACCCTTCCGCTAACAAACTTCCATAATTCATTTAATGGCAATAATATCTTCATTTAATTTTTGTAGTTTATAATGATTTGTTTGTTATTACTGAAAGACAGAAAGCTGGTTGCACAGAAAATTTTGATTAAACTCGTGTATTATTGTATAATTAAGTGGTCTTTAATATCATTGAGGTCTTATCCCCATTAATGTCACTTTACATAGCTTAAATGCCTAAATGTTCAACATTTCATCCTCTAAAGTACCTTTAATTTGATTAATTTTTAATAATTAACCATCTCTCATTATTAAGAATTACGAAAAAATGCTAAATATAACTTTTGAAAGAATTTGATAATTGAAAAATGGAGAAAAAAGGGAAAATGTGTATTGAGGATGAAAATGAATTACCGGCAATACTTGTCAGAAGTTATATCATTGGAAAACGGATAATTTTAGAAAAAAACAATATGAAATATAGAATGTAATGGAGAGAGATTATTATAAATAATAATTTGTGTAAACTAATATTATTTAACGGAAATCACATTTTTTCAAGGAAATTAAATAAATGAAATTTACTAACTAAATTTAAATTGTTTTTAAGTTTGAAAAAGTATTTAAAATTCACCTAATCAACGCAATGTTATTGTTAAAAAACTATTTCATAGTACTAATGTGAAAGAAGTGAAATATAAAAATATTAAATGGATGTATAAAGCCTATGTTTATAACCTTAAATACATTTACTGTAGTTTAATAATTCTAAATCTGATATTATATTTAAATAATTAGGTATCAACGTCCGTTGATCGTCGTATAACATTTAAAAAAATTAAATTAGTGAGTAATTTGATGAATTTTCCCTTTGTTAAATTAGTGTAACAACTTTTGAGCTATCTATGACAGGCTATGAAAATCTCGTAATTTCTTTCTAGTAAACTTTACAATGGAAAGTAACAGTTTAATAACTAATAGGCGTAGAATCCATAATAATTTATAGGTTGAATATAGAGATATACTTGAAAATCTCTCTAGACATATGTATATTGCTCAGAGACCGGAGTTATATGGTTTACGAAAAAAGATGGGGTAGAGAGGTTTTTATTATCTACCGTTGATATAATTAATAGGGTTTCTGTTATTTTAGTGATGTTAATGATTTGTTAGCAGTAAACTTTAAGCTATAGACCCGTTAAAAGTGCACTTCAAAAATTTTATAATTGCTCAACATTTCCAGAAAGTAATTTCTATTCAAAGTAGAAGGTAAGTGAAAGTTGTGTGTTGTGCGCACTAATTTTTTTTTATTTCGGATATTGCAAAAAAAAAGCGGGAAACGGAAGTTTCTGTCTCAGCCAATCACAGTGGCTATTCAATGCATCACTAGCGCAGCGTAACGGCCATAATGCAAAAATTTCTTGGATTTTGCCTAAGTTTTCCATTTCGGATGGATATGCAACAAACCGGGGTAAACAGCCCATTACCTTCCACCAGCAGGTCAAAATATCCCCACCACCTTCTCCCACTCTCGCCCTTTCCTTTGTTCTCTACGACAGTGGCGCTAGCAAACTCGGGCAAATTCCCATAAAACTGAGGCAAAATGCGGGAATTTGCCTCGATTTGCCTGTAGTGTGGGCCCAGGGTTAAACTTTGGTTTTGTAATAGCAATAGTTTTTTTGTAAAATAATAGTTGAGATTTTTATAATCAAAAAATGTTAAATCCAGTTTTCAACAATTTTAGTGAGTCTGTTTGGTGTTTGGAAAGGTGTTTCCTGTTAGATATTCACTAACAGGAAGGTACGATTCCGAGGCAGCTCCTCTTACTTTTTAATTTGTTCATGGAGGGCACAGAATAAGGAATTAGGACTGCTCCTATACACGATTTACAAGAAGTACACACAAGCATTGGTGTACACAGTAAGTACTACTGAGTGGAAAAAATATTTGATATGGAAAGGAGAATTGCGTGATTGACTGAATCGAAGGCTATTGAAAAGTCAAAGAGAACCAAGATAGAGATTTTCTGTTTGTCTATGGAGTATCGAAGGTCTTGGATGATTTTCAACAAAGCAGATTAGGTAGAGAACAGGATTCGGAAACAAAAGTAGAGGGGATTGAAAAAGAACTCTTTGCTCAAGGAAGGTATTAAGCTGTGAGTGGACTAGTCTTTCAAGAAGTTATAAAAGGTTGGAGAGAATAAAAAGAGATCTGAAATCGGAAACTTTGGAGTGAACCGGAATTTTGGTTTCAAAGCTAATTTGAAGGTGGAGTTTTGTAAGAAAAAAAATTGTAGATGTGTGGGAAGACAGGATAAATGACAGGAAGGCAGAACCCTACCACTGAGCTACCCCACTCCCTACCTTCGGTAGTGAGGAAGCAAAAGTAGAATTACAGAAAATAAGAATTCATTTTATATACATCCTATTAGTAACACTTTTCTTTGTGAATTCCCGAAATCACTGTACGAAACTTTGACTACTCAGTGAAATTCAAACAACTGATTTCGTAAATGAAAATATCGATTTCTCACTGGAAGATCGAAATCTTGTGGAATAATTTAGACAAAACCTCGTTCATATTGCAAATAAGTTAAAATTTTGTTCTTTGTCAATGTTCCTTTTTTATCTACTGCTTAAGTTACGAAGTCATTATTGCAAAAATTCTTACATCGATCGAAAGCAAAAATATCTATAATAATCTTTTATGGTAAGGTTCGTCTGCTGTGTTAAGATAATAGGACTATTTAAGGAAGCAAGAAAATAACGATGTAGAGGCTTAGTGGAAAAACTACTACAACTCGAAGTAGTATTGTGGAATGTGGAGATCTACGGAAATCCCGACCATTATTAGAAACCATTATCTTTAATGATTAGTGATGAGCTTCATCAATCTTTTTAGCTAAGCTATCATCGAAGGTCAGTATAGGATTCATGATTAAATTTTCAGAGATGTGGGGAGGGCTAGGTTTTTTTTTTTTTTTTTTTTTTTGATAACTGTATTTACTGAAACAATAATACCTTTAGAGATAATATTTTTAAATTTGTTGATGGACCACTCATTAACAGTGGTTTATAAAAGAGAGTGGGTTAACAAACGAAACACTTACCAATTCATTCATAAGTGGTATGTGGACTAGTAGAGGTTTACTTAACCTAAATAATTTAACTCTAGTAAATGTCTCACAAGCTTTAGAATTGAACAAGCTTGAGTAGGGAAGAAGTGATATCTACATTCCTCACCAAGAAGATTGGCGTGTCCTCCTCTTCAAAGAAAATTTATAGCTATCCTCTTCTTAAAAACGGAACAAATAAAAGTAAAATGATAAAAGTTGTTTATTTATTCTCCTTGTTTCTTACGTTTATGCTATTCAATTAAAACATCACAAAAAATATGGTTTCTTCCAAAATTCAAAACTCTGTCAATATACTCCCAAAATTTTCAACTTCGTATAAACATGCATATTCTGCAAATATAAATTTTAAGGGACAACAGTCCCAGAATAATAATTATATTTCCATTCATTTATTCATATTCAAAAATTTGAATGCCGCAAATTGCGCCATGTGACCAACCCCTTCTGGACGTCTTTGGAAGAAGTTATGCTGTGGCAACTTGGGATTGATTGAACATCACTTCATCCATAGATTACAAGAGCACTCCAAGCGCACAGATTTGTAAAACACTTAGTGAAAGAATCCTCCCAATTAGTACAAAATAGAAAAAAAAAATATCGTGTGTGCTTCAGACCACACGTCGGAAGTAAAAACATCAGCCCGCCGGGATCAATAATATGAAATATAATTTTTAAATTAAATTTAATTGTTTTTGGTTCTATATTTACAAAGTAATACCATTAAAAATATATACAATTTTAATTTATACAAATTACTCTGTATCATACCACTAGCGGATCCAGGATTTAATTTTGAGGGGGCTTCAGCCCGAAACCTTTCTTTTTCATAAAAATAACGATAATTACTTTGGAAAAACAGAAAGAAACTAACTACCTATATGAAATGGTGTTTAAGTTATTCCTTAAGTACTTTTAAATGTACTTACACGAACAATAATGCTTTAAGAGGTATTTTTTTTCACATAAAACATGGTTATATTTTTGCATTTTGGGAGAGGCTTCAGCCCGAAAGCCCCTCCCCCCCGTAGATCCGCCAGTGTGTCATACTATAAAAATGAAACAATGGTTTATGATAAATATTTGTTACGAATTGGTTTGTAAATTCTTCATAGTATTTAAATTTTGAAATATTTTACCTCTAATGTTCAAAACAGTCATTAGTTTTTTTTTTGCTCTTTCATTTTCCCTTTACGATACGCTAACTCGGCGTCACGTGAAAACACCATTTTGAATTATAGCTCATTACATAGAGGGTGGAAAGAAAATTTCTCTTGTTTACAGTAGGCAGGTACGAATTTTAGTTTTTGAGATATTTTAAACCAAATGATCAAAAAATCTTTATAATTTAGATTTGGACACTATTATGAAATATTTTAATCCAAATGCAAACATTAGTCTTCTCGAGCCGACTTTACCCGAATGGGGGCGTTACATATATGTAACGCCGAATATGGCGGTTCAGTATTTCATTTAATACCCATAAAACAAAGTACTAAGCGTGCCTAATACTGTTTTCACTTAAAAATACGGCTATCAGAATCATTAAGAAAAATCCTTTAGGTTAATAAAAAGAGTGAGTCCACTACTACTATATGAAATAGTGTTTAAGTGATCCCTAAAGTCCCTTTAAATTACACGAACAATAATACTTTAAGAGATAATTTTTTAATATTTTTTTCCATAAAACATGGTTATATTTTACCATTTTGGGGGGGCTTCAGCCTTAAAGTCCCCCTTTCCCCGTAGATCCGCCCGGGGGTACTGTATCTGCAGCAGTACAGTAATACAAATTTTAAATTTCGCTCTTTTTTTTGATTTTTCTACATACACGTGATCTTGTTTTTTCTGTATTGATGATACTTGAATTGGGGAAACGTTAATAGGTTATAATGTAAATAAGGCAGGTTAACTGTTAACAGGTTAACTCACCTATATATTAGAGACTCATAACTTTATAGTTTGGATTTTTCCATGTGTCTCTTTTCGAACTACATGATTATTTTAGTAATGTTATTCGTCATCTTTATTCACTTGACCTTCAATTATTTACGGTGGCGTGAAGTAAAAGGTTGGTTTCATGTTTCTATAGGATTCACGGGGCTTACCCAATGATGTTGACTGGGACCACGGCCGTCTTCCAGAACATTAATGAATTCCTTGAACCATACCAAGTTCTCGAGATTATGATATGAGGACATCGATATCGTTGGCGAAGCAGGAATGTGAAATCTCATTTATGTTAATTGTACGTAATAAATCTTACGTTATCAAAATCTCTAAAGCAAAACGTACAAAATAAACCTCTGAAAGCATTTTTGTAATTAAAATTTCTTATGTTATATTTTTGTTTTTAAACGTTTGAGAAACTATATTTTCTCAAAATTAGAAACTCTGCCTAGTTTTTAGTTTTGCCTTTAGACAGACTCGTTTTTTGAATGAAGTACATTTCAATATATAAATATTTCTTTACATTGAACATATAGCGATGGCGATAGCACATAGTGCCATCGTCCTTGACCATATCTTCTCTGACATGCTGTCCCATCCCGCATCCGATATCGAAGCTTGAGGTCATTGCTATTCCCCACCTCCCTGCCACACTGACCCTACGTCACAATCACAGGATATTTATTAGTCTAGTGAAGTATTCTGTGAGGGCAACATGCTGAAGTTCTTCATAGTAAGTGTATAATATATAAATATATAAATAATAATAGTACTGAAATCCAATAAGGAGATTTACAGTGAAACCTCTAATTTGGAAACGGAAATGAGGGTAAGAAGACTTAGGTTTTATGGACACATGTAAAGGATGACCGAAGAGAGGTTGAACAGGAAGTTTTTCAGTATGGTTATGGGATACAAGTTTAACCATGGGCATACCGTAAAAATAAAACTGAAAATATATAGGCTTGGGATAACATGGGAATTATGTGAGGATAGGACAGAATACAAGAAATTCCTGAAAAGTGCGGTGCATGTGTTGGACGGTAAAGAACTTCCGTCCAGAAGGAAGTGGATGGAGGAGAGGAAGAAAAAATTCAGCGATATCCTCAAGCAGAGATGGGCAGAAAGGAAAAAATTGAAAAAGAAACTCGTATCATAGTCGCGTAGTCCTTCAGGGCTGTTTCACGTCAGAAAAGAAAAAAAAATTATAGTATATAAATAATAAATAAGTTGAGTTGAAGATCTACGATTTTCTCAATTTTACTTGTATGTCTTTTGCTTGTATGTCTTTAAGAGGTGAGTAATAACATTTCTTGTAAGAGGGGAGGAGGGTAGATTCATGCACCATCCACCATGGGAGGGATGGGCATCCCTGATTCAATGATTTGTTGAGGCGCCTTAGGACTTAAGATTAGTTTTTATTTCATTGCCTTCATATCATGAGATATTGACTGGCCAATTTCCGTAAGCAGTACTCTACTCCTTCTCCTTACTTTCAGACTGATTGCAATCGATCTAGTTATGCTGAGGAGGATGAAATCTCTTGATTCTGCTTCTAGGCTGCCGATTAGGTATGGTTTTAGCTATTTGTACACATACATACAATACTTAGCTAATCTCAAAATATTATAAGAGTGTAATTAATATATTTCAAAAACATACAAGGTGGTGCGTCTAGGAATGATGTGCTTTCTATAGTTTTGATAGACGAAATTTTGGCTCATTTTTTCTTTACTAGTATTTAAGAGACATGAGGTTTTTTAAATTCTGTTTTAAAATTGCAGATCTTGGAATCCTCATACCAGACTGAAACGACAAGAAACCGCTCGACGTTTCCGACTACTCCAACACTTACTAGACAAACGCTCTAAGCTTCCAGTAAATTACAAAAGACTTATATACATGACTACAATAAGACCTATTTGGACTTACGGAGTTGAGCTTTGGGGCTTCACTAAGTCATCGAATTCCTCTGGTATCCAATCCTTACAATCCAAAATCCTTCGGAAAATCCTCAATGCTCCTTACTTTGTCACCAATAAAATAATCCATAATGACCTTAATATTCCTTATGTTTCAGATTTGGCCCAATCCAGATACCAATCCTTCCATAATAAACTTCAGAACCATCCGAATCCTCTCGTCTCTAACCTTGCTTCCTCTTCTATTCCTGATAACCCTCCGAGGCGTCTGAAAAGAAGATGGCCTCGAGATCTCTTATTGTAAATACATTTTGCTTTTAGAGTGCTACCAGCGGGTAGTTTCTCAACAAGTCATTTCATGTTTTTATTTTCTGTTATCAAATTTACTTAATGTATTTAATTTTTTAATACAGTTGTAAATATCATGTATAAATAAATAAAAAATAAAAATAAAAAATTGCAGACAGTATCTACTGAAACTCGTTATTCAACTGATAAATTGTTAAAAATGAATTGCTCCATCTAAGAGCAGGAGGTCATTAATAGTTGATTCTCGTCTTACTAATTTTTTATTTTTTTTTTATTTATATGATATTTACAACTGTATAAAAAAAATACATCTAGTAAATTCGCACATGGATATAATGACATGAAACATGTTGAGAAACTACCCATTGGTAGCACTCTAATAATATGTCTATATTAGGAGATCACGTGGTCATCTTCTTTTCAGACGCCTCGGAGGGTTATCAGGAATTGAATAGGAAGCAAGGTTAGAAACAAGAGGGTTAGGATGGTTATGAAGTTTATTATGGAAGGATATATATCTGGATTGGGCCAAATAAGGAACATTAAGGTCATTGTGGATGATTTTATCTGTAACAAAGTAAGGAGTATTGAGGATTTTACGAAGGATTTTGGATTTAAGGATCGGATACGAGAGGAATTTGAAGGTTTGGTGGAGCCCCAAAGATCAACTCCGTAAGTCCAAATAGGCCTTATTATAGTCATGTAAATGAGCCTTTTGTAATTAATTGGAAGGTTAGAGCGTTTGTCTAGTAAGTGTTGAAGTAGTCGGAAACGTCGAGCTGTTTCTTGTCGTTTCAGTCTGGTATGAGATTTTAAGTTAGAAGTTTGTCCAGGTGGAGTCCAAGGTAGTTTTACTAATTAATTTTTTTTTCAGATTTCCGTTACGATTGCGACGTGCTTTGCAGCGTTCAATTTCCCATTACATATACAGAAACAGGATGAAATGAAGAACGAAGGACCCGAAAAATACGGAGGACCAGTCGGGTTTGGACAAGGTAACATCAACTCAACTGCAGAGAATGTGATTCCAGACGAGACATTAGATGTGAACAAGGATTCCAATCCAGATGTTATTCCAGACGTGGAAAATTCAACATTTTCCAGCCGCTATTGAAATAAATTACCATAAATCATTTTGATGGTTATGGAAAAACCATAAAAATCCTTTTCTTGGTATCTATATGCAAATATAATTAATAAAAATGCACGCGATTGGTAAGGAAATATTTCCTTAAAATGAGTTTTTGCTTTTTAGATGTAACACAATTATTTTCTAAGAGAGTAAAAAGAGCAGTTTGTTCTTACCGGTTGTGAATTTTCCGCCGTGGAAATGAGAAACACTTTCGTGATATTGTGTAAAAAGTACAATATCCTTGGATATTGGAGCTAGCTGGACTACGAACTACCATAACTTAATTAAATAATGCATAGACATAAAAAATGAAAAAAATAAAGAATAATAAAATACAACATAACTTTATTTATTTATTTCAATATCATACATTTCAAATTCAATATAGTCATTTATATAAACTGGATTAATGAATTTATTATATTTATAAGACAAGTACTACCACAGAGTAGTATTATATATATGGATATATTTTAAAGAAAAAAAAAATAGTAATAATGTAATTTTAATGTTGATTAGTGTTTTGTTGTTTTTTAAAAAAGAAAAAGAATTTCGGAAACGGCTTTTGGAGCCGAAACGTTAAAAAATAATAATTTTTAATTAATGTATTAAAATTGTAAGTATGGACTGTGAGATTAAATAAGGGTTTTATCAAAAATAATCTTATATTGATTCAATATAATAATTTTATTTATTTATTCCAATATCATTTGAACTTCAGTATATTTATTCATATAAACTGGATTAATCAATTTATTATATTTATATTTAATCAATATTGTAACATATCACATTATATTATTCATTAGATAAAAACTAAATCTAATACATACTGTATTTTGTTATATTATTTTTCTGTTTAATTTATTGTGTATAGAGGGTGAATATACTCACTGATCACTTATAAATGTCCTTAATTGAGTCAGATTGTAATATTTCTTGATAAACAAGTTCTAAAAAAAAAAAAAAAAAAAAAAGCAGAACTGTATTTGGTTTTAAAATAAATTAAATATTTACAATCACCCTTTTTGTGTTCTTTTTTTACGTTCCCATTATTCCTAGAACGAAGGTCGATGAATATTTTCTCCAGTTTTCCCCAATTTAATTTTCAAAATAATTTGGAAATAAATAAACGGCAATTTTATGCAATTTTCCTAAAACAATAACTGTATTTAAACTTAATTTGAATAAATATTCTCAAGTATTAGTAAGATAGCGTAGAACGGTCACGATAATCCGGGCCCCTATTAATCCGAAACCCTAGGTAATCAGAACAAGAAAGGGGAACTAGTTAAAGTTGACAGACGAAAGACTGAATGGAAACGGCCCTGTTTCTCAGTACATATTACTGGAATTGTTTCGTTTGGTATTGTCGTCTCTAAACGGAAAAAATTAAAACTAGGCGGTCATCCAGAAGTTATGAAACCTCTTTATATGTGGTTTTTGCAACAGAGATCATAAGGGTGTCCAATTTTCGACAATATATTAGCTGTAATGTCAAAGTTTTGCTATAATATATTAAGCTACTCGTCGGAATTTGTTTCATTCAATATTATGCACCAAAATGTAATTCTTTAAATTAAATTACTTGCTCATATAATTTTGAAATAATTGTGTGTTGATAAACTTCATTTCTTTAATCACAATTTTATTCACTTTTTAAATATTAATATGTATACACCTACAAAATGAAACTACGTGTCAAAAAAATATAAGAAATTTATTTCTAACATTGAAAAAACTTTTTAAAAAAGGCCACCATAGTTAAATCTTGGATCTGCGACTCACAGTCATTGCAATTATTATTAGGCCTGCTTGAGTGTAACATCACGAGTTTGTTTCACATTTTATGTTAGGTTTTGATCAACCCGGATTTGCAAAATATAATAATAAAAATGCTTATGCTTAGATTGAAAATATTTATGCTTATCCATTTTATTCTTTATTTTATAATTAACGTTATAAAATACAAAATAGAATAAAACGGATTAATATTACAAAATACCTAATAAAACGGTCAGATTGACTCAGGAATTAGTGGGACCGTTTTATTCTGAAGCAGACAGATTATAACCGACAGATTAGCTTCTAATGAGAATATTCTGGTAGAGATTGATTCCGTAAGTCGGAGAAAAAAAATTAACCTTCACGGGTCATTATCAAACCGGAAAACAGTGTATCTGTATTACCCTTTGTTATTCATTGCTGTATTCAATGCAAGTACAAACTTTTATATATTTTTTATAACTATATTGCAAATATATATGCATATATATATATATATATATATATATATATATATATATACCGCACTTCATATATCTCCGAGCTCCTTCAATACAAATCCTCTGTTCGTTCCCGCAATACTCGTTCCTGGTCTTCTGATTTATACACAAGGGCCCATCGAACCGCTGCTTTTGACAGATCGTACATTATCCGATCTTTATCCCTATGGAACTCCATCTTTTCCCACATCCGTCAATCCAATACCCTTCCTACCTTTAAATCCCGCCTGTTCAATTATTTCTTATCCATCCAGTCCCCATAAAATTGTAAATAGATACTACTGTAAATATGTATATAAATTATCAGTTCGTTCTTCAATATTTTTAATTCATTTTTTTTTATAAATTTTTTATTATTAACTGATCAAAATTAGAATGTAACTTATATATATATTTTTTTTTACTATGACTATTTAATTACTCGGTATTTTTGTTTATGTATCTCTGAGACTCCTTAGCCCACATTTCTGTCTTGCTGTATTATTCTAAAGGGACTCGTCCCAGAATAAATAAAATATTATTATTATTATTATTATATGTATATATACAATCGAGTGAAAAAGTCTTTGATGCGAAAAATAATATAAGCTTTACTATGCATTCTTAATAGAACATAAAGCCTCTCCTTTTATGAAGGTAAGAGTCTGGTATTAACAAAAAATAAAATAATTTACAAATCTCTTTTCCGTAGCAATTCCGCATTAGAATCCATTCCGTAGCAATTTCGACCACCTTTTAGATTCTAATCTGGCTACATGCCCAGCCCAGCTCCATTTTAATAAAAAGGCTTCTTTCGACAGGCTTTTGAGGTATACTCGACTTTAAAAACTTCTGTTGCTGATCCGATCTTTCCTCTTAATTCCTAATATGCTTTGGGAAAATTGAAGTCGTGTCCTATTGAGTTTGTCATAATTTTTTTACAGATGTCGACCATGTCTGACTACCATATAAAATAACTGGATAAACACACTTTTCCAATACTTTATTCTTGATAACTGAAGATAGTTAATTTTTAAATATGTTTTTGAGGCTCCACCAATTTTTACATCCTAACTTAATCCTTTTATGTATTTATTCTGATCTATTTTTATTGATATGATCTGTCCTAGGTAAACATACTACTCCACAAAGCCAATTTCTTTATTTCTTACTTTCACCTCACCTTTTTGGGAATTGGTAATTAACTTATTTTTTTAGATACGTAGGCCCACCAATTCACATTGTATTGGGAGCTCATTGACAGTTAATTTCCATTATTGAATTGGCGAAAAAAACAATGTCGTCTGCAAATCTCAGATTTGCTGCTTAACCCCATTTATTGAGATACCACTCTCATCCCACTTCAGCTTCTTAACCTCATAATTTAGAATGCAGTTGAATAGAATAGGAGATATTGGGCAGCTCTGTTTAGTACCTCTTTCAATTTTTAGTATTTTATTATTTCCTTACATGGCTATCCTTCCTTATAGGATCAACTGTTCATGTATATGTTTTTTAATATATTAATATAGATACTATCGATAACCTGTTCTTCTAAAGCTTGCCATAATTGATGATGGCATACCGAATCAAATGCTTTCCTGAAATCAATAAATGCTAGGTAGATTGTACTCCTTACTTTTTTCTATAATTTGGTTGATTGTTTGAAGGTGTTCAACAGTGGAAAATTGAGGTTGGAAGTCAACTTGTTCACAGGGGTGAGAGGGTTCTGGTGTATGACTGGGATAAGTCTGTTTTTATAATTTTAGCAAATACTTTATATATTGTTGAAGAAAGTGTTATTGGTTTATAGTTATCAATATCTTTTGGATTTTCTTTTTTATGCAATAAAATTCTTCTGCCAATTTTACTGATTGATGCAAAAAAGTCATATTAAATAGAAAACAAAAAAAATTTTGAAATACGGAATTTGCATTAATTACCGAAAAAAGCGAACTATTCCTAAATTAGAATGATTTTCAGAGATACACTCCGCTATCCAGAGTTTATACAAGGACTCTTGATGCTAACAATAATGAGTAAAGATTGAGTCTTTACCCAGTTAGATGAGCAAGTGATTTTATTACAAGAATTACTTTTTGATACCTAATGAATGAAACAAATTCCAGTGAGTGGCTTAGTATTGTTTTGTTTTGTTTTTTAATTTCCTTTTATACTAACTTTACGCTTCGATTTGTGCCATAATACAACAATGAAAACTAAAAAACTGTAATTCTATACCATAATTGATTTTGCCTTGTGTTATTTATCTGGAATATAACATTTTAAAGACTGATTATTCAAACATGTAGAATTCATGGCTTGTTCAGAATACCAAAATGTTGAAATTATCAAAGTTTAAATTTAAAATGATGGAAAAACTGCACAAGGTAACTAAAATATATATATATTGTCAGGTAAATACAAACATATTGCAAACAAAAACGAAAACATAGTTTCTGAAAATAATCAAATAACAAAGTAGTGAAATTTAAATGATAAGGTAGAATCATTCAGATGGTAAAAAAATCAACACAACGGATTAGTCCCTTAGATTGTTGTTAACTGAAAATAATGCTAAATTAAATAAATCATTTTTCATCTACAAGGTTAAATCAGTTTACGGTTTGTTCAGTTAGACACATATATACTAATTCTTTTGAAAAATGCAGTTACTGAGATTGTAAAAACCATATGATCTCACAGAACTTTCTATAATCTTCATCGATTCAGCTGAATACAAAGTTAAGTTAACCCCTTTCTGTCATTTGGTTAGGGACAAAATAAACTGTGATAATCACTTGAAGAACTAGAAGAAAACTCCTATGTTGCATGTTCATACAGGGACAGACAAGAATTTTTTCCAGGAACGGCAAGTTGAACTTTCCATGCATTCTTTCAAATCCCAACACACCTTTATTAAAATTAACATTTTAAAACAATATTTTAAGTAATATATTCTGAAATAAGTATTAAAACCACACATTTCATCGCATTTTATTGACTGAATTAAGGTGGACACTACAAAAAGCAACCACAAGTAAAAGCATTTTTTACTGAAGCTGAAAAATAATCTCGAAATTTGTCGCTATTCAAATTCTGCCACAAGGAGTAGCTGCCACCTTTGCCTATCCCTTGCTATGGCCTTGCCTACCAAGTCTTCTCTAATAATATTATATTCTGTGAAAGACTACTTCTCTATGTTTACTAACGAAAAACCTCAATCTTGGTAATACCAATAATTGTTTTCATATTCTTCTGTCAATGTGCCTTTTTTTCATTTTCTGTGTAAATTTTCCATTTGCACTTATCAGTAAAGCTGGAGATTCAGATGTTTTTGATGTCAACAAAATGATCTAAAACCAAATCCCATTCAAATGCAAATCAATGTATTATTAAAATAAATGTGTATCTATATTTTCCTTTGATGTAGTTCTAATCTAATTGTTTTTTGCCCGAACAGTAATGAAACACTATATGTAAAGTTAAATAATTAATGAAAATGTAAAGCAAGTCCATTACAAATATAATTGTTACATATGTCATATTATATTCAGTGGCATACCATTTGGATTCCAAGTTGGATTTATTTTTGAACACTCCAAACAGAAAAAAAAAATCTGCTGGTTTATCAGCCTGGGAAGATTTTTTTTTGTAGATCCTTAACAAAATGAACAAAACATAATACCACTTTTAAAATTAAAAAATAGAAAAACTTTAATTTC